CTTCATATGCCTTTTGAGTTTCTTTGCTCTGAAGAGCTACCTCAGAAATTTCAGCTTTTTTAAATTTGCTTTAAAAGGTTATCTTCCTTATAAGATAGAGCTTTTTCAATTGAGTGTCGGAAGAAATCTAGGATTTCTTTGGGTTTCATTCAACTTTGCTTCTATGATTGGTCCAGAAAACCTGTACCATCCTCTCAAAGTAAAAACAAACATGATTTAGTCATTCACATGCTTCAAGCAGTTTGCTTGTTTTCACTGAGTTTTCATTGGCTAATTTTCTGCTTGGTCACTGGGATTACCTTGGTTTTGGCTTTTGGATGCTCAATTGAAAACTGCTCTACTAGCTGGGAATTAACCTTTTAACTCTCAGATCAAATTTGTAATTCTTGTTACTGTCAGTTATACAATTCTTTTAAAGTTGGTTCAGAGAATTTAGTAAATTAGCAGTATCAACTAATTATCCCCAAATTTGTACTTTAAGTGAGTGTTTCACCTTAATAGCCTGGAGTGGTCAAAATCTAGAGTCTCCTTAAAATGACAATATTCTCACAGAAAATAAAATGAGGTGAAACAATGGAAAACAGAAAACAAAATTTATCAACTGAAAGTAGTAATAGAGTGTGACATAATTATTACAAATTTCTCTTTATCCTCTGGCCCCTAATTGTGATTAGCATCTGGTTTCTCCTTCCAATATCACCCCTAAATCACACTTTAAGGTCACAAGAATAAAGGAAATGATCACCAACTAAAGTAGCTCTTGATTGTTAAGCAAATTTTCCTTGTAAGCACCTGAGGAAATGTATAGAGAACACTATAGAGAATATGCATTCTGTTGTTAGGGTGTAAAGTACTAATCCATACTAACGAGAGGAATTCTGGTAACCATTTAATAAAATAACTATTATAATCTGACCTTTGAAACTGAAGCTACTGTTGATTCATCTTCTTCTGCCTCTTCCCCAAATGACAATAAGCTAAAGTTTCTACAAGAAATCAAATTTGAAGTAAACAAAACCTGTGGTGACAAAATGATATTTTGATGTTATCACAACATTACCTAAAAGCAATCTCTTTTTAATTAGTTCTAAATCTCTCTTACTGATTATCAAAGGCAATTATATGTAAGATGTAATACTAACTGATTCAAAAACTTGGGTTCAGTCTATTAGTTTGGTCTATGTTGAGGCATTTAAAAAATACTACATGTAAATATATATTAACACATAAAAAGAACAAGAAGAGAAAAGCTGCAGTGGCACCTACTTTGTTCCTTTGACTTTTTTCTTTTTTTCTTCCTCAGGTTTTGTTTTCACCTCCTCTTTTCTCTGCCTTGGAACTATGTCATCAAAAGGATTATATAAAACCTGAAAATGAGGAATTTTTGTTTCACTATTGATAAGTAGTAATTACTGAATCTAAACCATTATTTCCTTCACTGATCCATTATTTGAACTTTTTTTCCCTTATATGATATTAGGATACCTCACTGACCCATGATAAATAATTTTAAGTTAGACTTCAAGGTCTATAGTACAGAAGATGAGTTAACTTCATGAGAGGAAAAAATGATCACAGACTGTAACTATTACACCAATATTTAATTAACCTTTCACTCCGCAACACAATTCTTATAATATTAGTTCTGAGAATTTGGTATTAGATCAACTAGTAATCCCCTAATTAATAACTTTCTTTATTGTATCGAAATTGTAAGGAGACATTCTGTCTTAGTCACTCTTAGGAATAAAAGGGTTTAAGGAAGTATAAATCAATCATTTCATCAAACCTCTGTTTTCTTTATCTTAGGAGGGAAAAGAGGTCTGTCATTACTGTCAACTTCACAATCTTCCATCTTAATCATGTTGTAAATGGTGTCTCCTGCAACCTACAAACAGAGGTGACAAACTTTATCCAGATTTGTTACAGTAAAACATGAAAATTAAATATGGTTTTCCTTTCTGTTACACTGGCCTTTCATTGGCTTCATGCATTATGATATTGCACTTTGTGCTGATTCATCCTTGAGATTATTTTGGTTTGGTTTTGAGGGTGCTCAATCAAAAGAGCATTGCATGATAAACACATCCATCAGCAAGGATAGAGCTAGACTGCACTAGATACTATTTATACAAGTTATATACATAATTAGATACAAATTGAAAAATGGTGTAACCCTTGAAATCCAGAGGTCCTGGCTTTGAATGCTTCTCTAACTAATTGCAGTATTCTTTTGGGTAGTCCCACCTGGAGTTTTCTGAGCAACTCTCAGTTTAGCATCCACTCTAGTCCTGAATTGCATTTTGTTTGTTTCACTTTGCTCAGTGTATTTGGCACAGGTGTGTTTTGCATTGTGTGTTTTTTCTATAGTCATCACCGGTAATTGCATCACCCCAACAAAAGACAATTTTTTAAAATTTATACCTTGCCAAATATGGTGTGTTTGCCATTCAATTCATGTGTTGCTCCAAGAGTGAAAAAGAACTGACTTTGATTATCATTGGGTCCAGCATTAGCCATTGCAACCAGCCCTCTGCGCACAAAGCGAAGCCTTTGATGAAATTCATCCTACGAGAGCAAAGAGTACCTTAAAACAAGTCACTGAAAAATTTTAAATACAAGTTTAAACATTTTTAAAGTCATTATTCTGAAGCTCATTCTATTTACAAAAATGGATCACATCAACCAAAATCAAGTTCAACAATTACCTTGAAAGGTCTTCCATAAATTGATTCTCCCCCTGAGACAAGAACAAAAAAAAATAAAAACGAAGAAGAGAAATGCAACCTTTTCACAGGTATCTGAGAAAACATGAAACACCACATTGAATAGAAAATTTATTTTAAAGAATCAACCAAGTACAAGACCATATTTATCAACTGGCCACAGCATATAACTTACCCATCCCTGTTCCTGTTGGGTCTCCTCCCTGCACACAGAAACCTACAGGAAAAACGTGAATGAGTTTGCTAACAGCTTGGATAAGTTTGCTGACAACTGAAATCAGTCCCAAACAACTTGGGTGAGTTCAGCAAGAACTTGGATAAGTTCATTGACAACTTTAGCAAGTTTGCTGATAACTACTGCAAGATCCCCAACAACTATGACAATGTCACTGACAACTTAGACGGGTTCATCAACAATTGTCAGACAAGCAGGTAATAACATGAAGCAAACTCCTTAATCTTTAATCTTTAATCTTTAATCTTTAATCACAGTTCATAACCATACATCGAACAAAGGTACAAAAATGGTTGACAGGACGGTAGTAGGGGGAAACTAAATTCCCATGCTAAGACATACCCTCCAAAAAAAAAACAAAAAAACAAAACTATAACAAAAAAAAAAAACTGGTATTTGGGGTAATTATGAGCAGAGGTACTTAATTAGTGAAACTCTAAAAGACTGAAGGCTAGGGGATGACATTACTTCAGAAGGCAAACAGTTCCAATCGTTAATATATCTATTAAAAAAAGAATATTTAAAATAATTTGTACGAGCAACTTTAGGCCTTATTTTATACTCATGCTTACTTCTAGTTCGAGTTATTCCAATAATATCAAAGTAATGATGGCAATTGATATCACAGTAACCAAATATAATCTTATACATTTGAACTAGGCTAAGGTATTGCCTTCTCAGTTCTAAAGAGTCCCATTTTAACTCTAGAAGTCTTTCAGGATATTCTTTGTCTGGGCCACATATTAGTCGGGACACTCTTCTCTGAATTGCTTCGATTGCCTTGGTGTGTTTCACCAGATAAGGATTCCAGACTGGGCAGGCATACTCGAGGATAGGTATCACTAGTGCCTTAATGACCAATTCTGAAACAGGCTGGACCAGGTGTATTAGAATTTTGCATCCTAATACTAATATATAAATTTAGTTCCTGGCTTCTAAATTATGAGAACCTTAGGTAGACATGGACCCTTCTATCAACCACGGATGCAATCATGAATGATCTGGACACAATCATACATTGTCATCTCCTTCTATGAGTTCACTGGGGAAATTAAAACTATATTTTTTTGGTGTAACACATCATATTTTGTGGATGTCACTTAATCAATGTTTACCTTTGACAATTCTGTGGAAAATAGTGCCATCATAATATCCCTCCAGACAGAGCTGAACAAAATTCCTGCAGGTTTTGGGAGCTTCTTTTGACCACAACTCAATCTCTATTTCTCCAGATGAAGTAATGAGAAGAACCTGTTGTGATGAAGTGAAAATAGCTGTAAATGGTATTTGTGAAAAGCTGTAATGGTTGCAAAAGAATTTTTTATAACTTTTATTTTAAAACCCTCTTAAACAACTTTAAAGAAAATTATTTCAAATGGTATAACAAACAAGAATTTGGAATAATTATTAACTAAAAATTATTTAAATCATAAGATGGTGATCTCAATTACTTTTCACCACTTCACCAAAATTTTGAACAGCTGGAGATTGCAAGCAGAATATATCGTATTAATTTATCACAATTATTCATAAGCTTGAATGAATGGCAGCCAGTCGAGAGAACTGAAATTTTGATCAAGAGTGAGAGCGATGTAAACAACTGGCCCTGTTTCAGTATTTTTCCCAAGTGTTGATTTCTTTCCGCTAAGTCACGCAAACAATGACACAGCATGTCGATACACATTTCGTTACTCAAGCCAGCTGTTGCGAGACGACGATAACTCTAAAAGATCTACTACTTGGACAACTTGTTGTCTTGAAATGTTCAAATCTGCGCGCCATACTTTTACAACAACTGCCTCATTTCCGACAATTTTCTTATAATTCTGCCGGAAATTTTTCCCAGCCAAGTATGACTATTTCTCACCTTTCCATTTGTTGGAGGCTCTTGGATATATATGTTGCTCATTTTTGTAAAATTTGAAATTTAGTTGCAGACAACTTCTTCCTTAAAACCTGTTTATGAAATCCTCTTCCAGAAACGAAACAAATCAGCGGATATGCCTCTGCAAGCAGGCGCATGTCTTGCTCCACGTGTTTATATTTCATGATGGCGTCCAAATTGTCTGTGTTACGAAACTTGGCCCTAAGGAGAAATCTTCGTATTTTTTGCCATCAGGTGAGTGCATCATTTATGTTAATTGAATTTCTATTATCATTCCTTCTACAATAAATTCTTCTAAATCCAGAACCGACCAATTGTCAAAGGAAAACGCCCGATCTGTTCATGTGTGACGATTGGAAATTCAAATTTTAGCAAGGTTAGTTCAGTGATCTTCAACAAATTTCTGCAGATGATCTTACTTTTCTTGCCTCAATTTAAGGGATTACTCACATAATGATTTTTTAATTTACAGGAGTTTGGAAAACAACCGCGTGGTTTACGATTTCTACGAACAACGTCAGGTACATGATGGGTACATCAAATTAGGTGTTAGTTATTCTATTTGTTGAATTTTTCAGAGATCTTGTGAAAGATTAGGACGATTCACCCTGATTTACTGCCTCTCTGAAGTAATTGATGATCGTTATGAAGCGAACCTTCAATTGGAAAAGTACACTGAATAATTTACGAAAACTTCCGATGATGGGCGTTATGGGGGTGTGTCAGGGGTGTGACAGATGTGATGGTATTGATTTTAAAAGTATTCTTTAAATTAGCTACTAGTTTTTTTATGCCATTAAAACAATACAGTCTACCATTCAAATTGTTCTTTAGTAAAAAAAAAAAAAAAAATTTAATCAGGTGTGAATGGAGAAGTCCTTCCTTTTAAATTATCCGACATTGGGGAAGGAATTGCAGAGGTTACAATCAAAGAGTGGTAAGTTTTATATGATACCTATATCATTATCCCTTTCACTCCCAGTAGGGACCAAGACATACTTTCTCCTTACAATTAAATAAATATAACATCACACACACAAGTAATGAGAATGTAGAAGGATATCAATCAGTCAATTATCATTTAATAATGATATATATTAACTTAAATAATGCAGATATCAATATTATTTGACCTAATACTGAATTATCAGAACTAAAATTACAAGCAATGTATAGCAGCCAGTGAGAAGAATCACCAATAAAAGAGATCTTGGAGATGAAAGAGTTAAAAGAAATTAATTTTGTCATTTTTCTATTAGGTATGTGAAGCCAGGTGATCATGTGAATCAGTTTGACAGTATTTGTGAAGTACAGAGTGACAAGGTTAGACTACATAACATTTATAATCATCTATGGTGATTTTCCCTTAAATTATCAAAAATAAAATCTAATCCTCTTCATCATTTGCAGGCATCAGTAACAATAACAAGCCGATTTGATGGTACAATCAGGAAACTGTATTATGATGTAGATGATATTGCAAGAGTTGGACAACCCTTAGTGGACATAGAAGCAGAAGCTAATATTGAATCCAGTGAGTTTTTATTGCAAATCATATGCATTTTATCCTAAAATCTTATGATAATCTATAGCCAACTAAATGAAAAATGAATATTTTTTCAGTCAATTTTGAGAGTATTGATATTTGGGTAGGGAGAAGAAATAATCGTGCAGAGAACAATAATATAATGGACAATATATTTCCATACTAGTTAATAGGTGCATTCTTGTTGGCAAATTGGTGAGTCCAGATGAAAGTAAGTAACTGCTAGAGACTCTTTTTTTTTTCAACTATTAATAACCATGGATTAGTAAAGTGCTTTCCATAAAGCTTTAGATTAAATCCTTATCTTAACTGTGATATTTGGTATTTTAAGATGTTGATGCTGGTCCAAGCCCTGCTGAAGATGTCATGGCTGCCCAACAGAAGCCTAAACCAACGCATGCTATAGAACAACCACTTCCACCTCCACCCCTCTCCCCTCAGTCTTCACCACCTCAGTCAAAAGCTTCACCAGCCCCTCCCCCTCAGATTACCACAAAGCAGACTAACAGTGATGGGAAAGTGTTAACAACACCAGCTGTACGCAAAATGGCAATGGACTATAATGTAAGAAGAAGTAAATAGATTTCAAGTAGTCCTTAAAAAGTTTTGTCAACTTCTTTTTAACATACTTTTCCTCAGCTAGTTTTAAGAATTAACTGGGTAGTAAGTGAGGTGAGCACGTGCTTTTCAAGACCTGAATTGAAATTTTCACAAAAAATTTTGTTTTCCAGATTGAACTGGGTGACATCCCAGGAACTGGTAGGGATGGCAGAATCCTTAAAGAAGATGTGTTGAATTACATTGAGAGAATGAAGGCTAAACCCACTGAAGGTGAGTTTTTGGATAGAAGATTTATTTTTTTGGAACAAATTGTTTGTCTGAGCACTCTTTGCAATGTCTTCACAGCCCCTGCCCCCACAGTAGAGGTTGCTGCCCCAACCACCCCACCCTCAACTCAAATTGCAAGACCAGAGGTGGTGCTTGAAGACAGAACAGAAGCTATCAAAGGAATCAGGAGAGCAATGGCTAAGGCTATGACAGCATCACTTACAATTCCACATTTTGGATACAAGGATGAAGTAATTCTAAATGAGCTTGTGAGGTAACAAATGATTTTACTTGTCCAAGGTCTGTGTATATCTTCTTTCCTTTTCTGTTAAATTTCCAACTACCTGTCCCTTTACACTGTCAAATACATATGGAGGTAAGTGAGAAATATATTCGGCTATTGGTTCTCTTATTATATTTTTGTCCAGGGTAAGAAATCACAGTAAAGAATCATTTCAGGCCAGAGGGATGAAGTTATCCTTTATGCCAATGTTTATGAAGGCAACTTCTATGGCTCTGCTCCACTTCCCAATACTAAACAGCTCAGTGGATCCTGCATGTGAGAATATCACTTTTAAGGTATTTAATAATTCCTCTGAAGAGTAAGAAATGATCTATGGTTGCTTGATAATTAAAATATCATAATTGGAAGTGTACATCATAAACAGTACCTCCAAGAACCTCAAACCATTTAATGTAACAATCCTAATTAAGCAGACTACTCAGGGCAGATCACATGCACTATTTTAACCCTCTAAATTCCCAGAAGTGATTGACATGTAACTTCTCCCTATAATATCCAGAATTTATCCAGAAAACAGGAAATGAGAATACTTAAACTTATCAGGTAGAAGTTGCTATCTTGATCCAATACAAAATTCTCATAACTAATTTATAAGGAAATGTGTAGCAGCTAAAGGAGAGAATTAACAATCAGAGCTTGGGAGTCGAGGATTAACAGAAATCAAAGGCTGTAGACCATGTGATGATCGATCTTATGATTAACATCTATTCAAAATACAATAATTCCATAATAATTTTATTCCTCAACAATTTTTTCTCCAACCTGTTAATGAATACTACATTTTGATCCCATTTGTCAGGGTTCACACAACATTGGGGTTGCCATGGATACACAACAAGGCTTAGTGGTACCAAATGTGAAAAATGTACAGAACAAGTCAATATTTGATATCACTGTAGAGCTTAACAGACTTCATCAGCTTGGACTGGCTGGTAAACTTACACCAGAAGACTTGATTGGAGGAACATTTACCCTCTCAAACATTGGATCAGTAAGCTTCATCTTTGAATAGTTACAAGTTCAATTTAATTTTAAATTAGTTATTTTCACATTGACTGTAATTTTTGAAGTGGCAAGCATTGAGGGCTTCTAAACGCCAAAATTCTGCCAAGGTTTAGACCTGTTGGACAACACATCACAGTTGAGGTCATGATTGCAAAAATTTGCTTCAAGTGACATGGACAATTTTGCACAAATTCAAACTGATTTAATTTGTGCAATGGTCACCCAAACTCAACACAGCAAATAGTTTGTTGTGAAGATCTGAGTCAGTGGCTCATCGCTTAGTGGAGCCAAGCCTTTGTAAGAAATTGAAATATGAACCTTTGCATCTTTGGTTACATGATCCAATTGTCTATGATGTCTTTGCCAGATTGGAGGAACATATGCAAAACCAGTGATTATGCCTCCTGAGGTTGCCATTGGTGCTATTGGAAGAATACAGGTTAGCATACTCATTTAACTTTTTAAATTTTCAGGAGATAACAAGTCTGGGTTCAATATCATGGACATAATGTTACAAAGAGGTAGCTTGTCTGAAGGCTGTCTAAGCAACATCTGACCTCTCCCTTGCCTTTTTCAAGAAAAAGTAATCATGATAATCAAAACAACTTATGTGCTCCAAAACAATGCTTTCATTAGGAAATGTATTGGAGAATAGTGTAAAGTAAAAGTAGAATATTCTCCACATCTGAAAAAGAGCTAGCTCAGGGAATGGAAATTTAGTAAGAGAATTCTGCATACTAGCTAAAGAGTTCTTTTATCCCTTAATGGTCAATGAACACCCTGCAAATTGTCAGTGAAACACTAGTTAAGGACTCCTCTGTTTTCCCCTACTGTTTACTCACATGGTTATTTGTAACAATTTTTATAGGAAGTCCCCAAGTTTGATAAGGATGACAATATTTACAAAGCGTATATAGTCAATGTAAGCTGGTCAGCTGATCACAGAGTCATAGAAGGTGCTACAATGGCTAGGTTTTCAAACCTATGGAAATCTTATCTAGAAAACCCTGCTTCTATGATGATGGACTTAAGATAATAATTCTCTTGTGCACCAATTAGCCTTATTAATTTGCCTGTAAGGATTGTCAAATTGTTGTAAGGGCTCAATACTACGTTTCATGCAAAAACAGTTTTACAGGTACATGCCTGTACAGTTATTACATGGAGAAAAATTAGATCAAGAAATTCCACAAGCAAAGCATTTCAAGACTAATATGGAATAAATAGATCAATGTCAGTATCTGAGCAGCTGTACACCTACCCCTCCCCTAACCCAACAACAGTCAATTGATAACAGGTTAAGGTTAGTGTTGCTTAGGAGATGCATAGGTGTGCAGTTGTTCAGATACTGACATTGATCCAATGAATAATACCTTCACCTTATGTGGCTTGTATATACTAGACAGAGCTATTTTACCAATGGGTAATGTTTTACCCTTGATACAAAATAGGGTTCAATAAGTGAAAAAATGCTAGTGTTATTTATTTTTAATTCTTGAAAAAATACATTAACTTTACATTTAGTTGGGGTTTACAACACTGTAACTTGAAGCAACTAGGGAAAATAATAATACATAAGGCTATATTTTCATACAAGTTTCATATTTAACCTTTAAAAAGGATTTGTTCAGTCTAGGTCTGGTTTTCATCTTTCAAATGATGTTCAGAAAATGAGCTTTGTGAGGATTATCTATCAAGATCATGGACTATCTTTGACAGTATCTTAATATTAAAACTTACTGTAAACTCAGTTACTTTCATATAAAACCATGGGTAAAAGCAATTAGGTATTCAAGTATTTTGTTATGTGTTTCATAATCTAATTATAAATCTCATGCGGCACTATTAACACTAAGCTATAAACTAAATTAAAACAGCTGCCCAAGTATATAGTGTGTACAAAGTGCAGAATAAAATAGCAAGAACAAGCTCTTGGAGTTCTTACAATTTCTTTCTAAAAAGTTTTCATTACAGGGTTAAATTAAAAATACAGTCATGTAAGAATTTGTTTCCTTCCAATATAATCAACCCCTACATTGTGAGAACATCTTCCCCCTAACTACACCAAACATCAGTGGTATAGTTCTTGTACTAATAAGCTGAACCTTTGTACAGACAGAGAAGAGAGTTGAATTACATAAAAACAAATTGTTGATGTTTAAAAAAAAAAAAGTGTTACCTTGTCCTTGCAAAACCATGCATATGACTATGGTTTTGGTTTTACACTTTGACAGTTGAACAAGTGAAAAAGAACTTTTAACTCAAATTATAGCAATATTGTTAATATTTGAATACCAGTAAAGAACTGAAGCACTTTCAAAACTTGTGACAATAGTTGATACAGAAGGCTTAAACATCCACCCTTGCTCATGGATCTTTCCCACATTTCAGTTTCAAGCATCATAACCTACTCACAAGAACATTAGGGTTGAATAGTCTTGAAGAGCATCACTCAGACTCTGAGGTTGCCTTGTGTCTTTTTCTGCTCTTTTTCCTTCTGCTTTTTTTCTTTTCTTTGTGTTTGTGGCTCTTTCTGTGTTTACTCCTTGGCTGTTCTTTCCTGAAAATAATACTTGCAGCTGTATAATTACATGTAAGTAAATCAACTCTTGAGCAGCATTTTTCAGTAGTGATGTAGTGATCAGGCATTCCTTATTTTTTGTGGCAACAACAGGGATCAACAGCTGAGAGACAGAAAACCTGAATGCTTCCCCTTTTTTCCTTTAGTCTACAAAGAATAGCATCAGTCTGCTTTCTCATTTCAAATTATTAGTGCAAATATACCTGCCCTCAAATAGAGTTCTTTTTTTAATCCCATGAAATTCTGTGACTTATCAAAAGATGGTTGCATAAAAGCATAAAATATACATGAAGGAACACAAGTGCTCTTGCCATGCAGACTAAGTAGAACAGAAGAAGCACCTGAAGTTATTAGTCATTCATTCTGACAAAGGGCTAACACTTCAAACCTCAGCAATAGAGGCCCTTTACAATGGCCAATCTACATTTATTTATTGACTGAGTTAATAAAATCAAATTATCTTGCAAATACTCCCCCACTGATGCAGCACCACAGATTCTTTAGAAACTTACCCTCTTTATACCTTGAATTTAGTTTGGTAAACCAGCAAGATTCATTCAAAATAAAATAATGATCCATTTAGCCTCATTTTGCATTATGAGCCTGATAATTTTGTGTCCTACTCACTTCTGATGTTTTCTGATCTTTTTTCTTTTTCTTTTATGACTATCAGAATCATCATCACCTACGACATGTAAGGATAAGCATGAAAATATATATTTTTTATTGGTAACAATACAAATTATTCCCAATAAAAACAAAAACTACCAATGAATATCTTAACCCTTTGACACCTGAGAGAGCCTGGCATCTAATTTCACCAAACAATATCACTCCTACAAGTTCACAAGAATAGAAGGGAATGATTATCAATTAAAAAAGATATTGATTGTTGAACAAATCCTCCTTGCCATAACCTTAACCCTTTAACTCCCAAGATCTGATTGATAATAATTCTCCCTTCTGGCTTCTACACATTTCTTTGTAACTTAGTTGTGAGAATTTGGTGTCAGATCAAGATCATAACTTCTACCTGATAAGTTTAAGTATTCTCATAACCTGTTTATTAGATAATGTATGGATATTATTGGGAGAAAGTACATGTTAATCACTCTTAGGAGTTAAAGGGTTAAGAGATGAACAGAAAACAGTAGACATGGGTGTAAAGGATTAAAGGAGTAATTTTCATATCATATATAAATTGTACTTTAGAAAATAATATCAAATAAATAATGAACAATTTAAAAGTTTGTAGATTGTAGTCACAAAATAATAAGAGACTTCAAATTTGACTGAGTTTCCTTACTTTTGTCAGTTTCATCAGTTGTTACTGAATGACTCCTCTTGGCTCTGCATTGAGAAATAATTCATAAAATAGGTTTTGGTTAGTCATCACAGTTAATAACACTTTCAAAAGAGAAATGTAATTGTTTGTCTCATGATGTGGTCACTTTGGAGGTGCATCAGGACATTCCCACTGTATACTGCTAATCTTCCGCAAATATCATTAAAATCTTGCAATTAAAACAAGGATACCAGTAGTACTTAAATTACAAGACCATGCTAGTTTAACACATAGCTACACATACCTCTTTAGAGCAGGTGGCGAGTATGAGGCAGCCCTCTGACGTGGAACATCTCTCTGTTTCAAGGCCCTCTCTAGAGACTGGGATCTTAAAATAACAGGAAATAGAAATATTTGTGTGGAAAAGACATCATCATTAAAAAAGTTTGCTGCATCTAACCTTTCTTTCACTGTTTTTCTCCTCTGAGACTTTTTTCTTTTTGAATCTGAATCAGATGAAGTAGGAGTTGTTGTAGAGCTGACGCTGATTTCTTTATCGCTATCCTCTTCTTCACTGGATGTACTACTGACATCAACCACTACATCCTTCTTTGGATCAACGCGTACAAAGTTACGACACTGAAAAGTTAGGTGACCACCTGTTAAAACATAACCAACAATTAATCCTTTACACTCTAAAATCAGTATACAAATTCTCAATACTATTCTCTACACATTTCCTAAGGTGCTGACAAGGAGCATTTTTTAAACAATCAAGAGCTTTTTTAGTTGGTAACCGTATTTGATTTAAAGGTGAAACTTGAATAGTACATGACACAAAGTCATTAAATGTGCTCTAAATGTGCCGAGGTGAATGATCATTGCACGTAACGCGAAAGTCCTCTGGTTCAACTACGCATGTTTTGTACTAAAACTTAACTAACTTTTAATTTTTTTGAATCAGATATTTATTTGTGTACGAGTCACGTCACATTGAAGCTCTGAGATTTCAAACTTACTGTAGCCACATTTCTTGCATCCTGTTCTTTGACTTTCATTGTTTTGGTTTGTCAGTCGTCCAATTAAATCTGGAGATGGAAGTAAAGAATACCTGTTGATTTTAGTGTACTTTATATAGTCACAGAAGCAAATAACAGCAAGGTGTAAAACTTGCAACACATGCTTTCCGTATTTTTAGGTTCACCAACCTTTTATGTCTGAGGAACTCATTTTAAATCCAATTAAGACTATTTGTGGTAGCTAGATGTGCATTTTACCTTTGAAAACCTGGTTAATCTTATTCGCTCACGAACGAAGTTCAAATGTTTCAAAACGCCGCCATGTTGATTGAACGGCATACACTGGGGCTCAGTTGGACCAAGGTTCCTCACGACCAACTCGGATAAACATGGCGGTTTAGAGATCCTATTGTCTTTTTATGTTTACGCTGTATTTTGCCCCATCAAGTTGATTGGAAAACCTTTGATCCGATGTCTCATCGAAAGGCAACTAAACGTAGAAGAGAATTAGCTGGAGATGATGACTTCTCCCCGTCTTTCTTCCCGCAAAAGAAGCGATCGAAATCGCAAGAACAAAATGCTCAAACGAACGAAAGGCTACAGGATAATCTGTCGATGGAAGAAACTGAAACTGGTGTTAGAAGGTCATCAAGGACTCCTAAACCAAAAGTATTTGACGATGAAGAGACTGCAGTTATCAGTCGAAGTCCTGACGTAACTTTAAGTCCAAAACCAAGTGACTTTGAAATAACTCAATCAGTAGCCAGTCAGCCTTCCAATAAATCCAAATTAACTTCGCCCACAGACGACGCTCCGATCGCCAAGAAACCTAAAAAAATAAGTTCTTCAGCCACTTTTGACGAGGGCCATAAAAGAGAAACGAGACGAAGCTATCAAAGTTATCTGAAAGAAATCGAAACAGATACGGAAGTTTTCAAGGATGCTATTGTTAAGGTGGTTGAGGATCGAACACCAAAGCTCACTGAAAATATTCAGAAGGATAAAAAAGAAACAGGATCTTCAAAGACACGGATTAAGAAAGAAACACAAGCAGATTTTTCTCCAAAAGTCAGGACATCTTCTAGAACCCCAGTTCCTAAAAGGATCTTCTCTCTGCTTGAAGAGGGAGAGAAGGAGGAGAAGAAACCAGAGGTATCTGTGATCCCAGAGGATACAATTGAGCCAGTACATATACCATCAACGTCTCCTAAAATGAGGGTCTCCTCAAGGGCTCATCTACCAAAGAAGAACTTTCATTTATTGGAGAAGGATGATGTTAGGGAAACAAAACAAGATGTGATAGAGAATAGCAGAACAAGAACTCCAAAAGTTCAAGGTAGCAAGAAAAGTAAATCCAAAGAGGGAAGAAATGATCAGGAACTGTTAAGGAACACACCAGAAAATTCCGATGAACCATCTCCAAAAATCAGAATTTCTTCACGAGGTCACATGCCTAAAAGAACTTTCTCACTTCTTGAAGGTGACGAGGATGACAAGAATATAGAAGAAAATAGAAATCAGTTGCCAAATACACTCAGGGATGACAATGGTATGTCACAGACTCTTACTGAGTTCCAAATTACAACTGTAGACCTAAAGGAACCAAAGAGGCGAAGGAGTTCCAGCAATCAACAATTAAATAAACCAAAATCATCTCCTAAGGAAGAGGTAAACTTGTTTCCAAACCGTGAAAGTGAAGTGTCACTTAGCACAGCAAATAAATTAGATGTGTCTAAAGGCATCAGTGTGAGTATTCAAGAATCTGGTGAAGTGTATATGGGAAGAAAGAAGTCAGAATATTCTAAAGATGATCAGGATAGAGGAAAGATGAATAAACGAAAGGGTAAACCTGTGAAAAAGAAGATTATGCAATCAGAAGAAGTTCAGATGGCAACATTAACAGCATTCAAAGTGAGAGCTGAATCTGACCATTGTACTGGTGAAGAAACATCATCGACTCCAAAGCCAGCCAAACCTAAAAGCACACCTAAAGTTAAACAAGCTGATAAATCGTCAACAAAGAAAGGCAGTAGTGTTGGAAAAGGAGTCATGAAGGAGGATGGTGTAGAAAACAAACTAGGATTTTCACAGAGTGATATTGTTACCAGTGATGATAATTCAGCAAGTGATTTAAATGCTGGTGCATCAAATGTGAAAAGAAAGGGAAAGATCATGAAAAGTAGTAAACAGAAGGCTAGCAAACACAAGGATACGGTGTCTGAGGAGCTAGAGAAAGTTAAAAGTAATCATGACAGTGAAGATAAAGGACATGAACATATCATCCTAAAATTACAGCTTCCTCAATCAGAGGATGGAACAAAACATAAGAAACATCATCATCATCATCACCATCATCATAAGCACAAACAAGCATCTAGAAATCACAAAGATGGATCACCGAAAACATCACATCACAAGAAACCTGCTGCTAAATTACATCCTGATGGCAGTCAAACAGTCCCAGCCTCAGAGAAAAACAAGAAAAAGATTTCAATCAAATTCAAAGGCCTTTCCAATAGTAATGTAGAAATGGTGAGCAATGCCTTAGAACAAAGCAGCAATACAGTGAATTTACCTGAGCAATCAAAGGAAGGCAATAAAAAGAAAAAGAAACAAAAATTACCAAGTTCCCAGAATGAAAAGCATCTAGCATCACCATCACAAACTGAAAGTGAACATGTTAAGTTAGTCATAAAGAAAGAGAAGATTCCCACCAGCAGTAAGTCTGATGAAGTGAAGAAAAAGAAGAACACTAAACCAACAACACTGGCAGTAGACCATCAGAAAAAGAAAGGCTCTTCTAAAACAGAGAGTAAGAAAGAAACATCAGCTTCAACTTCAGCCAAAAGAATCAAGTCACCACAGGTAGGTTCATCTCATTAAGCTTATCATGTATGCTACACATGTATGTGCATTTTATAATGTATACTATGTGTATCAATCAATATCTTTGTGGAGTGGTTTGAACCTAAGGAGGAGGGGTTACATTTGAGTATGTTGTCTGATCTTTTGGGTAGTCTTGAGAAGAACTGTTGTCGGTAGTGATGACTGATGTTTGACAACCTGAGTGGAAGTCATCATCTGACTCTGATGATGACTTTAGTCACTAACAACAACAGTCCTTCTCAGGACCATCCTCAATCAGATAATCAGACTACATGGTCAAATCAGTATCATGATTAGAAGTCTTAAGTTTTATTGTAGAACTGGCTCTGCAAGCAAGCAAGATGGGCACATGCTGCTTGCTCAGGGTAACCTCCTTTTGTTATCTCTGAAAAAAGGATATTGACTTTGTTCTAGTATATATAAATGCAAAACTGTTCTATATCCAGCTCTTTTGATTTACAGTAACACTTTATGTTACTTTATGTTTTATGACTCATAATGTTATATGTACTGTTATTTAATCATAAATTATCTTCATTTCTCTTTAGAAGCCCAAGGTAGTGACATCCTATCTGCTCTTCTGCAAGCAACAGCGGAAGAGAATTGCAGAGGAAAATCCTGGATTAGGTACGGTCATACTCTTTACAGCACCATATAGCTTTTTCAGAAGATTAGGGGTGTATAGTGATATCAAATTCCAGTGTAGAAGTTGTGTTTGCACATGTTTTGCACTTGAAGCCACTTCATATAAAATAAGTTTTATGGTTTTTGCACACTATTGAGAAGGACTTTCCACTTCCTGTTACTCAGAGTTCACAGAAATCAGCAAGAAAGTTGGCATTGCATGGAACAACCTCAAGGATGATGAGAAGGAGGTAAAAAATTTCAAGTTGTAGGTAATGTTGATTCTGTAGGTAATGTTGATTTTTTTTCAATGCCCATCTGCAATTCCTTGTAGTGTTGGCGGAAAAAGGCAGAAGAAGTCAAGAAATCTCTCGGACTCAACAGCCCAAACCCTGTGTCTGTGCCCAAAGAAGGACAAGCTGAACCCATTGATTTGGCAGCCCATTTGCAGCTCTTGGGGGAGTCCTTGTGTACAGTTGGAGCCTGTCTACGAGTACAGGTAACCAGAAATTGTTGTCCTGTCTTCTTACACCAGCAGGTAGTTGTGGACTTCTGTGAAAAAGTTGGGAAGAATAAAGATGAAACTATATAAATGAAACTTATAAAGATTGTATGCTTGTGATAACAATTAGGTATTATCTGTCTGTTAATTCCTTTTTTCCTTCCAAAGGACCCAGGTGAAGTTCATGGCAGCTTGTCTGTGCTATTAGACTCAGCCCTCTGTGCCATATCCCCTTTATTGTTCCTAACATCACAAATACCTGAAATGGATGGCTGCTCCAAAAAAACCCAGGTATTGTTAAAAGGATTATCAGGAGTTTTGAAATATTTCTCCCCACACATCTGTACACTAATTTTCATGGGGTTTTTTATGACCAGCTACAAATAAACTGTGAGGTTGTTGGTTGAGAACATAAACTTTTTTAATCATAGGAATGAAATGGTTAACCTCAGCTTTTTTTTCATTCACACAACACTTGCAACATTGTCAATCCTTTGACAATTTCACCTTACATTATTACCTTGAATCACACTTTAATATCACAAGAATAAAGGAAATGACCTCTAATTAAGAAGACCTTGATTATTAAACAAATTCTCCTTGTCAGCACCTTAAGAAATGTATGGAGAACAGTACGGAGAATATTCATACTGATGTCAGGTTGTAAAGGGTCAATCTCAATAGTATGCAGGACTCTTGTCACATATAAAGTAAGATCCAGCTTACTGTTAAGTTCTCTGTAGTGCAATGGTAGATTAATGGGGCTGGAAATCTGAAGGTCTGGGGCTTAATTCCTCTTAGGAACTCAAATTTGCTTTAGTGACAAAACAAAAAACTTTTTTGCATCTTGCTCTGATCTTATCATGAAAAAAAACTGGTAACCCTGCAAAATTTAATGTTATTTGGAAATCAAAACTTAAATATTTTACTTTTATTTTAACAGACTGAGGTGCTGGACAATCTTGCTTATGTAATGCCTGGCCTGGGATGAAACAAAATCATCAAATATGCAGCATCATGTCAAGAACCATTGTAACAGTAGTAGATTGCACTGGAAGTGTGGGAGTATGGATTGAAATTGACACAGCTTAAATGCAAAGATGTGACCAGCAGCATTTTGCTTTCATTTTATATAAAAGTTATTTGTCAGCCATGGTTGGTTCACAGTGGGAGAAACTGGGCCAAAGGTCCTGATTTCAATACAAAAGGCTCAGTTTTTTCCAGTTATCTTTTTTAGTTTTGTTCTGCCCCTAGGACCATTTTGATTGCACAATTCTGTGAATTCATCCCACACAGCAAAAAAAAAAAATATATATATATATGATTAAGAGATCTTTAAATTTAAAGTTGAATATGACTGTTAGTGCAAGATCTTATGAGTAAATTTTCAGCTTGTTAGAAAACTTTCCATGATAGCCAAGTATTGCAGACAGTATATGACAATCTTTTGTAAATATAATTTTTATTGGTGCATTTGTTCAAAAAGCAACAACTCCCTATAAGATCAAAAGCTGCATGGAGATAGCACCTAATGAACATATTTTAAAACATATTTTAGTTGATATTTTTCACTTCTTTACAGTCAATATGGAGTAAAATTTCCAGTTAGCTACTGACTTTGTTTAGCAAAGCAAAAAGTGTAGATGGGAGGACAAATTTAGGTTTCCACTTTCCCATAACTTACTTGTAGGATTCTAAGTTACTAAAGAAGTTTTTTTCTTCAACCCACTGACACACTGTCATGTAGTAATACTATACATTATTAACTCATTACATATTTATCACACACAGTTGTACTTTGTTATTATATTTCTCTGCCAGGGAAGTAACCTTTTCTTGTTCCACTGCCTACTTGGTTATTAGTCCCACACAATTCTTGATATTGAATCACTATCCAATAGGAAAAATGTGCATTTCATTCAGATTTTCTTGATTCTGGCTTCAAATGTCCAGTGTGAAATTTACTTTAATGAGTATCTGTGCCCAGAAACACAAGTAGAGGGCAAACTTTTCTGGGTTTTGAAGAAATTAATTCCTCTAAAGAAGTTAATAGCTCTCTTTTGACTGATACTATAACAGATTCTTAGAATTGATACGAAGAGAAATGCTTGACTTGACTCAAATTTTTTCTTTCAATTTCAGTTTCTTGAGAATGCTTTCTCACTAAAATTCACCAGTGTGCACCTTGAAAGGGATGCTTGTGGGTGAAATTGGGTTTGCAGAGGTAAATGTGCATAAGGCCTTCTTGCCGGGATTTTTGGCTATTTTTTCAACCATGACCAACTGGTTCCCATCACTCTATTGTATTTTGAAAGAGAGAGTACAGCACTTTCACCTCTCTGAAGGAATCACTGAAATATTCCTTTATCAGAACCCCATTTCCTGCCTCAATGCAGTGACTGGGTGAAACTTACGCAGTGGTATTTATTTTAAAAAGTTTAGACCAAAAAAAAACACCACTCAATGGAAATTACATTTTGGCACATTAAAGGGGAAGGGGAAATATGAAAATATTGATCTACAATCCACTTTTATGCTTGGAAAGACTCACAAATCTCACACGATGCTTTCAAAAAAAAAAATTGATTCCGAGCACAAGCCACTGAAAAAAGAGGATTACTACTGTGGTCTACACTTAAGAGTAATATCATTTAGAAAGTCTTATGAACGGTTGAATGTTTTGGCGCCAAAAGAAGTGAAGTGAGCTTTCTTTGTTCACGTCGTTTTAATTTGTTATGTTAATTTGAAATATATCTTTCATCCGTCTGCTATCGTCTGATTGCGGTTAACTTAAATCACTCTTTAGCTATGCTTGAGATATTTTAAGCACATGGCATTAAACTTGTATCAAACGGATGAGTCTACAAGGGTTTGTTTTTCTTTTTTTCGGCGGCGTGCTGGAACAAGCTCCTCTCAGCTTCGAGCCTGTTCTTTCGGCACGCTTCTTCGTTGTTCCGGCGTCCTTATTTCTTTTTGAACGTCAAATTCCCCTTTGTTATATAAGAGAGAAAAACAAGCCACGTGTAGTAATTTGAACTTAAAAGGATCAGGCAATGTTATGTAAATGTAGCGAAAAAAATTATTGTTCCAAGAACCCAATGTTATGTAAATTCATATTGTCGTGACGTCACTAACAAGAAAAAACTTGCAAGAAGCTATAAGATAGAGAGAATTCTCAATATTTTTTTACCAAAAGGCAGTTTCACAATTTGATAGTCTTGTAGGAAAACTTTGTGGTTTTCAAATTTAAAAAAATTATCGGACAGTAGCAAACGCAATTTTGGCGGGCATTTTACAATTTATTCAGTCGTAATTGTCTTCATAAATACATTACCGAAGGCGGGAAATTCATTTGATCAGTTTAAACCTCCGTGGTCACCGGAGCAGAGCAGGGCTGGTTTAAAAATGGCCGACTTCCTGACGATTTCCCTTCAGAAAAGTGGAATATACTTCCCTCAACCAGGATCAAAGCTATTTTCAGTGAGTAAACAGATGATCAGGCCTGTTCCAAAGTTCGAAGATGTTTCTGAACAATTGAACTTGCCGCAGAAGCAAAGAACTTCAGTCATTGTCTGGTCACCTCCAACAACACCGACGAACGAAGTCACGCCGCCTTCTCCTCCACAAACTCCAACAACTCCAACTGGAACCATTCTAAGCTACTCTCCGACTTCACCGAATGTTATTCCACCAAGAGGCAGACCCAGAGCGGATGTAGTAAACATTCTGATGAAGGAAGGCCAGAATTCGTATTCTTCGATCCGATGCGATGTGTGCCATCGAGTTTTCCCGCGCGAAAAGTCTCTGCAAGCTCACAGGAGAACACACAGCGGCGAAAGGCCTTACGTTTGTGATTTCCCGAACTGTGGGAAAGCTTTTGTCCAAAGTGGCCAATTGAAGACTCATCAAAGGCTACATACAGGCGAAAAACCGTTCGCTTGTTCCGCTCAAGGTTGTACCACTCGATTTACACATGCTAACCGCCATTGCAGCATTCACCCGTATGCAAGCCTGAAGCGTATCTTTACCGACATTCCGCTGAAAGAAATCTTGAAAAACGAGAATTCCGAGCCTAACGAATACAAAGCGGCTGTTTTACAATGGCTGGCTAACTACGAGCTTGATAAAGAGGAGCGAAATCCTGCAAAGGTTCAAGAGAAAGTCATGAAGCGGAAGGTAGAAAAGGAAATCGCTAGGCAGCAAGTTGTTGAAAGAAAGAAATCAAGAATTGAAGCAAGAAAGCGAATGGCTGAGGCAAAAGAAAGATGGTATGGAGCTATGGCTCTCGTAGAACTTGCTGATACTCAATTTAACTTTAATTAACCAGAAACAAATCCAATTTTCGAACTTTGGTGTCATTTCACTTGGTGAAATAAACAACATTTTGGCGCGCAAAGTTTAAATGGCTTTTATGTTATTGTACAGTGTTGCAATGTATCTGATCTGATCAATTTTTCTTTACTTTGTGAGTGAAACGTGTTCTAGTTAACTTAAAACGGATAGGTTTTACTTCAGAAGCATTGTAGCTATTTTTACAACTGACAACTCGTGGAAAAGTACTTTCAGTATGTAAATGAGTGGTAGTTATTCAATGGTAGTAACTGAAAGTTCATCATGATTTCAAGTGTTTACCGCGTGACTTGCGAAAAGAATTAGCTGTACATAAGAAAAAGCATCGCACTTTTAGATGAGATTTACGTAAATATATTCGCTCTACATAGTTTGTAAAAATTTCCTAAAATTATCCACATCATTCACGTTAGTCATTCATAGACACAAAATTTGAAAAATGAAAAACTGAGTTCCTTCATGCATTGATAAATAATTTCGGTTTTTTCAGTTAAATATGTTTTCTGTAACTTTACAAGGATACAGTTTTATAAAAACAGTGGAATAAGTCTAAAGTTAACAATCTGGGTCTTTTTTAAGTGACTTAACTTTATTCACAATAAAAAAGTTATAATAGACATACTGTGTTGTCTCTGTACAAGTAAATGATACAGCCATTTCATTTTTTTTTCTTCCTGTAACTTGCTGATCATACTATATTTGGACATTTTCGTGATCACAATAATGTATTTCCTGTGTGAATTGTAATACAAGCGCTAAGTGGCTTGATAGCTGTGACAGCCTGAACATAATTGCTCTGTCACCCCAGGTTTTTGAGCCCCCTCTTCTGAAATTTCAGTGTCCAACTTTACAAATCTGTTTGAAAAGATGGACTACTACACCTAATATAAATTCATCTTAAATTTGAAAGCAGCCCCAAAAAAATTCATACAGTAGATATGAAAAGGTGACATTTCATTTTAATGCAAAATTATAGCCTCCAGCAGCCTTGAGTTCATTATTTTAAATCTAATAGTGAGAAGAAAATTGCTAGTTAAAAAACTCATTAAAACAAATATTTTCCCATGGTGATCTCAGTCAACAAACTTGATACTCCAGACATATTGTCAAGGCCCAAGGTATGGCCAATTTGCTCCATTGAGTAATGCTGATATTCCACCCAGATAGCTTCAGCAATAAATACCTAAGATTATAACAAGTACTCCATTGGACTGCACTCTAATTAAATCATACCAACCCTCTCCCCCACCCCCCTACCCCAAGATATCACTGACAGTGACAAGATGGCTGGATGATAATAACTGTAAATTGCCTACAGAATCTTCTGGAATAAAAGGTGACAGTAAAATTACTTGAAAATTTCATTTCCGAGCTTCATGCTGCTTTTTTTATGGCTAAGCCACTTAATGTTCCAAAGCACACTTGACATCACTAGTTAAGAACAAAAACCTATCACATTTCCAAGAACACCACCATGTGAGATAAGTTTCATAAAAATTATAAAAGGAAAGAACAAGGTGAACATCCAGACACCTTTGCACACAATCTTGGTCAGATAAGGATTTACTAGGAGGCAAAATGATTACACCAAAAACAAAAATGGCCATGTTTTCTTTGCTTGAACCGTCAAAATGTACGGTGGCTGTGTTATGTGCCTCTCATGAGTGTAAAAAATGCTAGAAAATTTATTTAAGTAGAAGTAGCTGCTGCCAGTAACAAAGCAAATGAGCCATACCCGTAATCAAGCAATTTTTTTTTGGCAGTTGCAAACCTAGCGATCCTGATGAGCATGTCACACCTGCTCACAATAACAGTCATATTCAACCGACTTAAGGTGTATCAGCTCCTTACATGTGTCCAAAAGGTATTTTTACAGCACCCTATGACAACTAGATATAGTGCACTCTTGATCAAGTCTTCTTCAAAACATTTTCAAGTTAAAAAAAGTTGCACGTCTTCAAAGGAAGCAAAAAATATAACTTGCAAATGTGCTTGTTTAAATTTCATCATGTTTAGCACCAAAGATAGAGGCTCTGGTCCAAACTGTTGCTTTTGAGTTTGCACCCAAAATTTCTCCACTGTACTTTCACTGTATTTTAAAACTTGTCGATCAGATTGAAAAAATACAACAAAAACAATAACTTGGTTTCCTCATATATGATTAATCCACAAGATAGGTTCACAACTCATTCATTAAAGCAGTAAGTAAGCCTTTAACTTCCAGAAGTGATTCACAAGTAACTTCTCCCTGTAATATCCATACATTATCCAGCAAACAGGAAATGAGAATACTCAAACTTATCAGGTAAAAGTTATCTTGATCAGACACCAAATTCTTGTACTAGTTTGCAAGGAAATGTGTGGCAACTACAGGAAAGAATTGACTATCAGATCTTGGAAGTTAGAAGGGTTAATTCAATATTTCTAAGTGAAAAAAAATATGTACTCGCATTCTGATACTACATGATACTTAACACTAATAGAGATAGGAGATTGATAGTAGAGGAAAGCAAGTTGGATGAAAAATTGAGCAGAAAAAAAATTATTGTAAGCCATGATAGTAAAGAAATAGTTAGCAATTACCCACCAAAATGGATGTGAAACTTTACCAAGCCACAAAACAAAGTAATTATCCACAACTTTCGCCAACACTGAGGTGAATAATGATTTTAGTATGTACCACACAAAAACCCAAGAATTAATTTATTTCTACCAATGTATAAAATGGTCAGACTTTAACTCTTGATGGATGATTTTGCCTCTTCAGCTGCTGAGGTGAATAGTACTTGCTAATCACTTTCTAACTAGCCAATTAGCCCATGTGAAAAGCACTGTTCGCTTGTGAGGTATATACTAAGAAAAGATATTGCTGCAATATTCTCTCAACATCATGAATAAACAAATTACTTTTTGTACCCTGAAAACTAAGTACAAAATTTTTTTTCAAAATGTATAATATAAGAACTGTGAAGTTTAACAGAAACCTACAGCACCAATCACTTGCTGATTCCACCCCCTAATTATATCTCATTTTATAGATTTCTCTTTCCCTTTCATTCATTTACATTTGCACAATATTTGTTTAAATTTGTGTTTGATTAAATCATTAAAATATTGGTTGATTTGGCACAGAGCCAGCTTCCACTAGCTCTCTGCTATGTATTTACCTGAAACAAGAAAACATAAAAGTTGTCAGCAAATTTGCTATCAATTAAGAAAGCAAGTTGTATCAAATGACAAACAATGAAATTGGTGAACAATTAAAACAACTATTCAAAAACAAACCTCAAAACAAATCTACAACCTACCAGTTGTAAACCTCTTTTTAACAAGAGATAGTTTGTATTCTTGACATCTCAACTCAAAATTCAACTTAGAAATTGTAGCACCATTGCATGTAAACTGAACAGCAATTCGTGAAGGTGTACTTGGACCTTGTGTTAAATCAAACCTTGCTCTCAGTGTACCTAACAATAATAATAATAATAATAATAATAAAAGTCAAAATTAAAGTACCATATTTGCTCAACAAATTACTGCTGGCTTTATTAAGTTTGTTTTGCAACTCTGGTGTGGCACTTATTGACTTAGAACTGAAAAAATTGCAATTTACCTTTGAGAAGTTGAAATCAATATTGTGTAAAATATTAGAGTTAAACACAAGAAAAAACAATCAAAGCAAAATATAAGGCTGAATTGAGCCACTGGCTTGTACCAGCCCATTATTTTTTGGAAGAAATATAATTAGTTAAAATAGGATTTTTCATGATTGATCACCTTGAGTTTCTGATGTGTTGGAAACTTCTTGCAGTTTCCAAAATGCTCTTTGGTGTTCAGCAGACCTAAAATAAATTCATTACTCAATCATCACGGGCATTCACTTACACTAACTATCTTCTAGTAAGTACAACAGACAATAACAAAATCTACCACATGAAACACTAAAATATAGACAAAAACTTTTGTTCAGACCCCAACACAATCTTCCTATATCATTGTCTCAGTGGACATAAAATCCTAACAAAGGACTCTTATCCTGATCCTAAGGGAGTCCTCAACTAGGTGTTCCCTTTCCTCTTATCCCCTCTCTCCCTGATCATTAAGACTGCATTTATGGAAAAAAAATTGTTTGCTTATCACTTACCAAGTAGCCGATGGTTTGGATTGCATGATGGTAACTCCACCATTCATAGGTACCACCACAGATAAGTTGCTAATTGAACAAGGAGCTGACATACAGGATGGATTATAGCGATAATCAACCCTTAGATCTGTTGCTTCCTCCTCACATTTCCAGTAACTACACAGCTGAAGGGGAGTTGTTGAAAAGCCATTTGTTCTGACCTAAAAATTACACAAACACTTAGTAACAAGTTGAATCAAACAATAACCAACAGAGACTTGTGTACTTTACAAATGCAGAGCATTATCAGTGAAAGGATTTGCCAAAATATCAGCTTCTTATCACATGCAATGAACTATTAATCAGAGATTCAGGGAATATTTCAACAAATTAATAACTTCAATGTTCTGTCCATAAAATAAAGAATCAATGCATTAAACCTCCAAATTTGGGATATAGAAGTCACACATCACTACTTATAAAACTAACTAATAGCGTCACAGTTTTGAAATTTAGCTATTTTCCATTTGGTCCCTAGGAAAGACTAGCATCCAATTTCTCCTCAAAATATCACCCATGCTCTTGATTGTAAAACACTTTCTCCTCAGCAGCACCTCAGAAAATTTCTAGAGAACAGCATGGAGAATATGCAAACTGATGTTAGGGTGTAAAGGGTTGATAGCGAAAAAAGTTCATCCCTACCTCATATTTGATAATTTCAATATTGTAATGGGTACTTGCTCCTTGTTCAGATTGTTTTTTGAGATGATCAGCCAGAGAAGCCATATTAAAATCATAAGTGACACCGTCACCACCACTTAGCTGTCCTTTGCTGAATACAAAACACAAATAATAATAAATTTTAGACAGTTCTTTCCTTTCAATTGGCTTTTTCAACACATATCTCAAGTCTATCAGATAATATAATTTTTGCTTGGGGTTAATTTTTTTTTTCCAACAAATGTATCCTTACCTTGCAAAGTTAGTTTCAGACATACCTATTAATCAAAGCCTTGTTTGGTAAGATCTGCTCAAGACATGATGTTCCACGTATGAGGAAACTAAGCATTGGAGCATTTTCTACATCATAAATGAGCGGAAGTACACTGGCTGGAAATGATACGGTAATATCACCTGTGACCTTCACCATACACCTGACAATACAAAAATTAAGAATTTTATAACAAAGCTTACAAAATTCATCCCTGGATATGATATTTAACCATCATAATTGTTACACAAAAAAACACAAGTCAGCTTAGTTTGAAATCATTCTAGCCTGAATTTCATTTTAATCTAGGACCACTGCCCAATCATTGAGGCCCATGGTGACAGTGAATGTGTCAAAAAAATCTGATGTCAAATCCAAAAGTATTGAAATGAGTGAGCGTGCATGCTCAAAACAGACCAGTTAAGAGGGTGTAACCAACATTGGACAAACAAAATTAATCCACAGACAAACTCCTTTGAAAATTTCCATCAGTTTCATTTGAATTGACAATCAAAAAGTTTCAGTCCATTTTTTTCACTTAATTAACATTTCCTTGAAAGTGGAGCCTATAATTGGAAAAGCAGGTTGTTCATTTGGTGCCAGAGAAGTCAGAGAATTCCTGAGCTACAACAGAATTCTATGGCTACATTTTGATGACCTGAACCCTTTTTAATTCAGAAATTAAGAATTTACATATAGTATCCTTTCTGTTAAGTTAATTTGTCCCCTTGCTACTACATTGCTTATCAAAACCCATGAAACTGCATTTGACATAACATATAAACAATAAGAAAAGAAAATAAACAAATAAAGTTCTCACTTGCTCTGATCACTTCCTCTAAAGAATGCATTCACAGACTCAATAAATGCCACTGCAATAGGAAGACTATCATCCTTTTTACCTAGGACAGTACTAGCTGCCCCTTTGGCAAACACCACACTCGACATGGTGGGGAGTCCTCCAACTGTTTTGGACCTCACTAGGGCAGGTACATTTTCTTGTGAGCTTCCAAGAGAAGATGATGTTGTAGCTCTGTTGAGTGCCTGTTGGCCAGTACTTGATGTTGAACCCATGTAACTTACAACAGGTTGTTTTGAAGGGCTATTAGGATTGCCATGTTCACCAGGGAGGGAACTGTTTTGTGAATCAGAAGGTTCTGTGCTGCTAGTAGTTACTGGTGTAAAGTCAGCCAAGCAGCTAAACAGCTCAGCTGAATATGATGTTGTAGACGATGATGATGTTGATGAAGGTGGCTTGTTTGTCTGACCAGGAGGAAACAACAATGAACCAGAAGACCGTGGCTAGAAAAAAAAGAAAAAGAAAAAAAAATTGCAACAAAAAAGTTAAAAAAGGCCACTCTTAATCATATTTCTCCCACCAAACCCACAAAAACCTTTTTTTTTCATCAAATACCTACCTGTGGTCTTGGTCTTGGTACTGCACTACCAACAGATGCAGAACGAGGGAGTTCTGTTCCTGGAGGTGGCTTGAGGAGAAGCAAAGAATTACTGCTGTCACTTGCTGAATTAGATCCTGTTGGAAACATGATTCCTGTATCACTTGGACTTGTCTCTGACACTGTTGAGAAACATTTGATTTTAACTTGCTTTGTATATACATGCTCAAATTGCATGAATGACCACAATTAGTCCTTTCCTAGACTTTTTAAATCAAACTTCATACCTCCAGCAACTGACGAGTCATTTTCTGCTACTTTGTTAACTGTACCTGCCCCCTTCTTGGCTGGTAAGGGAGGAGGAGGTTCGGAAGATTCTTCCTGAACTATGCTTCCCTTTTTGGCAGGCAGCAGGGGAGGAATATCACAATATTCTGCTTCTGTATTTTCACTGGAATCTACATTGGAAATGATCATTCAGTGAATTAGACTGGACAATATCCATCTCTGTTATGATAGTGGCATGCAGTTTAACTCCACTCACAGTTTGAGTAAGTCATAGTAAAATATTATCAAAATAATATATTTAGTAGTAATTAAGCAGCAGTTGATTCAAAGGTGATACTGTATGGGTGAGGCATTAGAAGCCAGTCACTCTAAGGAATTATGGTCAAGTCACTGACAATTCAACTCGCTAATGCCAACTCACCAACATAAAAAATCAAATAGAGACATTAGCGAGTTGGTCTTCAATCCGGTACAACTTATTAGAAGTTAAACATATAGAAAACTAAAAGATCTTAAGTAAAAAAATTTTTTTTTTCTTCCAACAACATTTTATAAGGATCTCAATGCAAATAAAGCAAGGTAAGCATCGCCAATGACTATAAAAGCTTCAAACGTGAATGAGTTATTGGGTAACAACATCACTGTAAAAACTCATCATGTCAATCTATCAGATTTTTTTTTCGTAAAAATAATTCTTTTAATTTCCAACAAAGTTTTTAAGGATCTCAAAGGGAATAAGCGGTTAGATTTAAAAAAAAAAAACACTTGGCTTTCTAGACAAGATCTTAAGTAAAAAAAATTATTTTTTACATCCAGCAGAGGTATAAGGATCTCTAGACGAATAAAGCAAGGTAAACATCACCAATGGCCAAAAAAGCTTTAAACACAAACAAATTATTGTGTGACAACAACACTGTAAAGTGTTGGTTGCCAATGACCCAAGCTTTTTTTGAGATCCACATAAACTTTGTTAGAAATAAAAAGAATCGTTTTTTTACAAAAGATCTTTTCTAGAAAGCCAAAATCTCTTTGAAAAATCTGACCAATTGACATGATGAGTCTTAAGAGTGTTGTTGTCACACAATAATTTGTTCATGTCTAAAGCTTTTATAGTCATTGGCGATGTTTACCTTGCTTTATTTGCCATGAGATCCTTATAAACTTTGTTGGAAACAAAGAGAGTTGTTTTTTCACTAAAGACCTTTTCTAGAAAGCCAGGTTTTCTTAAAAAAATCTGACCGATTGACCTGATGAGTCAGGGATGTTGTCACACAATAACTTGTTTGCGCCTGAAGCTTTTATAGTCATTGGCAATGTTTACCTTGCTTTATTTGCCATAAGATCCTTATAAACTTTGTTGGAAGAAAAACAATTTGTTCAAAGCCACCTTTTAAGTATACAACACAACATGTAAAACTTGTGAACAGTGATACCTAAGCTTGTAGATGACGGCAAAGCCCCAGCTAATGATCTTAAGTCTCCAGAACTTTGTGTGTTGGGTTCTGGGTCAATTATACTTGAAGTGCCATTTTGGGAGAGTTGAAGTGAATTTCTTTGTGATCCAGATGTCATAGAATCACTACTAGCAAAACTTGTTTGACTAAAATCTATGTCAAGCAAATCATCACTTGAACGTGACCTGTTGGAAAAGCAAGACATTGGATAAGTGTGCAAAATTTGATATGGTATATAATACGGCATAATGATACAATGAACAACAAATTAATGCGGCTTGGGAAAACCAATTAACAATAAAACATGGTGCCAAAAGTTAAGTTTGGTCATGTACATGGATATTTCAATAACCCTTTACTGTGGGGGAAGCTGTAGTAATTGCATACAAGGAAAGACATAATCTTCTCACGATTTAATATTTGAAGCATGGCTTGAAGACCTGGATCTGTTTTTCATGCCTTCACCTAGAGACAAAAAACATGTTTGTAAGAAACCATGTCTCCAATGTTCAAAGCAAAAAATTTAACAACATATCATCAACTTACCTGATGAAGAACTTAAACTTTTACGCTGAAAGGAGAAACAAAAAGAAAAATAAACAATCATGTAGGTGTAAACTAATATAAATGTGCCTCATGGGAAAATACTTACGAAGAAAAATTTTGATGGGCTATTGGGCAAGAATCTCATTTTATCAGGAAAAGCATTTTTGTTTTTCGACTTGAACAATAGATTTCCCATCAGAGGATTATGAAAAAAAGGAAAACTAACCATTGTTGAAGGCGAAGAAAGACTAAGTGTTCCAGTAATTTTCTTTATTTCATCAACTGAAGCTGTCTGTGGAACCTTATCAGCCTCCACTGGGTTTATAACAACTTGCAGTTTTCGAGGCTCATCTTGATGAAATAAAAAAATTATTTTAATAAGTTCAGCATAGGTTAGGGCAACCGTCATGAAACAAATAAAAAAATTAGCAATCATTGCTGAATATTACATCAAAAAGTGATTCTGATGGCTGAATATTCTCAGCTCAAGCCATGTTCTGACACACTTAACCCTTCACACCCTTACATTGGTATTCATATTCTCCATTCCTATCTCTATACATTTCCTAAGGTGCTAACAAGGAGAATTTGCTTGACAATTAAGAGCTTCTTTAGTCGGGTGATTATTTCTTTTATTCTTGTGACCTTAATAAATGATTCTGGGATGATAATGTAAGGAGAAATTAGATGCTGGTCACTCTCAGGGACAAAAGGTAGACTGGGAGAGTTCATGGTTACCTTGTTTTCTGATCAAAACATCAACAATTTCATATCTCTATGTACAGTAATAATAACAATAATCCACAAAGTTCTGAATCTGGTCTTGCAAGACTCAATGTGTATTGATTGGATGAAAAATATTTTCCTTGCTAGATAATCAGCTAAGGATTTTTCATTTCAGACAAGGATTTCAAAAGGCAGACCAAGGCACACTTGTGTTACTCCATTTAAGTAAAGGACTTACCATCGTCTGAATCTGAATCAGAAGATGAACTATTCCCCCCTGATTTGGTACCTAGGTCATTATCAAGGAGAGATCAAATGCAAATATGGGAAAAAATCATATATTTGAATATAGTGAAATAGAAATTCACTAACAGCACACAGTAGTAATAGATGCTAACAAGTGTGGCTCTTGGTTTTTTATTGTTTTGATAGATATCAACTGCTCTTCATTCCATTATTTGTTGTTCCTTGGTATGAATTAAGAAGAAAAGAGGTCACAAAAAAAGTACATTTTATACACTGGCATGAAATACTTCAGATTCAAAATTTACATATGTATACAAATATTGTGCAATGATCATATCTTCCCATGAAAGTCTTTACTTTCTTGAAGTCAATAATACAAGGATACTTTCTGAATCAGGAGGTCTTATTCTGTATCCCTCTTCATCTACTTCAAATGATGATGACTGTAAAAGGAAATCAAAAAGAGATTATACATACAATTCACAATAATCCATGACTCTAACAATGAACTGCCCCACAGAAAGTTGTATCACTTGAAACTTGCAGAATTTTAAGTACCTCAGTTTTCAACAGTTCAACATATGTAATGACTTTGGTGATCTTTCTTCCAACAGTGGTGGAGTGTGATCATATCAAGGAAAAAAATGATTACATATCATGAAGAGAGGCAAAAACTTACCACATCCCCTCCTTCACTTGAAGGTGAGTCACTGTTAAAAAAATAATAATAATAATTAGTGAAGAAGGCTGAAAAAACATTCAGCAAGGTGTGCTTCAACAAGAAATTTTTCCAAGTCTTGTAATGGCACACTAACTTACACTGAACCATTTTGAGATTTCTCTTTCTTTGCCTTCTTTTTCTTTTTCTTCTTTTCCATTCTCTTCAGTGTTATCGGAAATCCTACAACACAAAAAAGTATCTATGTCACCCTCTCTCATTTTCCATTCTTTCTTGGCAGGACCTACAGTTTCTCATAGAAGTAACACACACACTTTTTTTTTTTAAGTAGTACCTGATGGATGATGGTGTTTGGGTGCATTTAAGCTGGGTGAGTGATTGTTTGTTATAGCACCTTCTGCTTGTCCAGTGTACTCTTCAAATGTTATAACACCTGCAAAAGAGGGCAACATCAAATTTTACAGATTACATGACTTGAAAAATAAGTCTTACTTAAAAATTACTTTTGTGTCCCATTCTTCCCAAACGGGACACAAAAGTAATTTTTGGTTACTAGGGTGTCTGTTTTTCAGAGTGAAATATAAGAGGGAAGTGTCAAAGAGACATTTCAATTTATTGTAAATTGAATTGCAATAAATCTATTATTCTGTTGATGATTTTTTTTCTGCTCACCACTTTTCAGCCTGACAAGGTACTGATATTGTAAGAAGAAATTCCAACTTTCTTTAGATTGAAAGGGTTAACAACCTAAGAATATGTAATCTACATGACGTAAGAGCAATAATGCATGTTAGAAGATTAAAGCCAGCTTATCATAATTTACACGAGTAAGATATTAAGGTAAGAAAGTACTGATATAAGAATTGAAATTTCAACTTCAAAGGCATCTACCTGGAATAGCTTTTCCTGTACCCTTGCTCCTCACAAACTGATCCAACAAATGATGTACTGTTAATGCCTTCACTTGCCCCAAGAACTCCTTGTAGACCTAAGGTAACAAGAAAATGCAGTACATGTTTACTTGGTAGAAAAGTGCAATTTTACTCATGCAAGGGATGAAAGCAAGACACCTTTGTCTGTAAGGAGCAAAAATGATAAAAACATACCTCTTCTATGAAAACTTGCCCTGACTTCTGTGAGTCAATGTACTGTTCAAGGTAGGCAATTATTACCTTCAAATGTTCCTCGTCAAGCTTCTGGAATTTCTACAGAGTAAAACAGACCTAAACTTCTTCAAAATTCACTTTGAAGACATCACTATCTAATAAAGATGGCAGTACTGTTGAATCAGAAATTAGCAACCACAAAACCACCTTGTAAACTTGTTGATTCAAGAAAGCCAACATATTGGTGCATTGATACCAATGCATCTACAAGGGAGTTTGTCTTTTTCTCCATTTTCCATGCCATCACTTACATGATGCATTTTTTTCCCACTCTAGACCAATGGAAGCCTAGAAAACATAAGTGTTGCCTGTGGTTATGGGGGCTCATGGAATATTCTCAAAAGACTGCCTGAATTTGCAGAGAAAGTAAGTACTCAGCACTCCCTACATTAATGAAAGTGCCCCGGATTCAGGTGACAATTCATATTAATATAAAGGTGTTGAACCTCTACATGCTGGTAGGAGCTGAGATGTAAAATGAAACACCCAGCTGGCAGATGAAAGAGCTGAAGAGAATCACATGCTGACCATGATTGTAATAATAATAATGATAATAATAATAATAATAATGACAATGATCATAAATACAGTAATCATGTGAATTCATACCTTGGAAGCATCAACCATCTTGTCATGAAAGTCATTTCTAATTATTTCCCTCTTTTCAACAAGAAGTTTATACTCTTCAGCTAAACAAAAATGCAGTGAACAACAGACATGAGAAAGTTCCAACAAGTGTGGGGAAAAGGTTATAACACTTATCCACAAACCATATGAAATGACATTTATTAAAAATGACTGGTACCTACACTCACAAAGTCATTAAAAAAATGCAATGTACTATCTACAGTTTAAAACAAGGGGTTCATTCAAATCCCTTTTGAGGCTCTCACAAGCAAGTGTGAATCCAACTTTTTTTATGTGTAGGCTTCACACACCAGCCATAAAGCATGTGAAAACACCCACTAAAAATTGTCACTTTCTTTTCAATTGCATATGACATTTTCAAGATAAATAGGTGTGAAAAACATGCAAAGACTGTGTCTGGACTTTACTATCACAAGTACCTGGGTACACACACAAAGCTATGTAATATTTAGTTTCTATTTAGTCATAGAGGATGTTCCCCTGTTGTTTTACATCACATTTCATCAGAAAAGCCTGAATCTGACAAAAAAATGAGAGGAATAAATCAAGAGCTTTGCAGTACCTGCTTTCTTCATTTTTGCTTCAGCCTGCAATTTTTGGAAACAAAATACAGATAATATTAGCAAAAGTCAGACTAAACTCTTTCAAAGTTTACTCTCCCATTTAGTGATTATACGTTTCCCTCTTGGCTGACTGTAAGAATTTTAAGTCATATCAAACAAAGTCCCCTGTGAGATATTTTCTTTTTCCTTATAACCTGTCTACTTCACAATGTACTAACATTGTAAAGACATTCAATCAGTTGATCACTCCTACAAGAAAAAGGGTTAAAGAAAAGACAAATTCAGGGTACAACTCCAAAAACTGAGAGGGCTACAATATACTGTACTTACAGTTTACACTAAGTATAGGACAACACTAATATTCCCCAAATTGATATTTAGCTATAATTATTCTCATTAATTGTCTTCTTGATGTTAAATTACTACTGTAAGGGAAATTCTGTCCTAGTCACTCATGGGAGTTTAAGGGTTAACAAACCTTTTCAACATCCTTTGTACCAGATCCATCTTTTCTCGATTTTTCAACTTCTTGACACCTGGCATAGTAAGCCTCCTTGGCCTGTGCACACAGAGGAAAAAAATATACGACTGAGTTAATATAAATGTTCTAAATAAAGTCAAACAGTAGAACGATAAGCAGACAAATTTGAAGGACACACATTGTATCATCAATCTGTAAAATCTTGTATTCATGAAAAAAATTATGTTGTTAATGATCATTACCTTGACTAGATTGGCTGTCATTGTTTGTATGGTCTGTACAATCTCTGCTGTACTGCTAAACTCTTCCTTATACTGGAAAGGTAAAATTTTTAACAAAAAAGAAATTTTATTCATTTGTAAGGTTATCATTATTTTGAATGAGAAACCACAACATCACAACATCCTGACTCCAAATCAAAGAAATATTCTTGCCAAAATCACTGAAGTTGAGGCCTACATTTAAATCTTAAGTTTCTAAGCAGCATCCTAACTGATTAGGAATATGTGTAGATAAAATACAAGCCCTCCCCATCACATGCAAGTGATGGAAACCATTTCCTGGAGGAACTCTTTAGCAGTGGACAGTTTAAACCCAGAAGTACAAGTTGACCATTGTAGTCTGATAGTAGGTGGGATTACTCCTGAATAGTATTGTTGTCTATGACAGTCACAGAGGTTTTAACAACCAGAATGTAAGTCCTCATGAATCAATATCACATGAGAACTTGAGTTAAATCACTCTACTGCCATATGTCTTCTTGGTTGACACTGATACTGAAATCCAGTCAATTTAACATAACATCAGTCACTGCCAGCCACAAGTCCTTTTCAGGACTTCTCTCATTGGAAGTATCAACTTGATGATCAAATTAACTATTTTGTAAACACTTTCATTCATTCATTACAGGTTCCAACCATTCACATAAATTTTATCATTAAATCTTCTTGTTGATCACATGCACATATAGTTTACACTCCAATAAATAAAAAATCAACCTGTTTGTGTCTTTCTTTTTGCTTGTCACCATAATCCTTGAGGTCTTTGATAAGATCTTGAAATCTTGTAACAACTTGTAAATGTGCATTTGCAAGCTTCTCGGTTGCAACCCGTAAGACTCCCCAGAGAGGCTCAAAGGTGCTGAAAAATATAATATCACATTTGCAAATCAGAAAAAAGAGGACATTATTTCCATTGCTTTAATGGGATTTTGTTGCAGCAAGTTTACACATGCTGCAGCATTTTTTCCCTAAATCAGTAAAGAAAATGTGATTGAAACTTTCAATTAACAAAAAACCAAAGTTGCATAGTAATTCACTATGTCTCTTAAAGTAATTTAAAACCTTTCTAAAACACTTTTATAGCAGTTACTAAAATTCTAGATTTAAGGAGTAACACTTCAGCATCATTTACAATTCTTATCAAATATATCATAATATCTAACATTCTGACTGGTGATGCCCAGATAAACAGATACTTGGTAATCTTTCACACATTTCATAACTTCATTAGACTGAGAAATATTTTAAATATGATATTTGATATATTGTTTAAATTTTCACTTCCAGCAAAAGTTTGAAATTATTTTAAACAGACTTTCTTTTTATTAAGCTCTTTAAAAAGAAATGTTTATTTGGCTTTGTGTTACAGATTCTAGGCTTTTTATCCTAACAGCAGAAATAATTATGTTCCAGTTCAGAACTATTTTCAATAAACATATTATAAAATTGTATGAAATGTATTTTTTTTAAATGTTTTTTTGTTGAAACAAAAATGAAATGTTTGTTCCATTTTAGAGTTTTATTAGGACTAATTAAGGCAGAAAGCAGCTGTATATTAATTCCTGCCGGTTTGCAACCATTATAGCCATTTATTAACTGGATTGACTTCTGAACAGCAGAAAATACAATTATGTAAATTTCTTAAAATGTATTTTTCAAACATGTGGTCTGCTATTGAATAGAAAAAAATTACCCCGACTTTTCATTTCAATTTTGAACATTTTCACAAATACATATACAAGATGATTGGAAACTTATGCTTTTTTGCATGAATATTCTAAACTTAACTGGTGATAACTGTATTTCAAACTCTTCTGCAAAATCAGGAAAACCTACATGTAGGTTCAAAAGCTACATCATTGCACATATAGATTGTCCTAGCTTCAATTTCCCCTTCTTAGAGAAAAACCCTTTAAACTTTCCCAACTTGAGAAAGAGTAGAAATTGGGCCACAGATTCCAATCTTGCTGTGAAAGGCCACCTTCTCTGACCTGACTAAGAGATGGCCATGATACAAAATTGCCTCAAATGGTGAAATTTTCTAAAATATACACCAGGGGTTTCCATGAGAGCTGGCAAAAACCAGCAAAATTCCTGTTCTATGTAATGCAAAATTGCCACCTATTTCCTCTGTAATTAACAAAGCTGGAGTAAGGATCAAACTTCCATAAGCCACCTACTGTGCAGTTTTTGCCTTTTAGTTAAAAACCTTATTGAAACCTCGGCACTTAAGGTGAATGAGGTTTGAAACCAAAAATGGAAATTCTCCCTAGTAATATTCACTTTTTGAAATCTCTGATATTTTATTCCTCCACCAGAGGTCACCCAGAAGATGCTTGCTATATTATTGGTACTATACGTGTAATAGATACCCCAAGGTCATGTTTTGTTACAATGGAACACAACACTTGTAAAGTTATTATGATATGAAAGCCTCTCTGATAGCATTAGTTGTGACTTTCTGGGTTATATATTCACCAAACAGTTTCTTGCTGATTTACTGTAATCCCTACCATAGAACTACCATGTGAAGATATTTTTAAATACTGTTACACAAATCATATTTTAGGATAGGTTTCAACCAATACATTACTGATGACAGCCTAAGTTTGAATCTGTCTTATTTCAAAATCTACAATTGTAAGTTTCTTATCTCACTCACTGTTTAGCAGAATATTTTCTTTGTGCCATACATGCTTCAACAATTGACATCACAAATTAAATTTATCTACATAAAACTTATTAACCGCATTTAAATATTTCTAAAGAGCTAAAAGGAAAGAAATCTCTTCCCTGTAATTGAATGTCCACAACAAAAAATAACAATATGTGTACTTATGTCCTCAATGTGTGTTCTCAGACACAGACAAGGGAAAACAGTATTGAGAAATCTTCTAAAAAGGTTTTTTTTCCTACTAGATGTAGATAAAGCGATAAAAAATATATTTTATTACAATCATCATTAGTTCACCCTGTAAGAATCTGAGAATTCACCTGGATTACTGCAACCGAGGTTTTGAAATTGGCCCGTTTCTACCAAAGTTGATGTGCGAGCATACCACAAAGAAATAAACAACATTCAGAAAATAATAAAAAGCTAGTGGATTTGGTGTAAAGGGCGAAAGTCTCAGCTAAACTGGTCAACTACGGTTTCCAAATACGGTATCTTGCTCAAAGTTGTTGATATAAACAGAATAAATTCGCACGGAGTATGACAGCCCATTGTGGTTATTTTAAAACACATTCAAATTTAATTTATAATTTTTGGTTTCTATTATGATACAATTTCTACAGTAAGGGAAGAAACAGCCACTTTTCCCCGCCTAAACTTCGCTAACCCTGTAGGATAACATTACGCACTCATGGACAAGCAAGAGCTTATATCGGCAAAAAATTTCAAGCTCCCGTCCTCCGAAAGCACAACAATTTCAAACCACAAAATTTTTTAATCCATTACGAACAACATTAACATGGACAGCTTCCTCTGACTTACCCTAGCTGTGTCACTTGAGTTGCAGATTTCGCTAATTTCAGAAGTGATTTAGCATAGACTTCCTCTACAGCAGATCTGAAAGTCGAAGGTAGAATTTGAAATTGCTCATAATCATACATTAAACACATCTCGACCACAAAGTTCTCACGAACAAAATTTTAGCCAAACATTGTGCCCACCTTTCGCGTAAAAATTCAACAAGCTTACAGCTTGCATTGTTTCCATATTTCATGTTATGATAGAGCACGTCGAATCCAGCATTTCTTTCCCCCTGAAAGCCGTGAAAATAAAGAAAGAAATTATTGTAGCATCACGCTCCGGATGTCAAGCAGCTACATCGACGATGCGCTGGAAAACGCTAATTTCAAATGATAAACACACCCAAAAATGGTCCTCAAATAGCACCATTTTCTATCTCAAGTCTAGAACCTGGTTGTCAATCCTTAAATATATCATTTAGGTTACTAGAAGGTATCCACCAACAACATGGCAGCTTCGCGAGCGGAAGAAGCCGTCAACAGGCATCTCCAGTTTTTTTGCAGTCACCATGGACGCGATGACCTGGGACGATCTGTGGGAGATTTGTCTCTGATTGTCTCTTACAGTGTAAGAGTTATTGAAAATTAGCAAATTTTACTCCACCACTTCTTTCTCCAAAGTATCAATAAAGCTCTTTAAATTTAATTACTTAACATTTTCCACTGAAAGATGCCATTTAACCCCAAAGTGGCAGTATATATCATTAAGCTAAAAGAACTCGTTCGCGTTGTTTCCTCCTGTTTCAAGGAATTTAAACTGTAATGAGCTGGTCTGAGTAATTATAAATTTTACACCATTGAATTAGGTAAAGAAATTGTGAAAGGTAGATTGATTGTTCATGGCTCTAAAATTGGTTATTTGTAAGATCAGTAAACTTGTGATATCACCGCTGAAAACCTCCTGGCCCTGATATAACAGACAATTCAAAACAAACAAACTAACAAACAAACTACATAGCCCGGTTCCCTCCTGAATGCGCCAAAACAACAACGATGGCGATAATGACAACAAAAACTACAACTAAAAAGTGAGTCAAATTTTTGCTAAGAGAAACTTAAGATAAGAGATCTTTCTCTTACCTGGACTGCATTAGACGAGAGTTTTCTCCGTTGTTTGATAGCACATTCAGTTTCTGTTGTCGGACTCTTTGGCGGCCTCGCAACCCGGGAAAAAAGATTGCTCAAAGATGCTAAGGAATTAATCATTTCTGGGCTTCCTTTCTTTCTGTTGATTTTCTTGGTCAAATTCATAATTTTTAACTCATTTCTTGGGTTTTCATGTGACACAATAGTGCTGCTGATCTTTGAAGGATCGTCAACGAGTGAAGTTTGGTTTGACTCTTCAGATGGTGAGAGTCTTTCTTCAACATCTTCGCTATCAGACAGGAGCTCTTCCTCTTCACAAGAAAGTATTTTCGCACTGTGGCCAGTGAACAAGGAGGCTAGTGAATCTCTACGTTTCATCCTCTGGCCCCACAATAGCCATTTTAAAATTATCTTTCCAACTCTCCTGTAGACTTTCTCAATTAATGTTTTTGAAAAAGTCACATCGTATACTTGATTTGTTTAACTGTTCAATATCGACACATTCTAGATGAAAAACGTTTTGAAGTTTTCTCTCGAAAATGAAAGCTGAAGTTTTGGAACATTTAGCTGTTCTTAATGCAGTCGTAGCTTGTTGTAGCTTGGATGTTTTGCTGACATTTTCATGCGTAAAATGAGTTTACTTTGAGTGAAACTGTACGAAAATTGTTAGAATCCCGGATGTCAGACCCCTTGACAAGGGACTGCGAGAGGTGTTCAGCCGTATTTCACTTTATGGCCGTCATAGCTACAGCGTGGGTCGACTAGAATTGAGAGAGATGGACTAAAACTTTGATTCGATCATTATGAGATTTCGGCATTTTCTGGGAAATTTTCCGTTTTTTTTTTTCAACACATAAATATTAAAGTCAATGTACTTAATTGTGAAGGAATACGTTCACCGAGACTAAGAGGGCCTAAGGTCCAAAAATTTCCGTCGCATCTTCGTACTTCTTCGGAGAATTCCCGAGACTTAATCGTGCATACCAGTCGGACTCCGAAGGTTTTAAGTGTGTAGTTCCGCATTGGCTCGATTGTCTCACATGTTTCACTGCATAGCTCGACAGTGTTTCGAGCTGAATTCATAACATGGCAAGGACATTCCCCTACAATCTTCATTCAATACTTTTCCTTTGGATAGCTCTGGGTTACAGTGAGGGTGAGTTACCTAACTAACAACTGTGTAGATATTCACGTTGACGAAGGGCAAACGCTCGACTGAAACGTCGGCCTTAGAAAATACCTACGGTGGCCAATTTACATCATTAACTCAATTGACAAAACCAAATTATCTTGTTATACCCCAACTAACGCAACACTGCACATGAAAAATTTACCCCCACACTTTGGAAATTTACCCCCACTATTCGGCAGCTGTATATGTTTGTGTCTGGAGTAAGTTGAGTTTCGCACGTGTTCACGTGACAATAATAATAATGGAAGATAGATGATCGTCTTTTCACGAGCGTAGGACGAAGAAAAAATCTGAATCTCCATGAGAAATGGAACCTCAGACCTTTGGATTCAGCGCTCCGATGCTCTACCGCAGACTCGCCACAGAGACTCTAGTTTGTATGACACACAGAGTTACAAGCATGACTCTATCGACATTGCTGATCCTGGCTGTACGCAAGACGCTTGCCACATGAAATTCCTAATAGACCTTGCTCACCGTAGAGTCTCTGTGGCTCAGTGGTAGGGCATCGGAGAGCGGAATCCGAAGGTCTGAGATTCGATTCGCCGGAATTCAAAAACACCTTTCTCTATTTCTCTAACGAGCTCAAAACTTACCATCTCTCTTATTTTATTTACAAATAATAATAGAGTCTGTGAATGAATGAAAATCACTTATGTGAACTGCGGCTTAAGCAATGACCATAAAGCGATCTTCGCAGTAATCAATACTACTTAAGTAGTAGTGAAAATATGGCCTTAAAAAAATTCAGGCCTGTAGTAGCTCAATCTCAATGAAAATCCAGAAGAATCTTAAAAGGATAACTGAATAAATTCGCGTTGTAATCTTTTTACCCGTTCAGTATTCAGTGGTAACTAAATTAGGCACTAGCTTTGTTTGTGGTTATTTGACATTTGGGATACATTTCCGGCCGAGGGCTGATATCACTGTCTAATTAAGCGAAAAATTGATTATAGTAAAGTAATACTAGAGTTGTTAGGTCCAGAAAACAAAAATCAGCCAGGCGGGAAATTTCTGTTTCTTTGCGCTTTCGATTATGTCTGGAATTCGATGCGAGATTCCATGAAACCTTTGAGACAAGGAGCGACTTGTAGTTATATTGAAACAAAGAAGAACTTCGTCCGACTTCAAGTGATATTGATATTTTATATTAATATCGAACTACAAATGATGTTTATTAAGTATTTCAAATTGAAGAAGAACAATGTTTTGAGCGGCGATCATGCGAAAGAGTTATTGTTTGCATCAGGTATCTAAAATTACTAGGCATGTACTTAAGTTTAAACCCAGATACGGCAAAAAGACATTATCGATCAAAACAAAACCACTGAAGCCATCAAAGCTACCAAAACAAACAACTACAAGGATTGAAACGAGCGATGGGAAAAAGACAATTAACTTGTTACTATGCTTGCCTTCGTGCTGAATACAGTTAAACTCCAGAGTTCTATAAGGTAATATCTGTCCAACATACATTCACATTTCCTTCAATTATCAACAGCGGCATTAACATGGCCCACTGGGACATATGGTCTACCGAGAGCAAAAGTTGGCTGTCCTGTGACAGCGAATTCCACGGTATGGGCCACAGGATGGCGATTTGAAGACACTGAGGACTACAAGCCAATCACCTCTAAATCGCCGAGTTCTCATCTTGATACAGAGGTTGGCATAGATGTTAACAGAACGTTCTGTATTAAGACAAAGGACATCATCTCTGAGGAGGCTGGCGAGTGGCCACAAGGTAAGTGATATACAATCAAACTGCAAAAAAGTAAAGACCAGTGAAGATGCAGACTTTGTGAGGCCACATCCTTCCCCCTAGAAAATCGTGCCACTCACCTCCTCTTCGTTTTCTCTATTAGTGTGGGGTTGGAGGGGAGGGAGGGTATGGCTTCTCGTAAGTTAGCAAAGATACTGTGTTTTCCAGAGAAGCCTTTGATACCACAGAAATACCAAACTAACAAAAAAATTGCAATTGAGAATAAGGTGTTTCCTTCTAAAGATGTTCTGGGATATCAGGCTGCCCAGGGGTTCGCTAGCACCTGCATGGGTGGGGTCACCATATTGCTGGTTCCCTTCGTTTGACCTCCTCCTCAAGGGATGAATGAAGAAAGTTGCTAAGGATACTTCCTTGAAAAAATACGAAATGAGAAGCAATAATCCTAGTTGCCTCTCGGCAAACAATCAGTGGCCTACAAAAAAACTATTGAATTTAACACTCCTTAAGGTTATGGACCATGAGACTCCGTGACCCTGTACCTTCTGTTTTCCAGTCTGCCTTTTAGTTCGTTGAAACATATACGAAAGCAAGCTTAAAATTCCTATAAGTTTGCAGAGATTGGAAGATATTTATTATGATTATTTCCTTAAGGCAGATATTGTATTTACAAGAAAGGTGATTGCCCCAGAGGACTGAAAGAAGGTTACGTATTTTGGGACGACGAAAACGATAAGAACATCAACGATCAAGGAGGGACACTTCCTGATGGCAAATACGACAAGGACACTTCTATATACTATTGTTGCAGCACCGACGGTGACAAATTGAAGCCCATCCCCCTCCCCCTAATCAGTCCGTTTTACCTTATGGCTTTCAACACGTCAGAGTGCCAGCGCGTGCAAGGCGCCATTGCCACAGAGGAGTACATTGCATTTGACTCTGAAGATCACAACAACCAAAATGCGCGTAATGGAAGCTATCCCTTCGGAGCAGGAGGGAGGAATCACCGAGTCTATTATTGTTATTATGAAGGTAAGGGGTTAATGTCAGTATCTGTGCAACTACCCTCCCTTAACAACTGATGACAAGTTAGGGGTTGAAGTTGGGTTAAAGTTGGGTTAGGGGAGGGGTAGGTGCGAACTTGTTCACATCACGAAATTGAACCAAGATAAGTTTTGTAGCAAGAACATTAGCACGTTGTGTAGGCATATCGTAAAAGTAAACACTTTTCAAAATTATCCAATGTGAATTTAGCGTAAGTACGCAAGGTTAGCCTCAATTGCTTTCGTCACCACGATACTAGTTACTGCAGTATAACGTTGTTGACACGATACCGAGGGAGGAAGCGGAAAAGTTTAGGGACGCTGTCCTCGTAGTCTTCGCCAACGAGAATAATTTGATGAGAAAACTACCTTTAATTAAAGTTGGGCAGAGTAGGAGGGTATCTTTATTGGGTGAGGGTTAGTCGAGTTTTAAAATCGCAGAAAAAAAATGCAAACCCTTTAAAAAACTTGATAATAACTCCTGACCTAGCCCACTTTGTAATATGGGTGAGTAGGGATCATCATTTATAGGGAATGGGGATAATCCCAGGGGTTTTGTATCCTCCATACGGGGCACGAGGGTCTGAGACAATAAGGAAGACATGCAAGTGGTGGTCACAGCTCCAATAATTTCATTTGTGTGTGTGTGTTCTTAGGTTGTCTCTATACATACAGCTTGGATAACGACGAGCAGATGCTATTCATCTCTCCAAAATTCTTTAACGATGGATTTCCGTCGGAGCAGAAGTGCACGTGGCGATTTGTTGCCCGAGAGAAGGAGAGTAAGGTGCATATTACCTTTCTGGAGACACATATAAGAGAAGGCGACAGTATTTCTATTCGTAATGGCTGGAGCAGTGGATCAGTCGTGGGTAAAATAGATCCAATAAATCCCTTCGATCCCAATGGATATGCGTCACAGAACAATTTTCTTCTCGTGGAGTTTAATTCAAAGTCTTCCTTAACACCTGGGATCCATCATCCCAAAGGTTTCCGCGGAATATTCAAAATTATTTCAAATGAAGGTAAGAATCACTGCGAGAAGGTAACAATATTATTGCCTTAGAGGTCAATGAGTCTCTCAAGTGGCCTTTGGTTTGCACTACTACCTCAGTATGAGGCAAAATGACACCAAAGAATTTTAAATTGACACCTGGAAAATATCATTGTTGGCAACCATGTTCAGATGTCAGATAACTATAATTATAATTACTACATAACTGATCAAGTCCTGATAACGAAAGATTTAGAAAAACATTTCATAATAAAAAAATAGCGAGATTAAAACATGACGTTTGGGCGACAACATGTCACCATCATCAACTGTAAATTATTATAAGTTCAGTGACGTTATCTAAAGAAAGGAAAGTGTAAAAAAAAAAGAATGCACATAATTAAATAAATAGTTTTCTCTGGAATTGAGTATTTCTGACTTTTCAGAGTCGGTCTCTTTTTCCTTATTAAAAGCATCTCATAAATAAGGCACTCAAACTAAATAGCGAGATTAAAACATGACGTTTCAGCGAAAACATTTCACAACTGTAAATCAACTCGTTAACTGTAAATTATTAATATATAGATTTAGCCAAGCCTAAAAGCGGAGCTCGCATTTTTTTTCCCGCACGTCTCAAGGGCACAACGCCTTGCCCCGGCCAGGACTAGAACCCGTGTCGTCCGACTCGGAGCCCAGTGCACTGACCACTGGACTACTGAAAAAAGCCGTGCCCAGTTGATCAGGCATGTTAAAAGTAGGACCTTGTACGGTCGTACGGTCAGATTTTGTATAATTATGGGGCTACGCTCTGCGAGCTCCGCGAGCTCGCAGTTCAGCGACGTTATCGAAAGAAAAGTGAGAAACTAAATTAGAATAAAATGAGATTGAGTAGAACAAAAAAATGTATATAATTAAATAGACAGTTTTCTCTGGAATGGAGTCTTTTTGACTGTTCAGAGTCGGTCTCTTTTTCCTTCTTAAAAGCATCTCATAAATAAGGCACTCAAACTTTCTGCGGCATTTCTTTAGGATGGCAAATTGCTGGTGAAGATTAATCAACTGTACCCAGTTATGTAGGTTTTTTATCTGTTTGAATGGTTGCAGTTCGACAGGGTCCTAAATGGCCAAATGGTACATACGGGCTCCCCCGCCCCAGGGCCGGCTGTCCTCCGAGGTCAGACGACATCTTCTGGGAGACTGGATGGAGGTTTCAGGACACTGAAGACAACCAACCTAATAACACAGTATCTGAGAGCTTCCACATGGATGCCACGGTCAATAAAGATGACATTAATAAAAGCTTTTGCATTGCTACGCAGGATAAGGGAGTACAATGGCCAAAAGGTGAGTATAGTTTATCTAAGCAGGGTTTAGCGGCGACCAGCGGAGTATACATCCAAACTAGAATTACAGTAATACGCTGACACTAGTCCACACCCAGGGATGCAGTCTCACTGCACTTAATAGCCGTATTAATAAATATATCAAATTGCAAGGTATCGCGGCATTCTTCTGTGTCAAAAATAATGGCAGCACCTCACCATGGATTAGTGACGTGGTATTGTTTTAGATATATTTGATCCCATTGATCCGAGGAAGTTATTTTTTCGCAGGTCAGTATTGCATTTATAAAAAAGGAGCTTGCCCCAAAGGCCTCTCTGAGGGATATATATTGTTTGATGACGAAGACCACAAAAACCAGAATAAGATGGGAGGGACACTTCCAGACGGAATATACAACAAAGATACGAATATATCGTATTGTTGTCGGACGGATGGTGACAAATTGGAGCCCGTCACCCTCCCTGTGAGCAATCCTTTTTACTTGCTGGCCTACAACACATCTGAGTGTCAGCAGGTTAATGGAGCTATCGCTACAAAGGAGTTTATACGCTATGACACCGAAGACGATGTTCATAACAGAGACCAGGTTAATGGTGCTTATCCTTGTGTGAAAGGAAAGAATTTGACGATTACTTACTGTTATTATCAAGGTCTGTATTTACAAGGAGTGGTACGTAATGGTATATCAGTAATTACAGCAAATGAGCAGTCAAAAAGCAAGGCGGTATGAGGCAAATCAATCCCGTTCCCAGGCCCTTTCCTAATTTTGAAAGGAAAAGGTGAATATAATGGATAAAGCAATACCTTACCCTGAGAAGTCTGCCGCAGCCGTTTTAAAGAACCTTCAGAAATCATCGTGCCACCTCATAGCTCATAGCGAGCTCAAAATGCAGTCACACCAGAATTTAACGAGTGAAATATTTGCGGGGTTCGCTTCATTTTCCTTCTCTCCTTATGGTCAAAATTTTGGTTTAATCTTCCCTGCTCGAGAAAGTTTTCCATAGTATCAGTATCAGTAACTCTTTCAATCTACCACGTAGGGGGTTAGTCTTTGAAACTTCAACAGCACATCGTCAGGAGTTTCGTTTCAGGGTTCTGATCAGGCCTTCGTGTTTATTGTAGCGGCCATGGGGTTTATGAAAGTCCCTACTGCACTTCACCCCGACTGACCATCCTTTTCTGTGGGATTTTGCTCAAGGGCACGACAGGGACATTGAGCTGGTCTTCGTTCCCCGTGGTTAATGTCCTATGCTCCTTACCAGGAGCGAAGACGGCCTTATCAGGGAACAAGGGAAACATGCTGCGTGCGACTGCACTTCTTTCCTTGTGTAAACGCAAATCTTATGTCTGTTTCTCTTCTCAAACAGCCTGTCATTACACCATGAGCGAGACTCCTCAGGAGTTCATGTCCCCTTTTTACCGCAGTGGTGATGGCTACCCGAACTCACAGCTCTGCACCTGGCGATTCTTGATACAGGAGAAAAACCCTAAATCACAGCAGATCCTAATCAAGTTCCCAGAGTTCAATTTAAGAAAAGATGGGGACGGTGACGTGGTGAGGATTTACAGCGGCTGGGACGAGAAGACAAAACTTCTTGCAGAATTTAATGGTGATCACCCACCCCCAACCAAGGGTGTGGCAACTGACTCCTCTGTGGTGTATGTGGTATTCAAATCTGACTCACAAGCCCGCTCCAAGGGCTTCAGAGGAGTTTTCTTGATTCAGAGTAAGTAGTAAAGGCATGTTTGTAGCAAGCATCGTCTTTTAATAATTGGAGAGGTCGTAAATGAATTAAAAACCATCTGTCTTAAGGAAAGATGTTCTATGATATAAGTGAGATCTCTAACCATAACATGCTTTTGTTCTCATAGCATACAATGCTGCTTCTGTACCAACACGACCCATAACGATTCCAACACGGCCCATTCCAGTGAAAACAAATGAAACTTCAGGTAACAAATCCGTAGTCCAGGCCCCGTACTCCGGGCCCCGTAGTCCAGGCCAGCGTAATAACAATAGTCTTAGATTAATACCAATAAACCATAAAGGAATACGAATTCTTAGGGTCAGGTGAACCCAAAACAAAGAAAATAGTTTTACTTTAATGCACCCTATACTGTCTCCTTCACTTCATTGGACATTTACTTATCCACTTCTGTACAATTGGCGCTTCTCCATTTCCCAACTCCCCCAAATTTATCTTCATACCATGATTGACACTTTGATCACAGACGTGATCAAGAGCCATCTTCTCCAAACGGTAAACGGTACATATGTATTGATAAATCATCCAACAAACTGGTACCAAGAATAGAATAGTACATGCTTTCTTGATTCAACACCATATTCTCTTTACTTTTATACAAGGAAGTGTAAAGCAGTTACAGGAGAGAATTAATTTTTCAGATCTTGGACAGTTGAACAGCTACAGTAGATGCATCTGCCTGTTCACACAGTTGTGTGCAGAGTAAGAGAGAAGCTGCACTTATAGAAATCACAATATATTTTATTGAATAGTGTCTTTACTAAATGTTCAGTTAAAGAAAAGACGAACGAGACAGCTACAGTAACCACAGCAAGTGCCAGTTTAAACCTAACGACGACAAAATCCGAAGGTAAGTATCACTTTCGGTTTTGCGTTTAATCTTACTGAAATACGGGTGAGTGACATGCTAAATGTCGCAGAGTATCCTTGGTTAGCCTTATTTTTAGTATAGTTAAATAATTAATTATCGTTGGAGGTGAAATAGACCAGGAGCAGTCCCTCCTTTTCGGCGAAGTCTGGGAGTAAGACGTACTTTTTGAGCACTATACATGCAGGGTTAGTTATTCAAAACAAACATTTAAAAATAAGTAGTTCAGAGGGATACAAATGAAACCCGTCTTTTATCTCTCTCATGCACTGGAAAGATATCGTCAGTAATAGTGATAGACAGCAACCTTGTCCGGAGAAAAATACCGTTGATTTCTCATGGAATTTTTTTAACGTTCTGCATAGAATTTTAGCTTAGGATGCTATTATTCATACATGGATTTTATCTTGCTCGAAAAGGTTCGCAGAGCGCTCGTTCAGGAAAACACGGTGTTCCAACTGCTATTATAGTGCTCGTGGTAATTGCAATATTGATTGGCATGGCGGTCAGTATATACTGCATCAGACGAAAGAGACTGAGGCAAAGAATAAAGAGGATGACAAATTCCGGGCTCCTGGCTCAAGGCAAAGACAGGGAAAGCTACCATTATAGTGATCTGGAGGAATACGAGTTTACGGGGGAAACACCAGACTTATTTCCACCGTCTTAACTACCTCTGAACCAATATTGGTCTGAATTAAATTGTGCTTTTTGAATGGCAATTAGGTGGCTAAAACATAGGTTTAAAGTAAAACTTCTTAGCTATAAAGCGAAATTAAACCCCTTTTTTAAGAAAATCAGCTGGGAATTTGTTCAAGCTGGAATTTGAACAAAGAAAAAACAAAGAACTATACGAACTAAACGAAATATATGGGAAAGAACAAAGTATAATACGAAAGAAAAAAAAACATTCAATTTTTCTCGTAATATGTAAGATGGGTTTCCTCTCTAATTTTGTCGCTGTTTATTTCGTGTTAAAGCAATTGAGAATAAGGTGAAATACAATGATTACCAAACCTTGCACAAAAAAAACCTTTCTCGAATTTATAGTATTTAAATATTAGTAATATCATGAGGTGATGGGCTCCTGGAAATTCTCAAAATCGTAAGCAATTCCAGTTTTGGTCATTTAATGATTCCTGGGTTTCTGTTTATTTTTCTTCCTATCTAATTAAATATTAACAGCCTTTTTCAACACGTTGTGGATCAGTGACTCTATTGGCTGAATGAACGTACAAACAGATGACGTTAAAACGCCTTTCAAGACGTCAGCGACGTCACAACCGCCTTTGTTTCTCACCTGCGTGCCTATATCTGTCTCTATTCAAAACTTTTGACGGCTTAAGTGCCTCAACGTTGCGTAAATAATAGTGTTAATGACCCCGAAATAAATTAAGGTTGCGAGGAAAAAAAGAAATTTTTTGAGTACTTCTGCCGTTTCTTGAATCGAAAACTTATCACTTGTTCATTGCTCCTGGTCAAGTGAACATATTCTAACTTTTCACAGAATAAACTATGTAGGCGAAAACAGAGGAGGTTGTATCCATATTAATCCTAAATTTACCGTGTAAATAAAATTACCCAATAGGTGTGTAGGAGGGCAGAACTTGGGCTTTCACAAAAGGTTAATTTTTCTCAAAAGGGACCGTTGCGCTTATTTACGGGAAGAGAGCTGGAAAAACAAAAGTGCCCCATATTCAACAGTGTTAATGAACATCGTGAGACAAAACAAACCCACAAAAGTGCACATGAATCGAGATCTATTGCCCGAGGTTCCTGAAATTGTCATTAAACGATACAACATTCATGTGGTTGACTGAAAAATCTCGTAACTGACAATGGCTCAAAGCAATTCTAGATTTGAATTGGTTTTAGTAATCACTTCCTCGTATTTTGGCGATATCCTGATATCAAATAAAACTTTTTGGGATATTGTCGCAAGATATTGGAAATATCCGGGAGATATAAATATATTTTGATACAAATTTGCGTTTGCAAGCTTATTAATTTTTATGCCGATTAGCAAAAGGTCGGGATTTTCCGACCTTGAGTTCCGGTCGGGTTCATTACGTTTGAGAAGAGAAAAAGTGTGCAAATTTTTTTTCCTTTCGCTAAGTGATGACTGTGTGTTGAGCAACATGCAGGTAAAGAATATATTATATTTCGAAGTTATTTTGGCTTTAAAAGGTTAACGGTAAGGATAATTTGAAATCAAAGCAAATTTCAGTCCTATGTAGATACATGTATATTTAGGCTTAAACTAGATTTACATATTTACGACTTCGTTTCAGAAGGTGGATCAAAACAACAAAATGGAACATTCCCCAATTCCAAAAGGAAAAGTCGTATCGCATTAAAATCGGGAAACTTCTGCGGCCAAATTTTTTTTGGAGCTTTGGCATACAACCTTGTGCGTAGTGCCCCGCGCGCAAATTATTGTTTAGCAAACATCACTTTTCTCGCGAATCACACAACAGCCCGTGATGCGTGTTAACAGCCTAATGCGACGGCAAGAGGCTATCTATATTAACTGCTCTGCAAGCTCTGAAACAAAATGTTAATTTACGATTATTTATATCGTCGAAGAGTAAAATCTGTAGATTACAGCGTGGAAGGTACATTGGCAAAGATCGTGGAAGGTGTGTTGTAAATTTTCGCCCTGATTTCACCTGCAGATTAATCCACCAGGTGCAGGAAGCGAAAAAGGAGCGAAATATTAAAGACTCAGAGAAATTACTGTGATCGATCTCTCTGATATCGAAACGACGAGAAGAAAAAAATCAAAGTCGTTTACGTTATTCAGAGCACGTAAAATAAGCGACACGCCCCCGATGTCTGAGTTGTGAAATATAAACATTCATGACCATTTAGCTTCTGAAGCCATATTTAGCATCTACGGTTTAGATCAATAATTAATCGTCTTTGTTTGACATAAATGACTCTCAGCCATTCAGCGGCCCAGAAAGAAAATGCGCGGCGCCTTGCTAAATTTACAAGGAATAAGAAAAGTGATACAAGATTATCTACACACGTTAGTCTGATCCAATCTGCCCTGGGAGGTTAGACTACAAACGCGCGCTAATCTCACCATTGCAGACGAACTTTTTCGTGTTATTTTGATGAAGAGTTTGCCACTGAGAGCATAATACATTTACAGAATGATATTTACGCACATTTTCCGTTATTTGGATGACAGAGATGCTGAAGAGACGAGGAAAAACAACGGTGAAAATATAAGACCGCCAGCCGCGGAGTACCGGTTTCATGTGTCCTCAACTGAGCATCGTGATGCGAAGTTTGAACAGATTTCTTGGAAAGCAACTCCAGGTCTAACTGTTGTTTCCGGAGCTCACCAAACAGGCGCAAGTTTAAGTAAAACATCATCCAGCGCTCCTCTGGCTCAAGGATTTTGTTCGTTGCGAGGGGAAACGCTTGGCGCAAAAACAACAAAGAAACAAGTTTTACCTCCAATTGGAAAATTACAAATTTCAGGGCTAGGTGGAAAAGAGTTTACACAAGATGAAAATTATTTCGCAAAACTGCCACCAATTGAACCACTGGATGACAAAACGCAAGCATTTCCGAAAAAATCGAGGGCATGTTCGGAAAAAGAGAGAGAGTCAATTTGGAATAATACCTCGATAAATACTCGACTGCCTCATAAAGATCAAATATGTTTGGGGACGAACAGCGCGGAGCGGTTCAACACGGTAGGGCAGGTTAAGGAGGAGAGTAATCCCAGGATAGAAAATGTGACAACGACTAATCTGACTCCAGAATTATCGGCTGATAGCTGGAATAAGAAACACGGACTTACAATGCAAACAGTTGATGACATGACGTTGGTCAAAGCAGGCGCTAAAACTTCTTATTATCAAAATGCTAAAATGAAGCTGGACATTGAAACTGTTAAAGTCCGATCCTCGAAAACTGATGCGATTAACGCCGATGAGACGAAGGAGTACAAAATTCGGCGAATTCAGACGCGACTAAAGAGTTTCTCGGACGGCGAAGAGTCACCTGAAAATGAGGGGTGTCAAAACCGGGATGAAAATAGGAAAACGAAGATGACAGAAGATTTATATAAAAACTTGGGTTTAATCGACCGTAACACTGGCTTTCTACGACACTCCACGAAACGAAGAACGGGATCTGCAAAGTCCCGGTGGTACAGTACGCCTTGCGTACAAGCAGGGGAAGTTTCACGTTTGAAAGCTCACGGAGGCTCTATTTCTTCCGCGGTGCGTGGCGAAGGAAAGAGGAAACGTCCGATACAGTTACTTGCGTGCGTCAAAGGAAGACGAAACGCTATCTGCGAGGTAATTGAACAGAGCATAGAGCCTGAATTCGGTTCGAGTTTATACGAAATGAGGAAAAGTTTAATTAGTATAACGTGAAGACAGCTTGCAACCAAGACGAGATCAAACAGCGCCAAGTGACTAAGAGACAGGTGATTTTTTTTTTGCCACCCTCGAGTTTCCGCAAGATGTATTTCATAACGGCATCGTGCCGTGTGAATTCATTTCGCACCAAAAAAACACCGCCATTCCCTGGAAATGGCCTCTGCACAAAAGGGAAATTGCTCTTTATGGACGTTATGGCGTTCGTCAAAACATAAAGTTGATTTTATGAATAATATTACTCTAAATATATTTTTCGACGCCGGTTAAAGGACGATGGAACTTTACCAAGGGTTTCGACATAAAAATACTGTAAAAATAAACACATTCATTTGTATTTGCGGAGCCTAAAAAGGCTTTTGTGAATATTTAGCGATTTAAAAATAGGAATTAGCTAAGATGACAATCTATTGATAAAAGTGAATAACTAATTGGAATTTTAATTTAACTCGCAGAATAAATTGTTGTAACTTTTCGAGGTATCAATTAATTTAACTTATACTACCGTGCTGTTAAGTATTTTCTCGTGGCCGCCAAATCGCAGATGATCTTGGAAATATTGTAGTCGGAAAAATAGATTTTGATAAAATTAACTTCGAAAAATTAGAAACGTGGCAAACAACATGCTACAAACAATTTCGATAAGTCGTTGGCAAGAGGCCGGAAGCCTTAGTATTAAAGGTGACTAAAATGTTTATCTTTTGCGCGCATCGTTAAAATACCCACGAAAATAACTTCTTTTGTTCAAGATGAGCGAAATTATTCAAGTGTCGATGGAACATTTTCAAGGAAACATAAAAACGGCAGGTAGGCCGAAAGATCTGAATTTCGTGACCGGCCAAGTGGGAGACCAAATAAGTAATTATGCTTACATTTATTCCAAAACTAAGGCAGGAGGCGGTCGATATGTTAAGGATACGAAAAAACCATAATAGCGCCTTTCTGAACAAATGTTCGTAAAATTATGTCAAACTGGTAATCCATATGACTCGTATCTTTTCCTAGTACGCATGCGTGGAGTAGACACCCATTTTCAGCTGGTCAAATAATACCCAAATTACAACTTATCTCGGGAGTTTAACCAACCTTTGGCGTCACAAAAGTAAAGGATGTTTGCTTGGTGGTTCTTTCATCTTTCCCGATTTAATATTTAAGATTTCTAATGAGGATAACAGTCGTAGTATTTTCCAATTAATTTGTAACTTGCCCATTATATAAAATAATGCGAAACACTGTGTACTTGGGCGGAAGTAAATATCGAGTGTAACGGTTTATATCTGAGACAGTGGGATAGGAATAGCAGGTCATAAGAGTTCACTTTCCCTCTATATTGTAAAATTTAAGACAAATGTAAATATTGCATATTGTGGAGCCTGAAAACAAAAATTAATTATAAATATCAAACAGTTTGGTAGGGCATCATATTCTGGTTATTGTGAGAAGTTTATGACAACAGCCAAACAATCCTAATAAAGAGTTTTTTTCGGTTAATAACTGAAGTGGATCTCTTTCACCCTTTGGATTGAACAAGAACTAAATTCTTTGTGTATCAACACCTTGATGACCTGATAGGTAATGAGAACTGCTATTGAGATCTTGAGAATAAAAGACTCATGAAATCCTTTTCCAGAAGTCCACACCCTTAGAAAACAAGTTGGGTCTGACTGTAAAAAAAAGAATCTGGCAAAGTTTGCTTTTATAACAACAAAAAGAAGCAGCTGTGAGATTTGAATGGCGCAACAAGATTTTAAGTCACTCAAGACAGTCAAGTGATAACGAAAACCCGGTTGGATTGGTGGGGGGTGGGGTTGGGAGGTCATTAAACACGTGCATCATACATGAAAAGACATCGGGGCACTTGGAGTTCCTCACGTTTCGAACATTCCAGTAGATCGTGGGTAAAAATTCAATTATTTCTATTACCATTCATCAATAATTAATTTTGGGTAATGACTCTGCAAACGTTCTTGTAATAAACAACGCTAGCCTCCGTTTTACCTATGTTAATTTTAAACATATGTCAAGAAGAGCAGTGAGGAAATTTGTAGATCTATGATAGACAGGGACAATACAAGACGTACACGATTCCCCTTCGTTAGTTCTAGAAAATAGCTTAACACACAGCCTGTTTGATGCAGTATACAATTATCGTTAAAAGTTTTTATCACCATGCAAAGTGATAGGAATTCGCTTATAAAAATCCTTCCCACCTCACCCCCCCCCCCCACCCACACATAACAAAATTGCACGTAAAAGAAGTTCATTACGAAGACTTCACCTAAACTTTTATTTACAACATACTGATGATTTAAAAATAGCTTGTAAGCCTAAATACTACCCAGAAACAGGCTTGAAGACTCCCTGTCACAGCTGTTTGAAAGAACTTGGCCAAGATTTAAAAATAAATCTGCACGATTTCCGGTCGACTTAACGTCATTCAGTGCAAAAGACGCTTTAGACACTTCTGCAATCCTTGAAATTTGTCCAGCGTGTTTTGCACACTTGGGTCACGTGACAGACTGGACTGTAGTTCCACCAGATACGCGGCGCATGCGTCGTACAGTGCAATTGCTATTTTTCGTCTGAAAGTAAAGTCAGAAAATGGCACTTCAGGGTAAACTAAAATGTGGCGAAGGGCCTGGGGAACATATATAAACCAGTACATGGAGGCAAATGAAAAGGTTGCCCTTACCTCTCGTGAGGGGGAGAAATGGTGGGCGTGTTTACAAATTTCATAAATAAATGATATATAACTTCAAGGATGTGAAGAGGCTTGTCTTGCGTTCGCCAACACTGATCCTTCAAAACATAGACAAACGAAAACATAACTAAAAGTTAACAATAATTTACCCTTTCAAATTTTTTTTCTCCTCATCCAATGCGCACCCTTCCCTCCCCTCCCTCATACCAAACTTCCAAATAACTAACCCTTCCTTTTAATGAACGTGGGACAGGTAAAAAAAAAGTACGAGTATGCCACGAGCTACAAGAAGCTGGATGGGCCATATTCTGGGATCATAATGTATAGCAGATTCCAAATACAGTCGCTGATAAATTTGTCCCAAGAAATCATCTCTAAGCTACAGTGTTTGTGATATTTTGACTTACCTTGGCTTTGAACAGTTTGTCATAAATGGCGTGTAACACGGGGAATGGAATACCCATCTCTAACATAGTCATAAACACCCAGGTTGGGTCCCAGACCAACTCGGCGCTCTTCTTTTCCAGCATAAGGATTATTGCCCCTGAAAGGCACAGAGCAACATTATTGAGTAAAAATTCGTGCGTGATTCAAGCCATGACGGTCATGCACAGCGGGCATGGCTATGAACAGTCACGAATGGTCATGCACTGGCCGTAACGTAATGACTTACCCAATGGAAAGTACCGCTCAGAATGGACATAAACCTTTCCTAAGTAAGCAATCTTTTTACTGACAATTGCCATGCGATCACTAGGTGGATTCTGAAGTGAGTCACGGAGCTCTATTGAAGAAAATAAACGTAGAAGTGTTACAAGTCCTGCCAGACAGCATTTTCTGGGAAAATTCACCACTTTCTCGATAGCCATTTAGGTTTTGAGTACCCTGCTGTTTTCAAACAAGACATTGTAATACGTTTGAGAGCCTTGTCGTGCAACTTAGTAACTTAACACGAAAATCACTAACCGGCTTCTATGATGTCCCTCCAGAGCGTCTCAATCAAGGTTGGGTCGTAATGTCCAGCACAGTGAACGATGGCGAGTTTACACTCAGACAGATCAAACTCATCAGCAAAATCTCCGTACAGCTGAGGATGATTATAGTCAAATTAGTCTTAACTCATCTGCAAAACTGCCATTCCACGAAAACACCGAAAAAATCACACAAGTAGCACTTCAGACTACCGTATTTACTTGTGTATAAGTCGACCCCTCACTTTCAAGGTCAAAAATCAGATTTTTCATCATTTCTAGTCAAAGAAGTTAATCTCTTATTTCCGAGAATGTATTGAAAACACGGGGAATTCAAAAAAATTAAGAGCAAAATGTAACCGTGTGCTGTAAAGTTTATTGGCACGATTTAGGCATATACGAGCACTTCGATTTACTGAAGAAGCATTTTACCATATTTTGTGAATCACAGTGAAAATGAAATCTTCTTGCATTTAAATAGCCTTTATTTTAATGCTGACTTTGAAGGGAGATTAATTAGACCGAAGGAGAACCGAAGAACTTCGAAGGATTGCGCGTAACATACAAGACCGCGCGAGCCAGGTCACCAAGCCACTGAAATCGTTCGATGAAAACGAAAGTTCAGCACCGTTAACAGCAGCGAAGCTGGAGGCAAAAATGTCTGCTCCACAGTCCGAAGACACGATATAAATCAGCTCCAGTAGCTTTTTGTTAAGCCACTTAAAATTTATTATTTCAAACATTTTTGTTGAGGAAGAATGTGCTAAAAAGTGACGAAACTCTTACACAACTAGAACTGGTTTTATAAACTCGGTCTACCTAACGGACTTCAGGCAAATTTTATGCTAATTTCTTGGATTGCTCAAATCAGGTCTTTGTGTACAAGTCGAGGGGGATTTTTTGGGCTGATCGTTTGGTCATAAAAGGTCGACTTATACACGAGTAAATACGGTAACAGCGAAAAGTGATGAATGTCTTTTACAACATGCTAGGGTATACGCCATTAAACAACAAAACTATTATCTAATGAGGGCAAGACCAAGTCGTAGGATACCATAAAGGGTGAAGAAATGAAAATCAGAGAGTGCAGAAGATCGAACGAGGGGGTCATATTACTTAAAATTACGAAAACATGCTTCATTGTAGAAGGAAATGAGGGTGTCGGTAAGGCGGGGAATCTGAACGAAAGGGAAATGACAGGAAAAGAGGAAACAGCACACTTCCCAGTGATATGACAAAAAACAACAACCGCCTCTTTCTGGATAATGTATCGATATAGGAAGGGAAAGATTCATGTAAGTCACTTAGTGAAGGAAATTAAAAGGCCCTTACTTTGGTGACATCAAAGAGCTGAGAATTCAATCCAATCAAAGCTTGGTCTATCCGCCTGGATGGATTAGCAGAATTAATTCTTACAAGAGCTTGATAGACTTGCATCTGGATGCGGGCAACTTCCAGCTTCTCTTCTAACCCGTGTAAGAATTCCCCGTCGCCACTCCCGGCGGTTCGTAAATTACAGCTCTTGGCGCTCATAATGGCACGAGCCAGGTATTCTAATCTTAACTCTAGTGTTACACCAGGACTGAAATATAACCAAAATAACACTGATGACTTTCAGGACAGTGAGAAGAGGAGGAGTGAGGGGAACTAAGTGTGTAAGATATGTTATTGTAGAGCGGTGCGGATTTAACCAAAATTTATTGCTGCTCTTGACAGAAGCACTGAAGATGCAAGTCACCAGAACGAGGCCTGAGACCTACAACCTTGATCACAAAAGTTGAAAAGTGTTAATATCTATAACTTCTGCCCATTCCCGCCCACAGCAGTGTGGAACGAACAATTCCTGCATTTTTTCAATAAAACACGCTGAAAGGGGGGATAAAAAGGGAAGTGAAGAATGGGGCGGGGCAGAGGAGGGCGAAATATGTTGGTATTAGCTCAGAATGTCAAAGTTTTAACGGCTGCGAGGTCCATTAGGGAAACCTTAACCCGAGTTCTAAAGGTATTGAAATTGAAATAATAATTACCTTTGTTTTTAAGAGAGTTTAGAAAGGATTCTTGCAGCAGCAGAGTAATTCTTTGTCTTTTCATAATGTTTCCACAACAAGTCCAACATCTTTAATTCATTTGGCTGATCCTGTGACGATGATCGCCTCAGAAACACCTCCAAGTGCGGAGATTTGATCTTCATTTGAAGAATAAAGGAATAAGTCGATCAAAAAACAAAACAAATCAAAAATGGCAGAGAAAATATCAACCGAGAGTCAACACAAACACTAGACGGCTTCTGTTCTCCTTCACTGCTCTGTGATTGGTTTATAAACTCGCACCACCTATTGACACAATTAGATACAAAACTAAACCGATTACGACTTGGTGTCCGACTTTTCCCGTGAAACAAATCGAGAATGGTTGAGGAATAAAGAAAATGCAAGGACTCTTGGAATGATAAGAAGGTACACGAAAATAGAACTTACCTCCAACAGCCTTTCAGTCAGTCCATTGTCAATAAACCATTGATACAAAACAACATGCCATAATTCATCCCCGTAAGACAATGAAGATGATAACACATCTTCCATCTAGGAAAAAGATTAAGTCTGGAAATCAAGCGCTGCCTACAAACCTGACAGAAATCAGACTTTTTTTTCATAAGAACTTACAAGCTTTTCAGCATCATGCGGTGTCAGAGCACTGGGGTCTGGGGCCGGAGGAGACCCTGGTCGTGAGGGTTGTCCGGGTGATTGAGAAGGAGTTGTTTTAATGACAAGAAGACGTTGGAGACAGTCCAGAATGCACTTGTAGCACTGTTGTATAGAAAAAGAAAGACTTGTCCAATATAATAGGTGAAAAACAAAGGGAATATTTATAAACAACAGTTACGTTTATGTCTGCAGTTTTGTTTTTACCAATGACGATCTGCGGTCCTGAGCGGAGAAGGAAGGGAAGAGTGGAGACTGTGTTCTACGCTTCAAACTGGTTCCTATTATTAGCTCTGCAAGACGAGCATTTCTCAACACGCGGGAGGATTTGAGACGAGTCGGAAAGAGGTTTGAGGGGGTCTGGCACTAATTATCAGTGCCAGACCCCTTGCAGATCTCCCGCCGCCTCGTGTTGCTCAAGGCCTCATACTCAGTTTCTCGCGGGCAAGAAACGTTCGTGCCTATTCGCAGGCTCACTTTTGTTCCCACGAAGTCATCAGACTCTCTCCAAGACTGATAAGGTGACTTCTTGTGAAACAGTTAAACATCGCAGAGATAGACTAGGATAAAATACCTGGCAATAAACGCTTCCCGTCCTTGCATATCACCATGTGGCTCTCCATTCCTGTAGAAGTGTAAAGCCATTCCCTGGGGATCTCGTTTTAGCGCAGCATACAAAGATAACTCCATCATAGAATCTCACTTTAAAAACAAACAAAAAATAATTAATAAATATTTTAAGTTATCAAAATTGAACAGTGGCACTTCCAAGATGTGGCTTTTCGTCCACTGTTAAAAATCGAAATTGAGAGTGATGGTCTTTGTTAAGGGGTAAAAAGCGGAGAGACTATTGAAAAAGTCTCACAGTGAGAACCAACAACAAACTCTACCCAGGTCTCAGTGGTGAGAGACAAGTGCTTACACTACTGTGCCACCCCTACCACCCTAAAAACAAATTGGCTGGTGGTAAATCAATTATTATCACTGAACGAGTTTGAAGATATTATATTACCTGATTCAAACAAAGAACAAATCAATTCCAGGTTGATCTGATGGGTCACTTGTCGATAACGCTAGCAAAAAAAAAAAAAAACAGAAGAATGAAAAAAAAATAACTTTAAAACCTGCCAGATGGTTTCATTACCTGGATGTTTCAAAGATTGCCTGTTACATTCTATTTTGTTGCTTTAATTAACCCTTTGACTCCTAAGAGTGACTAGCATCTAATTTCTCCTAACAATATAACCCCTGAATCATAAAGTAAGGTTGTGAGGATAAGAAAACTGATCACCAGCTAAAGAAGGGAGGGGGGAGGACTGGTGCATGAGAAACAGCATTGCAGAGAAGGGGGGGGGCATCAAAAGGTTCTAGTCAACCTCATATTTGTCCAGGAAAATAATAATTATTAATACTTAAATAACTTCCTAATATGTTCCTCCTAAGCAAAGCAAAGTCTACATAAATTTTACTCAATTTGTTTGAACAAACACAATTGCCATGGTTACCTTCTGCCCCTTAGTTGCCAGGTCTCTAAACTTGACATGCTTTAAACGATCCCTTATTGTCTGAAATTAAAACACAACAATGACTTAACAAACACCACACTTGCCTAAATTACTAAGCTTGGAAACCATTTCCTAGAACTATACCTCTCAGTCAGTACAAATGCTATGATTGGTTAATACATCAAGTTGTACTTCACTATACTGCCTGCTAAATTCAAAGGTTTGCTTGAATTGTAATGTTCTCCATCCATTTAAACCCACTAATATAAGAAATTAACTGTGTAATCAGTTTAATAACAAAAATAATCAAAGACAGAATGTCTTACAGTATCAAGATGAAGTATGACATCTTCTATGTTGTATTCATTAAGAACTTGCCACAGGCTGAGAGTCTCCACTGACCACTCTACAAGTGACTTGAAATTCATCAAAAAGTTTTTCTCTGGATTGATTTGTTTAATTAAACATGGTTAACTGATCAATCCATTCCCACTGAAAAACAAAAGCTGACAACAATGCAGCCTCATGTTCATGCTCAGCCTCGCGTTAGTGTAATTGTAATTGACGTAAAATGTTACAACATCATACAGCTACAACATGTAAAATGTAAACAAAATGGCAGATGGGCAAAATATTGTGCTTTTGTTTTGGAAAGCATGGAGAGAAGAAAGCCAGCTTCTTCTTTGGTGTGGCATTTCCCATCTTGGTGCATCCATCTTTGCAGCTTCTATAAGCGCTTATCAGAGTGTGAATTTGTGTCTTGCAGCTGCCATCCTCTCTGTCTTCATAGCCTGCAGCTGGAAGATATGCCGCAATTTCTAGCCATATAGGCTTTTTTTTTGTGCATGATTTTAGCTGGAGCTGGATATTCTCATCTCCCCACTTTTCAAGTAACAGGATGGTTTCTTTGTGCTCCCAAACCCTTCCGGGTGTTGTGGTTTCTGTCGCCATTTTGAATGTGTTTTATTACACACGATTGTTAACCTACCTTGCGAGGTAGTTTTGTTAAACACGGTTTTAGACATGTTTGGTTAAACAGGCCAGCAGTGTGAACAGCCAGTCTTCTTAAATCTGTTTATCAAAACAAATTTTAAACATGTTTAAGCTTTGGTGTGAATGGGGTATTAGCTTCATCCTGAACATACATCCCATTTTCGTTTGTTTATGGTTTGACTATTTGTGGCAAAGAGTACAAAACAAAGCTGATTTTCTAACTACTAACCCTGGTGGGTTTGTTGGAGAAATGGCTGCATACCACTCATTGTTACTCTTGTTACTCTCATTGTTACTCTAAAACAATTATGTAAATTCCTTAAAATGTTTTTTTTAAAAATGTGGTCTGCTATTGAATGAAAAAACATTACCCTGACTTTTCATTTCAATTTGGAACATTTTCACACATACATATACATGATGATTGGAAACTTATGCTTTTTTGCATGAATATTCTAAGCTTAACTGGTGATAACGGTATTTCAAACTCTTCTGCAAAATCAGGCAAACCTACATGTAGGTTCAAATCCTACATCATTGCGCATATAGATTGTTGTAGCTTCAATTTCCCCTTCTTGGAGAAAAACCTTTTAAACTTTCTCAACTGGAGAAATAGTAGAAATTGGGCCACAGATTCCAATCTTGCTGTGAAAGGCCACCTCCTCTGACACTTGTGAAGTTATTATGATATGAAAGCCTCTCTGATAGCATTAGTTGGGACTTTCTGGGTTATATATTTACCATACAGTTTCTTGCTGAGTTACTATAATCCCTACCATAGAACTACCATGTGAAGATGTTTTTAAGTACTGTTACACAAATCATATTTTAGGATAGGTTTCAACCAACACAATGCTGATTACAGCCTACATTTCAATCTGTCTTATTTCAAAAATCTACAATTGTAAGTGTTTCTTATCTCACTCACTGTTTGTGCCATACATGCTTCAACAATTGACATCACAACTTAAATTAATCAAAATAAAAGTTATTACCCACATTTAAATATTTCTAAAGAGCTAAAAGGAAAGAAATCTTTTCCCTATGATTGAATGTCCACAACAAAAAATTAACAATATGTGTACTTATGTCCTCATTGTGTGTTCTCAAACACAGACAAGGGAAAACAGTACTGAGAGATCTTCTTAAAAGGTTTTTTTTTCTACTAGATGTAGATAAAGTGGTAAAAAATATATTTTATTTCAATCATCATTAGTTCACCCTGTAAGAATCTGAGAATTCACCTGGATTACTGCAACCGAGGTTTTGAAATTGGCCCGTTTCTACCAAAGTTTATGCGCGAGCATACCACAAAGAAATAAACAACATTCAGAAAATAAAAAAAGCTAGTGGATTTGGTGTAAAGGGTGAAATTCTCAGCTAAACTGGTCAACTACGGTTTCCAAATACAGTATCTTGCTCAAAGTTGTTGATATAAACAGAATAAATTCGCACGGAGTATGACAGCCCATTGTGGTTATTTTGAAACACATCCAAATTTAATTTATAATTTTTGGTTTCTATTATGATACAATTTCTACAGTAAGGGGAGAAACAGCCACTTTTCCCCGCCTAAACTTTGCTAACCCTGTAGGATAACATTACGCACTCATGGACAAGCAAGAGCTTATATCGGCAAAAAATTTCAAGCTTCCGTCCTCCGAAAGCACAACGATTTCAAACCACAAAATCTTTTAATCCATTACGAACAACATTAACATGGACAGCTTCCTCTGGCTTACCCTAGCTGTGTCACTTGAGTTGCAGATTTCGCTAATTTCAGGAGTGATTTAGCATAGACTTCCTCTACAGCAGATCTGAAAGTCGAAGGTAGAATTTGAAATTGCTCGTAATCATACATTAAACACATCTCGACCACAAAGTTCTCACGAACAAAATTTTAGCCAAACATTGTGCCCAACTTTCGCGTAAAAATTCAACAAGCTTACAGCTTGCATTGTTTCCATATTTCATGTTAAGATAGAGCACGTCGAATCCAGAATTTTTTTCCCCATGCAAGCCGTAAAAATAAAGAAAGAAATTACTGTAGCATCACGCTCTGGATGTCAAGCAGCTACACCGACAGACACCCAGAAATGGTACTCAAATAGCACTTTTTCTATCTCAAGTCTAGAATCTGGTTGTCAATCCTTAGATATATCATTTAAGTTACGAGAAAGTATCCACCAAGATCATGGCAGCTTAGCGAGCGGAAGAAGCCGTCAATAGGTATCTCCAGTTTTTTTGCAGTTATCATGGACGCGATGACCTGGGACGATCTGTGTGAGATTTGTCTCTGATCGTCTCTTACAGTGGAAGAGTTGTTGAAAATAAACAAATTTTATTCCACCTCTTCTATCTCCAAAGTATCAATAGAGCTCTTTAACTTTAATTCCCTAACATTTTCAACTGAAAGAGACCATTCAACCCCAAAGTGGCAGTATACATCATTAAGCTAAAAAAAAATGGTTAGCGTTATGTTTCCTCCTGTTTCAAGGAATTTAAACTGTAATGAACTGGTCTGAGTAATTATAAATTTTATGCCATTGAATTAGGTAAAGAAATTGTGAAAGGTAGATTGATGGTTCTTGGTTCTAAAATTGGTTATTTGTAAGATCAGTAAACTTGTGATATCACCTCTGAAAACCTCCTGGCTATTATATAACAGACCATTCAAAACAAACAAACAAACAAACAAACTACATAGCCTGGTTCCCTCCTGACTGCGCCAAAACAACAACGATAGCGATAGTGACAACAAAAACTACAATTAAAAAATGAGTCAAAGTTTTGCTGAGAGAGACTTAAGATAAGAGGTCTTTCTCTTACCTGGTCTGCATTAGAAGAGAGTTTTCTCCGTTGTTTGATAGCACATTCAGTTTCTGTTGTCAGACTCTTTGGCGGCCTCGCAACCCGGGCAAAAAGATTGCTCGAAGATGTTGATGAATTATTTATTTCTGGGCTTCCTTTTTTTCTGTTGATTTTCTTGGTTAAATTCATAATTTTACCTCGTTTCCTGAGTTTTCATGAGACACAACAATGCTGCAGATCTTTGAAGGATCGTCAACGAGTGAAGTTCGGTTTGACTCTTCAGATGGTGAGAGTCTTTCTTCAACATCTTCGCCATCAGACAGAAGCTCTTGATCTTCACCAGAAAGTATTTTGGAACTGTGGCCGGTGAACAAGGAGGCTAGTGAATCTCTACGTTTCATCTTCTGGTCCTACAATAGCCATTTTAAAATTATCTGTCGACTTTCTCAATCAGTGTTTTGAAAAAGTCACATCATATACTTGTTGTGTTTAACTGTTCAATATCGACACATTCTAGACGTTATGAAGTTTTCTCTCGAAAATGAAAGCTGAAGTTTAGGAACATCTAGCTGTTCTAAATGCAGTCGTAGCTTGTGGTAACTTGGATGTTTTGCTGACATTTCCATGCGTAAATGAGTTTACTTCGGGTGAAACCGTACGAAAATGTTTAGAATCCTGGATGTCAGACCCCTTGACAACTTCACTTTATGGCCATCATAGCCACAGTGTGGGTCGACTAGAATTCAGAGAGATGGACCAAAACTTTAACGCTTGATTCAATCATCACGAAATGTCGGCATTTCTGGGAAATTTTCCATTTTGTTTTCAACACAGAAAATATTAAAGTCAAAGTACTTAAGTGCGCCACATTAAGTGCAGACCCAAAGACCATCGGTGGGGTCCTGGAACAGAATTACCCAAATGTTTTCAGGGGCGTTGGAAAGTTGAAAGAGACAGAGAGACAGAGCAGTACAACTCCACATCGACCCCAATGTGAAGCCAGTAGCACAGCCGATGCGGAGGACTCCATTCAGCATGAGATCAACGTTGGAAGAAAAAATTAAAGAACTCATCGAACTAGATATTATTGAACCTGCACAAGGGCCCACACCATGGGTTAATCCAATTGTTGTCGTCCCAAAGTCAGGGTGCGACATCCGTCTTTGCATTGACATGCGAAGGACTAATGAGGCAATACGGAGAGCTAGACACCCGACCCCTACTGTTGATGAGATTACTCAGAGCATAACAGCAAGGTATTCCCCAAACTTGACCTTAAGTGGGGATACCACCAGCTTGAACTTTCCCCAGAATCCCGAGAGATTACTACGTTTGCTACCCACTACGATCTGTTCAGATACAAGAGACTATTGTTTGGTGTTAACTCTGCTTCGAAGCAGTATCAGTACGAGATCCAGACGGCACTTGGGGGTATAGCGGGGCAAGAGAACATTTCAGATGACATCATCGTACATGGTAAAGACGAGAAAGAGCATGATTTGCGGTTGGAGAAAGTCATTGTGAGATTAAAGGAACGTGGATGGACCCATGAAGATGAAGAAAAGTGCCAGTTTAGCATGGATAAGCTCACATTCTTTATCATGGTATTGTCCGGGAACGGGATCAGCTGCACAGAAGAAAAGGTTAAGGCCGTGGAAGAGGCGCGAGAACCTCGGACGGTATCAGAAACCCGAAGTTTTCTTGGGCTTGTAAACTGCTGTGGCCGCTTGATACCCGATCTGGTAACGGTCTTTGAGCCTTTACGTCGCCTGACAAAGTCAGGAACTCCCTTCGTGTTTGGAGGTGAACAGAAGAAGGCCTTTCAGGGGCTAAAAGAGCGATTGGCTTGTGTTGAGACTTTGGGATACTTCGACAAGATGCCCCAACCCAAGTAACTGCCGATGCCAGCCCAATTGGACTGGGAGCGGTACTGACCCAAAAGCAGAAGAATGGACCAAGAGTCATCTACTATGCAAGTCGTAGTCTGACAGACACCGAGAGAAGATATTCGCAGACAGAAAAAGAGGTGCTAGCGCTCGTATGGGCTTGCGAAAAGCTCTATCCCTACGTGTATGGTGTGCCATTTGATCTTGTTACAGATCATAAGCCGCTAGAAGTTATTTACGGCCCAAGGTCAAAACCCTGCGCACGCATTGAAAGATGGTTGCTACGAATGCAGCCGTACAAATTCAAGGTCAAGTATAAGTCTGGGCCGAGTAACATTGCTGACCCCCTCTCAAGACTTGTGGGAAATCTCAAAACCAGCAGCAGTCACTCAGCTGAAGCCGAAGAATATGTCAGATTTTTAGCCATAAATGCGACCCTCTGAGAGGTGGAAGAGGCCTCAGTAATCGATGAAGAACTCTGTGCAGTCAAGGAATGCTTAAACGGAAAACCGTGGGATCAGCTAGCTTACAAGAGATACCTCCCATGTAGTAGTGAACTGTGCAACATTGGGCAGCTAATACTAAGAGGGACAGGAATCGTTATCCCGAAGAAACTCAGACCCAGGGTGTTGTCCCTCGCTCACGAAGGTCATCTGGGCATCGTTGGAACCAAACAGAAGTTGTGCAGTAAAGTGTGGTGGCCCGGGATGGAAAAGGATGCTGAAAAACACTGCAAACCCTGCTATGGATGTCAGTTAGTCAGCCGTCCCAGCCCACCAGAGCTTATCAGGAGCACAGCATTGCATTGGATCATGGAGAGATTTGGCAATTGATTTGCTCGGACCACTCCCCACTGGTGAGTCCATTCTGGTCGTCGTGGACTACCATAGTCGCCACTACGAGATAGACATCATGACATCCACAATTGCCTTTAAAGTCATCTCGAGTCTAGAAAGATATTTGCAAGACATTGTCTACCTGAGAGCCTGACATCTGACAATGGACCACAGTTCGTAGCAACAGAGTTTACAGAGTACAGCAGCAGGGAATCTGAGTAACGGCAAAATGATTTCAAGGGATGGACTGAAACCGGATCCCGATAAAGTTACTGCCATCAAGAACATACTGAAGCCAACAAGCCTGAAGTTCTAACCTTGCTTGATGTTGTCAACTATCGATCTAACTTTCTAACAAAGCTTTCAGATGTGTCAGCACCTTTAAGAGAGCTTACAACTGACCAGTCCAAGTTCACCTGGGCCAAACAGCATGATGAAGCTTTTGCCACTATTCAACACTTGGTTATTCAACACCCAGTCCTTAAATTCTACGGCACAGAAGAAGAAATAACTATTCAGACAGATGCCAGTAATAAAGGCCTTGGTGCAGTCCTTCTTCAAAATGGACAGCCAGTCGCCTTCGCGTCCAGAACTCTCTCACCAACAGAACAAAGATATGCAATCATAGAGAAAGAATATCTGGGAACAGTCTTCGCTTGTGAAAGATTCAATCAGTATCTAGCACCCAGAGAGAAGATTTCAGTCGAGACTGACCACAAGCCTCTTAAGTCAATATTTAAGAAGTCTCTACTATCAGCTCCATGCCGTCTCCAAAGAATGCTTCTCAGACTGCAACGATTCAACCTGACAGTTAAGTACAAACCTGGTTCCCAAATGCTCTTAGCCGACCATTTGTCCGGAGCCGCACAGCATGAAACCTCTGGGCCAGAAGAATCTTTTGAGGTATTTTCCTTAGAGCTGGAGAGCCTAGACCCTACGCAAGCCCTGAAGGTCATGCCAGAAAGAGTGGATCAATTGCAGCGTAGCACAAGTCACGATGACACTTCACAGGTACTAAAAACCACTATTCCGACCGGATGGCCAATACAGAAAGATCAAGTACCAATCAAGATCCGGGAGTATTGGTCTTACCGCGACGAGCTATCAGTACACAATGGTGTTCTTTTCGAAGGCTCGAGAGTAGTCATCCCTTAGTTACTGAGACCTGAAGTGAAAGCCAGAATTCATTCATTTAGCAGTAGAGCCATGCCTACGTAAAGCTAGAGACACTGTATTCTGGCCTGGTATGTAAACAATGTTCAATTTGCAACGAATTTCAAGCTAAGAATCAGAAGTTCCCAATGCAAAGCCATGAACTTCCTGACCATCCGTGGAGTCGAGTCGCTGCTGACCAGATCAGACTTCATGGCAAAGAATACATGGTGCTTGTTGACTTCTCCCAGGTTTCATGGAAGTACAAAAATTGGAGGAAAACACTTCCAGTTCCGTGATTGAATTTTTTAAGGAACAATTCAGCCGACAAGGCATTCCAGATATACTAACTACAGACAACGCTCCTCAGTTTACAAGCCATGAGTTCCATCAGTTTTCAGTCGATTGGGGGTTCACTCACATATCTTCTTCCCTGCATCATCACAGATCCAACGAAAAGGCAGAGTCTGCTGTGAAAATTGTCAAGTCTTTGTTCAGAAAAGCTCTCAAAGACAACAAAGACCCGTGGTTAGCCCTATTGGACCAATGCAACACACCAACAGAGTTCCTGGAAAGTAGCCCTGCACAGAGATTGATGTCTAGACGCACTAGAACCTTACTACCTACAACTTCTAGCCTTCTGTAAACCAAGATCCCAGAAAATGTGAATGCAAAGCTGACATTGAAAAGGTAAAAGGCCAAGTGGTACCATGATCGCACATCGCACATCGCGCACCCTACCAGAATTACAAGTTGGGCAAGAGGTAAGAGAGGCACCTCTACAGAGGAATCAAAACTGGAAAACGGGTACCTGTATTAAGAAGCTATCAGACAGGCCCTATGTAGTAAAAACCAGTCCAGACAATCATCTATTCCGTTGAAATCGAGAATTTCTGAAGCCAACTGAACAACCCAAACCAGTTGAAAGCAGTGGCAGCCAGCTCTCAAAGAGTGTAAACCACCCTTCAAAGCAAGATGTTAATTCAGCTAATCATGAATTGAAGCCAATATTGACACCACAAACTGTTCCAGTATAGAAAACTCGTACCAGAGTTGTAAAGCCACCCTCGAGGTTCAGTGACTTTGTTGTGTAATTGATCGTATGAAAATTGACTTCAGCTCAAGAGAACTTGAAGTGTTCTTGTTAAAAAAAACTGACTATCGGACAGTAACTTGTATAAGGACTTTCAACTTTTAGTCTTGCACTAATTTCCATTTGTTTTGTTTTGTTTTGTTTTTTAATTTTATTATAGTAATCTCCTTTTCAATTTGAACACATTTCATCTATGTTTATGTTTTTCTTTCGGAAGTTAGCGAACTCCAAACGAAGATAGATGTTACGACAAGTTAGTCCTACGTCACTTGTCACGTTACTTGTTTCCATATTTGGTCATAAAATAAAGCTGTGGTTTACTGAGTTTGTAGTTTACATGTCATAACACTCACCAAACACATCGGAGAAAACGTAGAAGGTAATTTGAGGCAACGTGACAAGGTAAAAATAACTGACCAAGCAGAGGCGCTATTGAAACAAAAGCGGTGGTTGAAAACAGAAACAAACGACCACGTTGCATCAAGGTTGGAAATGGGCCTTTAAATGATCCGCGTTGGCTCGATTGTCTCACATGTTTCACTACATAGCTCGACAGTGTTCCGAGTTGAATTCATAACATGGCAAAGACATTCCCCTACAATCTTCATTCAGTACTTTTCCTGTGGATAGCTCTGGGTCATAGTGAGGGTGAGTTACCCAACTAAAAACTGTGTAGATATTCACGCTGACAAAGGGCAAACGCTCGAAACGTCGGCTTTAGGGAATATTTACTGTAGCTAATTTACATCATCAACTCAACTGATAGAACCAAATTATTTTGTAATACCCCAACTGACGCAGCACCACAATTTCTTTGGAAACTTATCCCCACTATTCGGCAGCTTTATATGTTTGTGTCTGGAGTAAGTTAAGTTTCGCACATTTTCACTTGACAATAATAATAATGGAAGATAGATGATCGTCTTTTCACGAGCGTGGGACGAAGAAGAAATCTGAATCCCCTCGGAGAATCGAACCCCAGACCTTCGGATCCCGCGCTCCGATGCTCTACCACTGACTCGCCACAGAGACTATACGGTGAGCGAGATCTATTACGAAGTCTATATGACACACTTATCTACAAACATGCTGCTATCGACATTGCTGATTCTGGCAGTATGCAAGACGCGTGTCATATGAAATTCGTAACAGACCTCGCTCAACGTAGAGTCTCTGTGGCTCAGTGGTAGGGCATCGGAGTGCGGAATCCGAAGGTCTGAGATTCGATACCTCGTGGGAACTCAGAATTTTTTCTTTGTCCCACGCTCGTGACAAGACGAAAAACATCTTTCTCTATTTCTCTACCGAACTCAAAACTTACCATCTCTTATGAGACAAGGAGGAGCTTGTAGCTATATTTAAACAAAGAAGAACTTCGTCCGACTTCAAGTAATATTAATATTCTATATTAATATCGAGCTGCAAATAACGTTTATTCAGTATTTTGAATTGACGACGTACAATTCTTTTGAGCGGCGATCATGCTGAAGAGTTATTGTTTGCATCAAGTATCGACAACTACAAGGCATGTACTCAAGTTTAAACCCAGATACATTAAAAAGACATTACCGAAAGAGGGGGGCATTGAGGCCCATCAGAAACCACAAAATCGTAAAAAAAATCATCAAAAACCGAAAAAAAATTCGATCAAAACCGAAAACCTCATGCAAAACTGTCAATACCGGTACATTTTCACATCCCAGTTATTATAACCCTGATCGATCCGATACAGTGTTGACAAGTGGAGCATACAGAGTAAACTACACTAATTTTATTACAGGATTTAGGAATGCCATGGACTTGCCATTCGCATCTTCTAGTATCTGCTTAGATTAACAGCTGCTCTCCCGAGAACCTCGGGCGTGGTCTCTGCGGACTCAGCCTAGTTAAATTAAGGAAATTCGCACAAAAGTCCTCAATAGGATTGCCATTTTTCGGTCGCAAAAAGCTATAGCTCTGGAAAGTTTCATCGAAAATCCCTAATCTAACATTTCCATTTGCGAACTAAGACCTGAAAGTTTGGAGATTCTATTTGAATATTGAATCAATCAGTCACATGTGGCCTGTAACTTGGCCACCAACTTCGAGGTGGCGTTGATAAAAAAACTCTGGAAATGTTCCGTGCTGAGCCCTACCCTACGTGTTCGGGCATGCCTTTCGATAACATTTGCCTTTAGCGGCTATTCGAGGTCAGTGGAGACGCGTAATTGCCGCTCAGATCATCAGATCATCAGAAACCGGAACCCAAATAGGTCAAATAGGAAAACCGAAAACCGCATCCGAAAAACCGTTAGTATTTTTCGCGAAAACCGAAAACAAAAAGGTTAAAAACGGAAAATCCGTAAACTGTAATGAGAAAAAAAACGAAAAACCGAAGTTTTTTGGCACCAAAACCGATCTAAAAAATAGCCAAAACCGCAAAACCAAAAGTCCCAATGCCTCTCACCCGAAACAAAACCACTGAAGTCATCAAAGCTACCAAAAAAAAACAACTAGAAGAATTGAAAGAAGCGATGGGGAAATGACAATTAACTTGTTATTACTATGCTTGCCTTCGTTCTGAATACAGTTAAACTCCAGAGTTCTATAAGGTAATATCTTTTCAACATACATTCACATTTCCTTCAATAATCAACAGCGGCATTAACATGGCCCACTGGGACGTATGGTATACCCAGAGCAAAAGTTGGCTGTCCTGTGACGGTGAATTCCACAGTATGGGCCGTAGGATGGCGATTTGAAGACACTGAAGACCACAAATCAATCACCTCTAAATCACCGAGTTCTCATCTTGATGCAGAGGTGGGCAGAGATATCAACAGAACGTTCTGTATTAAGGCAAAGGACAACATCACTGAGGAGGCTGGCGAGTGGCCACAAGGTAAGTGATATACAATCAAATTGCAAGAAAGTAAAGACCAGTGAAGATTTAGACTTTGAGAGGCCACATCCTTTCCCCTGGAAAATCGTGACGTATTTTTTCAATCATTTGTAAGGAAATAAATGTTCATTGTCAAACCATTTCGCAACAATACCCGCTTTGCCACTCTCCTCCTCTTCGTTTTCTCTACTAGTGGAGGATGGGAGGGGAGGGAGGGCATGGCTTCGCGCAAGTTAGCAAAGATGCTGTGTTTTCCAGGGAAGCCTTTGATACTACAGAAATACCAAACTAACAAAAAAAATTGCAATTGAAAATAAGGCGTTTCCTTATAAATATGTTCTGGGATATCAGGCTGCCCAGGGGTTCGCTAGCACCTGCATGGGTAGGGTCACCATATTGCTGGTTCCCTTCGTTTGACCTCCTCCTTAAGGGATGAATGAAGAAAGTTGCTAAGGATACTTCCTTGACAAAATACGAAATGAGGAGCAATAATCCTAGTTGCCTCTCGGCAAGCAATCAGTGGCCTACAAAAAAACTATTGAATATAACGCTCCTTAAGGTTATGGACCGTGAGACTCCGTGACCCTGTACCTTCTGTTTTCCAGTCTGCCTTTTAGTTCGCTGAAACATACACGAAAGCAAGCTTAAATCCCTATAAGTTTGCAGAGATTGGAAGATATTTATTATGATTATTTCCTTAAGGCAGATATTGTATTTACAAGAAAGGTGATTGCCCCAGAGGACTGAAAGAAGGTTACGTATTTTGGGACGACGAAAACGATAAGAACATCAACGATCAAGGAGGGACACTTCCCGATGGCAAATACGACAAGGACACTTTTATATACTATTGTTGCAGAACCGACGGAGACAAATTTAAGCCCATCCCCCTCCCCCTAATCAGTCCGTTTTACCTTATGCCTTTCAACACGTCAGAGTGCCAGCGCGTGCAAGGCGCCATGGCCTCAAAGGAGTACGTTTTATTTGACAGTGAAGATCACAACAACCAAAATGCGCGTAATGGAAGCTATCCCTTCGTAGCACGAGGGGGGGATCACCGAGTCTTTTATTGTTACTATGAAGGTAAGGGATTAATGTCAGTATTTGTGCAACTGTGTAACTACCCTCCCTTAACAACTGATGACAAGTTAGGGGTTGAAGTTGTTGTTAGGGGAGGGGTAGGTGCGAACTTGTTCACATCACGAATTTGAACCAAGGTAAGTTTTGTAGCAAGAACATTAGCATGTTGTGTAGGCATATCATAAAAGTAAACACTTTTCAAAATTATCCAATGAGAATTTAGCGTAAGTACGCAAGGTTAGCCTCAATTGCTTTCGGCACCACGATACTAGTTACTGCGGTATAACGTTGTTGACACGATACCGAGGGAGGAAGCGGAAAAGTTTAGGGACGCTGTCCTCGTAGTCTTCGCCAACGAGAATAATTTGATGAGAGAACTACCTTAATGAAAGTTGGGCAGAGTAGGAAGGTATCTTTATCGGGTGAGGGTTAGTCGAGTTTTAAAATCGCAGAAAAAAAATTGCAAACCCCCCCAAAAAATTGATAATAACCCCTGACCTAACCAATTTTGTAATATGGGTGAGTAGGGATCATCATTTATAGGGAATGGGGATAATCCCAGGGGTTTTGTATCCTCCATACGGGGCACGAGGGTCTGAGACAATAAGGAAGACATGCAAGTGGTGGTCACAGTTTCAATAATTTCATTTTTGTGTGTGTGTTCTTAGGTTGTCTCTATACATACGGCTTGGATAACGACGAGCGGATATTATTCATCTCTCCAAAATTCTTTAACAGTGGATTTCCGTCGGAGCAGAAGTGCACGTGGCAATTTGTTGCTCGAGAGAAGGGAAATAAGGTGCATATTACCTTTCTGGAGACACATATAAGAGAAGGCGACAGTATTGTTATCCGTAATGGCTGGAGGAGTGGATCAGTCGTGGGTAAAATAGATCCAAAAAATCCCTTAAATCCCGAGGGATATTCGTCACAGAACAATTTTCTTCTCGTGGAGTTTAATTCAAAGTCTTCCTTAACACCTAGGATTCCTCATCCCAAAGGTTTCCGCGGAATATTCAAAATTATTTCAAATGAAGGTAAAAATCACTGCGAGAAGATAACTCTATTATTACCCTGGAGGTCAATAAGGCTCTAAGGTGGCCTTTGGTTTGCACTACTGTCTCAGTATGAGGAAAAAGGACACCAAAGAATTTTAAATTGACAGCTGGAAAATATCATTGTTGGCAACCATGTTTAGATGTCAGATAACTAAGATTATAATCACTACATGATCAAGTCCTGATAACGAAAGATTTAGAAAAATATTTTACAATAAAAAAATAGCGAGATTAAAACATGACGTTTCGGCGAAAACATTTCACAACTGTAAATCAACTCATTAACTGTAAATTATTAATATATAGATTTAGCCAAGCCTAAAAGCGGAGCTCGCATTTTTTTTCCCGCACGTCTCAAGGTCACAACGCCTTGCCCCGGCCAGAACTAGAACCCGTGTCGTCCGACTCGGAGCCCAGTGCACTGACCACTGGACTACTGAAAAAAGCCGTGCCCGCGGTACAGTTGATCAGGCATGTTAAAAGTAGGACCTTGTACGGTCGTACGGTCAGATTTTGTATAATTATGGGGCTACGCTCTGCGAGCTTCGCGAGCTCGCAATTCAGTGACGTTATCGAAAGAAAAGTGAGAAACTAAATTAGAATAAAATGAGATTGAGTAAAACAAAAAAATGTATATAATTAAATAGACAGTTTTCTCTGGAATGGAGTCTTTCTGACTGTTCAGAGTCGGTCTCTTTTTCCTTCTTAAAAGCATCTCATAAATAAGGCACTCAAACTTTCTGCGGCATTTCTTTAGGATGGCAAATTGCTGGTGAAGATTAATCAACTGTACCCAGTTATGTAGGTTTTTTATCTGTTTGAATGGTTGCAGTTCGACAGGGTCCTAAATGGCCAAATGGTACATACGGGCTCCCCCGCCCCAGGGCCGGCTGTCCTCCGAGATCAGACGACATCTTCTGGGAGACTGGATGGAGGTTTCAGGACACTGAAGACAACCAACCTGATAACATAGTATCTGAGAGCTTCCACATGGATGCCACGGTCAATAAAGATGACATTAATAAAAGCTTTTGCATTGCTACGCAGGATAAGGGAGTAGAATGGCCAAAAGGTGAGTATAGTTTATCTAAGCAGGGTTTAGCGGCGACCAGCGGAGTCTACATCCAAATTAGAATTACAGTGATACGCTGACACTAGTCCACACCCAGGAATGCAGTCTCACTGCACTTAATAGCCGTATTAATAAATATATCAAATTGCAAGGTATCGCGGCATTCTTCTGAGTCAAAAGTAGTGCCAGCACCTCACCATGGATTCGTGACGTGGTATTGTTTTAGATACATTTGATCCCATTGATCCGAGGAAGTTATTTTCTCGCAGGTCAGTATTGCATTTACAAAAAAGAAGCTTGCCCCAAAGGCCTCTCTGAGGGATATATATTGTTTGATGACGAAAACCGCAAAAACCGGAATAGGATGGGAGGGACACTTCCAGACGGAATATACAACAAAGATACCAATATATCGTATTGTTGTCGGACGGATGGTGACAAATTGGAGCCTGTCACCCTCCCTGTGAGCAATCCTTTTTACTTGCTGGCCTACAACACATCTGAGTGTCAGCAGGTTAATGGAGCTATCGCTACAAAGGAGTTTATACGCTATGACACCGAAGACGATGTTCATAACAGAGACCAGGTTAATGGTGCTTATCCTTGTGTGAAAGGAAAGAATTTGACGATTACTTACTGTTATTATCAAGGTCTGTATTTACAAGGAGTGGTATGTAATGGTATATCAGTAATTACAGCAAATGAGCAGTCAAAAAGCAAGGCGGTATGAGGCAAATCAATCCCGTTCCCAGGCCCTTTCCTAATTTTGAAAGGAAAAGGTGAATATAATGGATAAAGCAATACCTTACCCAGAGAAGTCTGCCGCAGCCGTTTCAAAGAACCTTCAGCAATCATCGTGCCACCTCATAGTTCATAGCGAGCTCAAAATGCAGTCACACCAGAATTTAACGAGTGAAATATTATCGGGGTTCGCTTCATTTTCCTTCTCTCCTTATGGTCATGATTTTGGTTTAATCTTCCCAGCTCTAGAAAGTTTTCCACAGTATCAGTAACCCTTTCAATCTACCACGTGGGGGGTTAGCCTTTGAAACTTCAACAAAAATCGTCAGGAGCTCCGTTTCAGGGTTCCAGTCAGGCCTTCATGTTTATTGTAGCGGCCATGGGGTTTATGAAAGTCCCTATTGCACTTCACCTGACTGACCATCCCTTTCTTTGGGATTTTGCCCAGGGGCACGACAGGGACATTGAGCTGGTCTTTGTTCCCCGTGGTTAATGTCCTATGCTCCTTACCAGGAGCGAAGATGGCCTTATCAGGGAACGAGGGAAACATGCTGCGTGTGACTGCACTTTTTTCCTTGTGTAAACGCAAATTTTACGTGTGTTTCTCTTCTTAAACAGCCTGTCATTACACCATGAGTGAGACTCCTCAGGAGTTCATGTCACCTTTTTACCGCAGTGGTGATGGCTACCCGAACTCACAGCTCTGCACCTGGCGATTCTTGATACAGGAGAAAAACCCTAAATCACAGCAGATCCTAATCAAGTTCCCAGAGTTCAATTTAAGAAAAGATGGGGACGGTGACGTGGTGAGGATTTACAGCGGCTGGGACGAGAAGACAAAACTTCTTGCAGAATTTAATGGTGATCACCCACCCCCAACCAAGGGTGTGGCAACTGACTCCTCTGTGGTGTATGTGGTATTCAAATCTGACTCACAAGCCCGCTCCAAGGGTTTCAGAGGAGTTTTCTTAAATCAGAGTAAGTAGCAAAGGCATGTTTGTAGCTAGTATGGTCTTTTGATAATTGGAGAAGTCGTAGATGAATTAAAAACTATCTGTTTTAAGGAAAGATGTTCTATAATATAAGTGAGATCTCTAACCATAACATGCTTTTGTTCTCATAGCATACAATGCTGCTTCTGTACCAACACGACCCATAACGATTCCAACACGGCCCATTCCAGTGAAAACAAATGAAACTTCAGGTAACAAATCCGTAGTCCAGGCCCCGTACTCCGGGCCCCGTAGTCCAGGCCAGCGTAATAACAATAGTCTTAGATTAATACCAATAAACCATAGAGGAATGCAAACTCTTAGGGTCAGGTGAACCCAGAAAAATGAAAATGGTTTTTATTTTAATGCGCTCTATACTGTCTCCTTCACCTCCTAGAACATTTACCCATCTACTTCCGTACAATTGGTGCTTCTCCATCTCCCAACTCTTCCAAATTCATCTTCATACCATGATTGACACTTTGATCACAGACTTGATCAAGAGCTATCTTCTCCAAACGGTACATATGTATCGATAAATCATCCAACAAACTGGTACCGAGAATAGAATAGTACATGCTTTCTTGATTTAACACCGTATTCTCTTTACTTTTATACAAGGAAGTATAAAGCAGTTACGGGAGAGAATTAATTTTTCGGATCTTGGACAGTTGAACAGCTACAGTAGATGCATCTGCCTGTTCACACAGTTGTGTGCAGCGTAAGAGAGAAGCTGCACTTATAGAAATCACAATATATTTTATTGAATAGTGTCTTTACTAAATGTTCAGTTAAAGAAAAGACGAACGAGACAACTACAGTAACCACAGCAAGTGCCAGTTTAAACCTAACGACGACAAAATCCGAAGGTAAGTATCACTTTCGGTTTTGCGTTTAATCTTACTGAAATACGGATGAGTGACATGCTAAATGTCGCAGAGTATCCTTGGTGAGCCTTATTTTCAGTATGGTTAAATAATTAATTATTGTTAGAAGCGAAATAGACCACCTGCAGTCCCTCCTTTTCGGCGAAGTTTGTGAGTAAGACATACTTTTCGTGCACCCTACATGCAGAGTTAGTTATTCAAAACAAACATTTGAACATAAGTAGGTCAGAGGGATACAAATGAAACCCTTTTTTTCTTTTTATCTCTGTCATACACTGGAAAGATATCGTCAGTAATAATGATAGACAGCAACCTAGTCCGGAGAAAAATACCGTTGATTTCTTATTGAATTTTTTAACGTTCTGCATAAAATTTGAGCTCAGGATACTGTCATTCATACATGGATTTTATCTTGCCCGAAAAGGTTCGCAGAGCGCTCGTTCAGGAAAGCACGGTGTTCCAACTGTTATAATAGTGGTGGTGGTAATTGCAATATTGATTGGCATAGCGGTCAGTATATACTGCATCAGACGAAAGAGACTGAGGCAAAGAATAGAGATGATGACAAATTCCGGGCTCCCGGTTCAAGGCAAAGACAGGGAAAGCTTCCATTATAGTGATCTGGAGGAATACGAGTTTACGGGGGAAACACCAGACTTATTTCCACCGTCTTAACTACCTCTGAACCAATATTGGTCTGAATTAAATTGTGCTTTTTGAATGGCAATTAACGGGGCTAAAACATAGGTTTAAAGTAAAACTTCTTAGCTATAAAGCGAGATTAAACCCTTTTTTAAGAAAAAACGAATCAGCTAGAAATGTATTTGAGCTGGAATTTGAACAAAGAAAGAACAAAGAACGATACGAAAGAAAAAAACATTCAATTTTTCTCATAATATGTAAGATGGGTTTCCTCTCTAATTTTGTCGCTGTTTATTACATGTTAAAGCAATTGAGAATAAGTTGAAATACAATGATTACCAAACCTTGCACACAAAAAAAACTTTTCTCGAATTTATAGTATTTAAAGATTAGTAATATCATAAGGCGATGGGTTCCTGGAAATTCTGAAAAACGTAAGCAATTCCAGTTTTGGTCATTTAATGATTCCTGGGTTTCTGTTTCTTTTTCTTCTTGTCTAATTAAATATTAACAGCCTTTTTCAACACGCTGTGGATCAGTGATTGTATTGTTTGAATGAACGTACATACTGATGACGTTAAAACGCCTTTAAAGACGTTAGCGACGTCACTACCGTCTTTGTTTCTCACGCGTGTGCCTATTTCTGTCTCTATTCAAAACTTTTGACAGCTCAAGTGCCTCAATGTTACGTAAATAATAGTGTTAATTAATGACCCCAAAATGAATTAAGGTTACGAAGAAAAAAAGAAATTTGTTTTAGTACTTCTGTCGTTTCTTGAATCGAAAACTTATCACTTGTTCATTGCTCCAAGTCAAGTGAACACGTTCTAATTTTTCATAGCATAAACTATGTAGGCGAAAACAGAGGAAGTTGTTTCCATAATAATCCTAAATTTACTGCGTAAATAAAATTACCTAATAGGTGTGTAGGAGGGCAGAACTTGGGCCTTCACAAAAGGTTAATTTTTCTCAAAAGGGACCGTTGAGCTTATTTATGGGATGAGAGCTGGAAAAATAAAAGCACCCCATATTCAACAGTGTTAAGGAACATCGTGAGACAAAACAAACCCACAAAAGTGCACATGAATCGAGATCTATTGCCCGAGGTTCCTGAAATTGTCATTATACGATACAACATTCATGTGTGCTGAGTGAAAAATCCCGTAGCTGACAATGGCTCAAAGCGATTCTAGTTTTGAATTGGTTTTAGTAATCACTTCCTGATATCGTGCCGTGTGAATTCATTTCGCACCAAAAAAACACCGCCAATCCCTGGAAATGGCCTCTGCACAAAAGGGAAATTGCTCTTTATGGACGTTATGGCGTTCGTCAAAACATAAAGTTGATTTTATGTTCAATAATACTATAAATATATTTTTCGACGCCGGTTAAAGGACGATGGAACTTTACCAAGGGTTTTGACATAAAAATACTGTAAAGAAAACTAAATAAACACATTCAATTGTATTTGCGGAACCTAAAAAGGCTTTTGTGAATATTTAGCGATTTAAAAATAGGAATTAGCTAAGATGACAATCTGTTGATAAAAGTGAATAACTAATTGAATTTTAATTTAACTCGCAGAATAAATTGTTGTAACTTTTCGAAGTATCAATTAATTTAACTTATACTACCATGCTGTTATTAAGTATTTTCTCGTGGCCGCCAAATCGCAGATGATCTTGGAAATAGTGTAGTCGGAAAAATATATTTTGATAAAATTAACTTCGAAAAATTAGAAACGTGGCAAACAACATGCTACAAACAATTTCGATAAGTCGTTGGCAAGAGGCCGGAAGCCTTAGTATTAAAAGTGACTAAAATGTTGATCTTTTGCGCGCATCGTTAAAATACCCACGAAAATAACTTCTTTTGTGCAAGATGAGCGAAATTATTCAAGTATCGATGGAACATTTTCAGGGACACATGAAAACCCCAGGTAGGCCGAAAGATCTGAATTTCGTGACCGGCCAAGTAGGAGACCAAATAAGTAATTATGCTTACATTTATTCCAAAACTAAGGCTGGAGGCGGTCGATATGTTAAAGATACGAAAAAACCAAAATAGCGCCTTTCTGAACAAATTTTTAGTGAGACATTTTTTATTATGTCAAACTGGTAATCCATGTGACTCGTATCTTTTCCTGGTACGCATGCATGGAGTAGACACCCATTTTCAGCTGGTCAAATAATATCAAAATTACAAGTTATCTCGGGAGTTTAACCAACCTTTGGCGTCACAAAAGTAAAGGATGTTTGCTTGGTGGTTCTTTCATCTTTCCCCATTTAATATTTAAGATTTCTAATGAGGATAACAGTCGTAGTATTTTCCAATTGATTTGTGACTTGCCCATTATTTAAAATACTGCGAAACACTGTGTACTCGGGCGGAAGTAACTATCGAGTGTAACGGTTTATATCTGAGACAGTGGGATAGGAATAGCAGGTCATAAGGGTTCACTTTCCCTCTATATGGTAAAACTTAAGACAAATGTAAATATTGCATATTGTGGAGCCTGAAAACAAAAATGAATTATAAATATCAAAACAGTTTGGTAGGGCATCATGTTCTGGGTATTGTGAGAAGTTTATGACAACAGCCAAACAATCCTAATAAAGAGTTTTTTTCGGTTAATAACTGAAGTGGATCTCTTTCACCCTTTGGATTGAACAAGAACTAAATTATCCTTTGTGTATCAACACCTTGATGACCTGATGAGTAATGAAGACAGAGAGATAACAACTCTGAGATATCGTCGAATTGAACACTAAATCCTCCCAAATAACCCTGTAGAAAATGTGAAGCAGTCAGTCAGGAGAACTGCTATTGAGATCTTGAGAATAAAAGGCTCATGAAATCCTTTTCCAGAAGTCCACAACCTTAGAAAACAAGTTGGGTCTAACTGTGAAAAATAGAATCTGGCAAAGTTTGCTTTTATAACAATAAAAAGAAGCAGCTGTGAGATTTGAATGGCGCAACAAGATTTAAAGTCACTGACAGTCAAGTGATAACGAAAACCCTGTTGGATTGGTGGGGGGTGGGGTTGGGGTTGGGGGGTCATTAAACATGTGCATCATACATGAAAAGACATCGGGGCACTTGGAGTTCCTCACGTTTCGAACATTCCAGTAGATCGTGGGTAAAAATTCAATTATTTTTATTACCATTCATCAATAATTAATTTTGGGCAATGACTCTGCAAACGTTCTTGTAATAAACAACGCTAGCCTCCGTTTTACCTATGTTAATTTTAAACATATGTCAAGAAGAGCAGTGAGGAAATTTGTAGATCTATGATAGACAGGGACAATACAAGACGTACACGATTCCCCTTCGTTAGTTCTAGAAAATAGCTTAACACACAGCCTGTTTGATGCAGTATACAATTATCGTTAAAAGTTTTTATCACCATGAAAAGTGATAGGAATTCGCTTATAAAAATCCTTCCCACCTCACCCCCCCCCCCCCTGCCCGCACATGACAAAATTGCACATAAAAGAAGTTCATTACGAAGACTTCACCTAAACTTTTATTTACAACATACTGATGATTTAAAAATAGCTTGTAAGCCTAAATACTACCCAGAAACAGGCTTGAAGACTCCCTGTCACAGCTGTTTGAAAGAACTTGGCCAAGATTTAAAAATAAATCTGCACGATTTCCGGTCGACTTAACGTCATTCAGTGCAAAAGACGCTTTAGACACTTCTGCAATCCTTGAAATTTGTCCAGCGTGTTTTGCACACTTGGGTCACGTGACAGACTGGACTGTAGTTCCACCAGATACGTGGCGCATGCGTCGTACAGTGCAATTGCTATTTTTCGTCTGAAAGTAAAAGTCAGAAAATGGCACTTCAGGGTAAACTAAAATGTGGCGAAGGGCCTGGGGAACATATATAAACCAGTACATGGAGGCAAATGAAAAGGTTGCCCTTACCTCTCGTGAGGGGGAGAAATGGTGGGCGTGTTTACAAATTTCATAAATAAATGATATATAACTTCAAGGATGTGAAGAGGCTTGTCTTGCGTTCGCCAACACTGATCCTTCAAAACATAGACAAACAAAAACATAACTAAAAGTTAACAATAATTTACCCTTTCAAATTTTTTTCTCCTCATCCAATGCGCACCCTTCCCTCCCCTCCCTCATACCAAACTTCCAAATAACTCACCCTTCATGTTCTATGAACGTGGGACAGATAAAAAAAAGTACGAGTTTCCCACGAGCTACAAGAAGCTGGATGGGCCATATTCTGGGATCATAATGTATAGCAGATTCCAAATACAGTCGCTGATAAATTTGTCCCAAGAAATCATCTCTAAGCTACAGTGTTTGTGATATTTTGACTTACCTTGGCTTTGAACAGTTTGTCATAAATGGCGTGTAACACGGGGAATGGAATACCCATCTCTAACATAGTCATAAACACCCAGGTTGGGTCCCAGACCAACTCGGCGCTCTTCTTTTCCAGCATAAGGATTATTGCCCCTGAAAGGCACAGAGCAACATTATTGAGTAAAAATTCGTGCGTGATTCAAGCCATGACGGTCATGCACAGCGGGCATGGCTATGAACAGTCACGAATGGTCATGCACTGGCCGTAACGTAATGACTTACCCAATGGAAAGTACCGCTCAGAATGGACATAAACCTTTCCTAAGTAAGCAATCTTTTTACTGACAATTGCCATGCGATCACTAGGTGGATTCTGAAGTGAGTCACGGAGCTCTATTGAAGAAAATAAACGTAGAAGTGTTACAAGTCCTGCCAGAGAGCACTTTCTGGGAAAATTCACCACTTTCTCGATAGTCATTTAGGTTTTGAGTACCCTGCTGTTTTCAAACAAGAAATTGTGATACGTTTGAGAGCCTTGTCGTGCAACTTAGTAACTTAACACGAAAATCACAAACCGGCTTCTATGATGTCCCTCCAGAGCGTCTCAATCAAGGTTGGGTCGTAATGTCCAGCACAGTGAACGATGGCGAGTTTACACTCAGACAGATCAAACTCATCAGCAAAATCTCCGTACAGCTGAAGATGATTATAGTCAAGTTAGTCTGAACTCATCTGCAAAACTGCCATTCCACGAAAACACCGAAAAAATCACACAAGTAGCACTTCAGACTACCGTATTTACTCGTGAATAAGTCGACCCCTCACTTTTAAGGTCAAAAATCAGATTTTTCATCATTTCTAGTCAAAATTAATCTCTTATTTCCGAGAATGTATTGAAAACACGGGGAATTCAAAAAAATTAAGAGCAAAATGTAACCGTGTGCTTTAAAGTTTATTGGCACTTGTTGATATCACCACGATTTAGGCATATACGAGCACTTCGATTTACTGAAGAAGTATTTTACCATATTTTGTAAATCACAGTGAAAATGAAACCTTCTTGCATTTAAATAGCCTTTATTTTAATGCTGACTTTGAAGGGAGATTAATTAGACCGAAGGAGAACCGAAGAACTTCGAAGGATCGCGCGTAACATACAAGACCGCGCGAGCCAGGTCACCAAGCCACTGAAATCGTTCGATGAAAACGAAAGTTCAGCACCGTTAACAGCAGCGAAGCTGGAGGCAAAAATGTCTGCTCCACAGTCCGAAGACACGATAGAAATCAGCTCAAGTAGCTTTTTGTTAAGCCTCTTAAAATTTACTATTTCAAACATTTTTGTTGAGGAAGAATGCGCTAAAAAGTGACGAAACTCTTACACAACTAGAACTGGTTTTATAAACTCGGTCTACCTAACGGACTTCAGGCGAATTTTATGCTAATTTCTTGGATTGCTCAAATCAGGTCTTTGTGTATAAGTCGAGGGTGATTTTTTGGGGCTGATCGTTTGGTCATAAAAGGTCGACTTATACACGAGTAAATACGGTAACAGCGAAAAGTGATGAATGTCTTTTACAACAGGCTAGGGTATACGCCATTAAACAACAAAACTATTATCTAATGAGGGCAAGACCAAGTCGTAGGAGACCATAAAGGGTGAAGAAATGAAAATCAGAGAGTGCAGAAGATCGAACGAGGGGGTCATATTACTTAAAATTACGAAAACATGCTTCATTGTAGAAGGAAATGAGGGTGTCGGTAAGGCGGGGAATCTGAACGAAAGGGAAATGAGAGGAAAAGAGGAAACAGCACACTTCCCAGTGATATGACAAAAAACAACAACCGCCTCTTTCTGGATAATGTATCGATATAGGAAGGGAAAGATTCATGTAAGTCACTTAGTGAAGGAAATTAAAAGGCCCTTACTTTGGTGACATCAAAGAGCTGAGAATTCAATCCAATCAAAGCTTGGTCTATCCGCCTGGATGGATTAGCAGAGTTAATTCTTACAAGAGCTTGATAGACTTGCATCTGGATGCGGGCAACTTCCAGCTTCTCTTCTAACCCGTGTAAGAATTCCCCGTCGCCACTCCCGGCGGTTCGTAAATTACAGCTCTTGGCGCTCATAATGGCACGAGCCAGGTATTCTAATCTTAACTCTAGTGTTACACCAGGACTGAAATATAACCAAAATAACACTGATGACTTTCAGGACAGTGAGAAGAGGAGGAGTGAGGGGAACTAAGTGTGTAAGATATGTTATTGTAGAGCGGTGCGGATTTAACCAAAATTTATTGCTGCTCTTGACAGAAGCACTGAAGATGCAAGTCACCAGAACGAGGCCTGAGACCTACAACCTTGATCACAAAGGTTGAAAAGTGTTAATATCCATAACTTCTGCCCATTCCCGCCCACAGCAGTGTGGAACGAACAATTTCTGCATTTTTTCAATAAAACACGCTGAAAGGGGGGATAAAAAGGGAAGGGAAGAATGGGGCGGGGCAGAGGAGGGCGAAATATGTTGGTATTAGCTCAGAATGTCAAAGTTTTAACGGCTGCGAGGTCCATTAGGGAAACCTTAACCCGAGTTCTAAAGGTATTGAAATTGAAATAATAATTACCTTTGTTTTTCAGAGAGTTTAGAAAGGATTCTTGCAGCAGCAGAGTAATTCTTTGTCTTTTCATAATGTTTCCACAACAAGTCCAACATCTTTAATTCATTTGGCTGATCCTGTGACGATGATCGCCTCAGAAACACCTCCAAGTGCGGAGATTTGATCTTCATTTGAAGAATAAAGGAATAAGTTGATCAAAAAACAAAACAAATCAAAAATATGATGGCACAGAAAATATCAACCGAGAGCCAACAGAAATACTAGACGGCTTCTGTTCTCCTTCACTGCTCTGTGATTGGTTTATAAACTCGCGCCACCTGTTGACCCAATTAGATACAAAACTAAACCGATTACGACTTGGTGTCCGACTTTTCCCGTGAAACAAATGGAGAATGGTTGAGGAATAAAGAAAATGCAAGGACTCTTGGAATGATAAGAAGGTACACGAAAATAGAACTTACCTCCAACAGCCTTTCAGTCAGTCCATTGTCAATCAACCATTGATACAAAACAACATGCCATAATTCATCCCCGTAAGACAATGAAGATGATAACACATCTTCCATCTAGGAAAAAGATTAAGTCTGGAAATCAAGCGCTGCCTACAAACCTGACAGAAAGCAGACTTTTTTTTTTTCATAAGAACTTACATGCTTTTCAGCATCATGCGGTGTCAGAGCACTGGGGTCTGGGGCCGGAGGAGGCCCTGGTCGTGAGGGTAGTCCGGGTGATTGAGAAGGAGTTGTTTTGATGACAAGAAGACGTTGGAGACAGTCCAGAATGCACTTGTAGCACTGTTGTCTAGAAAAAGAAAGACTTGTCCAACATAATAGGTGAAAAACAAAGGGAATATTTATAAACAACAGTTACGTTTATGTCTTCAGTTTTGTTTTTACCAATGACGATCTACGGTCCTGAGCGGAGAAGGAAGGGAAGAGTGGAGACTGTGTTCTACCCTTCGAACTGGTTCCTATTATTAGCTCTGCAAGACGAGCATTTCTCAACACGCGGGAGGATTTGAGACGAGTCGGGAAGAGGTTAGAGGGGGTCTGGCACTAATTATCAGTGTCAGACCCCTTGCAGATCTCCCGCCGCCTCGTGTTGCTCAAGGCCTCATACTCAGTTTCTCACGGGCAAGAAACGTTCGTGCCTATTCGCGGGCTCACTTTTGTTCCCACGAAGTCATCAGACTTTCTCCAAGACTGATAAGGTGACTTCTTGTGAAACAGTTAAACGTTGCAGAGATAGACTAGGATAAAATACCTGGCAATAAACGCTTCCCGTCCTTGCATATCACCATGTGGCTCTCCATTCCTGTAGAAGTGTAAAGCCATTCCCTGGGGATCTCGTTTTAGCGCAGCATACAAAGATAACTCCACAACTCCATCATAGAATCTCACTTTAAAAACAAACAAAAAATAATTAATAAATATTTAAAGTTATCAAAATTGAACAGTGGCACTTCCAAGATGTGGCTTTTCGTCCACTGTTAAAAATCGAAATTGAGAGTGATTGTCTTTGTTAAGGGGTAAAAAGCGGAGAGACTATTGAAAAAGTCTCGCAGTGAGAACCAACAACAAACTCTACCCAGGTCTCAGTGGTGAGAGACGAGTGCTTACACTACTGTGCCACCCCTACCACCCTAAAAACAAATTGGCTGGCGGTAAATCAATTATTATCACTGAACGAGTTTGAAGATATTATATTACCTGATTCAAACAAAGAACAAATCAATTCCAGGTTGATCTGATGGGTCACTTGTCGATAACGCTAGCAAAAAAAAAAAACAAACAGAAGAATGAAAAAAAAAATAACTTTAAAACCTGCCAGATGGTTTCATAACCTGGATGTTTAAAAGATTGCCTGCTACATTCTATTTTGTTGCTTTAGTTAACCCTTTGACTCCTTAGAGTGACTAGCATCTAATTTCTCCTAACAATATAACCCCTGAATCATAAAGTAAGGTTGTGAGGATAAGAAAACTGATCACCTTATGACATGTATAGAGAAGAGTATGGAGAATTTGGATATTGATGTTGGGGTTTAAAGGTTAAGGTTACAGCAAAGGTGAGAGCTATATTGTATCTCTACATGAACATGATCACAAGAAGCTTAGTTTTAACAATGTATGGAGAGCAGAAACAAGGAATTCTGCCATTTGTTTTGAACCATATGAAAAGAAATCTAGACAAGGTTAAACTTGAGACAAAGCATGTAAGTGCCATTCTCCTAGTAATTAAAGTAAAAGTCTAGTCTCAAGCTTCAATTCTTTTGCCAAATGCAGTAGCCATAAATAAAGGGCAAGCCACTACTTACACGGAGAGCATCTTTAAGAATACTTTCTTGTTCTGCTTTGTCTTTACTTTGTTTAGCCAGCATTAAAAGTTCACCAGCCTAAAAGGGAATTTAAAAAATCAATAAGTGCATTACTTTACAAACCGATCAGTCTAAATCTTTCATCAATAGGCAGAGATTTCATTAACCCTTTGATCTCTTAAGAGTAACTAGCACCTAATTTCTCATTACATTGTCATCCCTGAATCACACAACAAGGTCACATGACTAAAGAAAATGATGATCAACTAAAGATGATCATGATAATTAAACAAATTCTCCATGTAAGCACCTTAGGAAATTTAGGGAGAAAAGGTGGAGAAGATGGATATTGATATTAGGGTGTACAGGGTTAGGAAATGTGGTAGCAGAAGAATAGTGTAAAGTAAAAAGAGAATATGCTCCACCTTTGAATAAAAAGTAGCTCAAGGTATAGAAATTTATTTGGAGAATTTTGGGAAGTAGCAAGACAACTTTGCAATCTCCACTCTATAATGACCTCTCTACAAATATGTGGTTGCAAAGTGTATTCTAAGACTCCTCAGTTAGGTTCAAAACCTTTGATATTTTCAGAGAAGCTTTACAGTCTGTTTTTATCCTGATAAAGTTGTACCTTTGAAGACACTGCATCATCATTGCTGAATAAATGTGGACAGACCTCCCTCAACTTCTCACTGATAATATCTGTAGAGGTGCCGTCATCCAGATAACAGTTGATCAATGATGCAATGAGGGCACTGCAGATCTACAGGAAATACAGGTGACATTAGTTTTCTGCTGCATCAATTACAAAAAAGCACATTTCTTACCCATGTAGTAACCAAATGTGAACTTGCAGTCAAAATCATGAAGTTCTCTGAAAAGTTTGATGACAAAAACAAATCTCAAATCCATTTGCCAACTGTGCAGACACCCAACAAACAGAATTTTAGCCCCTGATAAGAGTTACATCCATGATCTGTTAAGATGCATTCAGCATCTATACACAGGGCAAAAGGGGGGGGGGGGAGGGGAGGGGACTGGCGCATAAGAAAGAGCATTGCATTGCATTGCATTGTCCAGGAAAATGATTATCATTAATACTTAAATAACTTCCTAATATGTTCCTACTGAGCAAAGCAAAGTCTACATAAATTTTACTAAATTTGTTTGAACAAACACAATTGCCATGGTTACCTCCTGCCCCTTAGTTGCCAGGTCTCTAAACTTGACATGCTTTAAACGATCCCTTATTGTCTGAAATTAAAACACAACAATGACTTAACAAACACCAGAGTTGCTCAAATAACTAAGCTTAGAAATTATTTCCTAGAATTATATCTCTCAGTTAGTACTTATGCTATGATTGGTCAATATATCAGGCCATACTTTGCTATACTGCCTGCTAAATTCAAAGGTTTGCTTAAATTGTAATGTTCCTCCTCCATTTAAACCCACTAATATAAGAAATTCACTGTTTAATCAGTTTAATAACAAAAATAATCAAAGACAAAATGTCTTACAGTATCAAGATGAAGTATGACATCTTCAATGTTGTGTTCATTAAGAACTTGCCACAGACTGAGAGTCTCCACTGACCGGTCTACAAGTGACTTGAAATTTATCACAAAGTTTTTCTCTGGATTGATTGTTTCATTTGAACCTGTGAAAAGTTGTAAACATAAGTTACATTTTAATTCCAGTTCTAGTAGTGAAACTAAAAACTAAAGTAATCAAATCAATCTGTCACAGCAAAGGAAAATATCACAAGGAGGCAACAAGAACACAGTAAGAAGCCTCAAGTAAGGAAAACCTCTGTGACCCAAACTGCAATAGTTGATCTATTGTTTGTTTAGATACTTATCAGTGGAGATGCAGAGTGACAAAATGATGTGGACAAATCACAGAGAGAATAGTAGAGCAAACCTAGAGAAATCCTAGTTAACTCTATATACTTAACCCTTTAACTCCCAAGATCTCATTAGTAATTCTCCTTACTATCTCCTATACAGTTCTTGTGATGTTAGTTTGGAGGATTTAATATTGGATCAACATATAATCCCCTAACTGATATTTTTCTTTATTCTCATAACTTGTCTGCTTGATATTGTTTTGATATTGTTAGGAGAAATTCTTTCTTGGTCACTTATGGGAGTTAAAGGGTTAACCCTTTAACTCCCAACATCTGATTATTAATTCTCCCCTCACGCCGCTACACATTTTGGTGTTGGATAAGGATAAAACTTCTACCTGATAAGTTTGAGTATTCTCATAACCAGTTTGCTGGATAATATATGGATATGGAAGGGACAAGTTATATGTTAAATACTTCAAGGAGTAGAAGGGTTTACTGAAAATTGCTCTTAGAAAAAAACAAACATTGGTAAGATTTGGATTTTGTGTTTTAGTTTCATCCTGAATATACATTTTATTTTATGGTATGACTATTTGTGGCAAAGAGTACAAAACAAAGCTGATTAACTAACTACTAACCCGGATGAGTTTGTTGGAGAAATGGCTGCGTACCACTCATTGTTACTCCAGGAAAACTGAAAGATAAGAAAATAAACCTCTTAAAAACGAAAATTTCTTCAATACAAAGAACAATTCACTCTCAAGAGCACACATAACAAGAACTATGTGAATATAAAGGGTACGGACAAAAAGAAATATTCTCACCCCCCTTCCCTGTCTGGAAGCAAGAACCTGAAATTCTGCTCCATCCATGTTTGAAGCTGTCGTAGTTTTCCCAAAATCCATCCAAGTTGGTCAACATTAAGCACACTCCGTAAAACTGGAACATGCTGAAATATCAAACCAAAAGCCAAAAAAAAAAAGCAATGAGGAAACTATCAACTTTAACTACCAGATCAAAGTATGGCATTACTGTGAAAAGTCAACCTGGAAGCACTAAAACATTCTTAACCCTTTAACTCCAATGAATGACTAAAACAGAACTTCTCCTTACAATATCAATACAATATCAACCAGATAAGTGATGAGAATAAAGGAAAATATATCAATTTGGGGATAATTAGTTGATCTAGTACTACATTCTCTGAACTAACTTTATAAGAATTGTGTGGTTGACAGTAAGGAGAATTACAAATTTGATCTGAGAGTTAAAGGGTTAAATGGGATGCTTATTCCCTGCATGCTATCATCATTAACCAATGGCATTAAATAAAATTTTAACCTTACTTTTTTTCTCATAAATTCCTTGACTTTTCAACAGAACCTGATTAGCTCTAATCAATTTGTTTGTATGGCAAGAATGGAGTTTAACTACTTCAATACTTGGTCTTGAGTAATTGCAGTTTTCTCACCAAAAAGACAAATACCAAAAAGAATGAGGTTAACAACTTTACTAATAGTAAAAACTTAAGAAAAAAAATTCCATTTAGAATTCTTCTCACCTGTTGAGGCTCTGAAAGATGAGGAACCAAGAAATCTTCAAACACTAATCTTGCATCCCAAACCATTCTAAAGTAAGACAGTTGGAAGAACCAAAACTCAGGATTGTTATCAATAAAAAGGGAGAGTTAAAAGCAAATTTCTCATATGTATTGTGAAAGAGGTACATCAAGAAAACTATATAGTGACTATTTCATTTTTTTTTTTTTTTTTTTTTGGGGGGGGGGGGGGGGGGGAAGACCGCACAATAAAACTTGAAAAACATTTTAAGAAGATATTTAGAGAATAACTGAGCAACAACTGACATAAATATACAGGCAATTGTTTCAGATAAGTGATATCAAAATCAAGGAAGACATTTGAGAAAGCAAACCCAACAAAAATTAAATATAAATAAAATACATACTCAAGGATTCGTGCAAAGTACATGCACAGTCCATCATATTTGCTGGATCTTATCACCTCAGCTCTGACCACTGCCTGCCCCACACCACCAGGGTGAGGTGTTGATGTCACAACCCCTGGACTGTTGAATCCTTGTCTGACTCCTGGGGAAGCTACATAGCTACCTCCCTGGGTGATGCTTGGCTCAGCAGGATTACCGGGTGTACCAGCTTGGGAGGGGTGGTGTGACACTGATTCTCCATATTTGAAGAAAGCTCTTGTGGCCCATTCAGCAATCTGATTGTAACAAAATATTTTTCTTTAATTTTTTTCTCTTTGTACAATAAATGCAAAATTTATATTTAACAATTGTACAGGATAAAAGTAAATTATGGATTATTGTGAGTGGTAAAACATACAGGGTAATGTAAAAGGATGAAAAAAAGATTGAATAAAGGTAAAAATGACATAAGGCAGTCTGAAAATCCTCAAAGTAAATTGCAATGGCAACAGTTGCTGGTCTCTTTTAACAGATCTGCACATTACTTAATGCCCTTCACACAGTCATAAACCTAAAGCTGTCTGACATAAAATGCATATCAAACACAACATTAAAGTTGTGACAATTAGCAATTTAGGTTAATTACAATCAAGTATAATTTGGGAAACTGTGAAACAAGACTTACTTGTTGTTGGGAAGTCTGAGTTGAGCAAGCTATAACAAGACATGTTGCACAAGCCTGGTCTTCCTGTATAAATTACAAAATGATCTATCAGGGGGTGAGTCCATTTAACAGACCTTTTTTAAGAAAAAAGCATGGTAACATTTTCCTGATCCTTCCATTCACTATTTATTTGTGTAAACTAACCTTATAACATTTGAAAAAAGCATGTACAGAGTCAGAGTCAAAACCCTGACTCTGTATCAATAACTGTTGCAGCTGTTCCACTGGACGATACGTTGTAAACAGATAACTTCCCTGATGAATCAAAGTAACATCAAATTTTAATCAGATAAGCAGAGTTGACCTTCAACTTTGGCCCATGTTTGGGTGTGTGGAGTTAACTTTGAACATCAACAACTTAAGACCTGAGTAACTTAATAAACTGGGTATTGCCAGTGTGAATTAACAGCGGAGAGTTTTTTAGAACCTCTCAGTGCATTAATTTTGCTCTGTTATATCCTGATGAAGATGCATGACATGAAACAATTCCATGCAGGGAAGATGTGATTAGTGACAATTAACCACAGAAATTTGAAAGACAGCCAGCAAGAGATACAGAGAAGATTTTAATGGAAAATGTCAATGGACATAGAGATTGGCAGACCATGTTCTAACCTGAGAACTTAGAGCAACATATGATCTCCGAGGGGATGCATGCTGCCTGACGACAGCAGGTGGCTCCATCCACTGGTCTCTGACAATGGGACAATGACTAAGCATGTTATTTCCAAATTCAGGAACTTCACTTAAAGACCAAGTTCGTCCATCCATAGGCACTGTCACCTTGAAAAATATCACCAATTAAAGTAACTTAGTAATAAACTGTTAACCCTTTGCACCCTAACATCAGTAAGCATATTCTCCATACTGTTCTCTATACATTTCATTAGGTACTGACAAGGAGAATTTGTTTAATAATCAGGAGCTTCTTCAGTTGATGATCATTTCTCTATTCTTATGACCGTAATTTTTGATTCAGGGATGACATTGTGAGAAAAATAAGATGCTTGTTACTCATAAGGACCTCAGGGTTAACTAATAGAAGCAGTAATGGCAATCAAAAAATTTTGAGTTCAGTATGGAATAAATGAGCACATGTAAATTCTAACCTGACATTCGATCATCTTAACTTACAACATTAAACTATAATCTATTAACTCATACTGAACAAGTCTGTCACAGGTGATTCTCCTCGTAAATAAAATTTAATATTTTTGATTAATTGACAAATTGTACCTGTGCCTGATAATAAAATAATTATGCCTAATACAGGCCACACATGATTTGTCAGGGTACTATAAGACTTATTACTTGATTGTCAGGGCTATATAAGATTTATTACCTGCATTTCCTTAAGTGGTGTCTGAAAGGGAAATGAATCAGGACTGATTCCCCAAAGAACATCCATATCTTCAGTTTGAGAAGCAGCCATGAGTGAGATTCCTGAGCAAAAGAAATTCAGAAAACAGAAGGTAACCACAAAGCAAATAACAAAATTGAGAATCAGATGATAAATTTATGTAATTTTTAAGTTTCTAACACAATTAATGAGTCAAGTGTTAGCCTTTGCCAAAATAACTGTGATGGCAAACTTTACCCCTTTGCTTATTGAAAGATTGAAATAATTGGCAAATTTAGACAATTTTTGTCTACTGTATGAGCTACTCATCAGAGCAAAAGGGTAAAATTTCCATCATCAGCCTTTTGAAATTTGGTTTTTGGAGACGTAATAATTATTTACAAAAACAACAGAAACATCAGCTTTGGAAAACTGCTTTAACCTCTCAACCCCTTGGAGTGATTGGCATCTACTTTCTCTTAACATTATATCAGTTCAAGAATAAAGGACATGATCACAAACAATAGAAATTCTTGATTTTGAAACAGTTCTCCCGGTCAGCATCTTAGGAGATGAATAGAGAACAGCATGGAGAAATGTGCATATTGATGATGGTGAGGAACGGGTTAATGGTTAAATTCTCTTTATCATCCTTAATAATTCTAAGTAAGATATGAACATAAATTATCTAGCAAACTGTTCATGTCTAAATTTGTGATATCCAAACAAAAAAACCATTCAGAATGCAAAGTGTCAGAGCTCTGAATATTACTTGTTACAAGTTACAAAGTAGTAATTGTACCTTGTCGGTAAAAAGCTGCATGTACTTTTGAAGGCTTCTGTGAAGTTGCAGATGGTGCAAAACCTGGTGGAAGTCTTATGTGAACAAGTTGCAGTTTGGTTGGTCTTTCCAGTGGTGTTCTGATATTTGTTGTGGAAAAGTAAAGTCGCACACCTAATAAACAGGAACATACACTGAAACAATACCCTTATCAACCATGCAAATAATTTGATTGACTAGGTAAGGAAAGTCCTGAAAAGGACAGTTGTAAGTGAAGGTAACTGACATCTCAACAACCTGGGTGGAAGTCATCAGTTCAGTCAAGATGATAATGATGACAAGTTCTGCTCGGGGGTTGTAAAACATCAGTTACCAACACTGAGAATGGTCCTTTTCAGCACTACTCTCACTTGAACAATCACAAAAAAGAATTTTAGGTTACCCTTGAGTCAAAAACATTTACTGAATAAAATTCTTGGGAAACTAAACCATGAAAATGCAATTGCTGTTAAAAGGATATGAAATCAGTAAATCAAGGGGTGCATGTCAAAAGAGGCCAAAGTGACATCTGGTGAACTGCTAGGCTCTCCTTTCAAACTGTCTTGTATTCTCTTGTGAAACACAGGGCAGTTGATGATGCATCAAAAGTCACTCTAAGCTTCATTCCAAACAACCCCAATGCACTCCTTTCACCAATCTCAATTTCAATTCACCAATTTCTACTTGCTAGTGTATGGATAATATAAGAAAAATTCCTTTTTTGTCACTCCTGAATGAAAGGGTTAACATGAATATAATGCTTACCAGCATGAGTGATTGCAACCAAATGAACACCTTTTGATTCATGCTTTGCTATAGGTGCAATGTGCACAATTGGTTTAAAAAGATTGCGATCATTGGTTCTGAAAACAGACAAGATGTAATCAATGAAAACAAACCTGTCATTACTATGCTATCTACCTCTTTAATAACCTCAACTCAACCATGGATCTTCTCATAGGTTTTGACATTTTTTTTTAATGTGATACATGTTGAAGGTAGAAACAAAAAAAAAAGGAGTATATATTTGGGACAGTTTAGTGATAAGGTATCAATTTTAAGCAACTAGTCTGACTTATTTCAACAAGAATATCTGGTAAAACTTGCAACATCTAGATAAAGCACTCTTAGGGAATGTTATTTGTAATAAATCTTCCTTTAATTATTATTCAGAGTAATTTTTCCTGCAATAACCCTACAAAGTTGCTAAAACTAAACTGTTCTACCTTGCAGCAGACTCTGCTTTGTGTGTGATTTTGTCCTGAGTTAATGATGCAACATAGTCCATACTTTGGCCATCAGCACCAAGATCAAACACCTGTCAGAAATGAGTTGATTTGGTTATTGCAAGTGAAGCAACTAGATAATACAGTTTTTGCAATGGAATGCTCTCTCATGATATGTCACAATCATGCAAACAAGAGCCTTTTAAGGGTTGCAGAGAGACAAAACAACCAGCAGAGAGACAGACAGATAGAAAGCTAGACAGATAGAGAGACACACAGATAGACAGACACAGAGAAAAACAGACAGACACAGCAAATAACCAATCAAGTACAAGGAGAGGTAGACAAACAGATTGAGAGGAAGACTTACAAAATCAATACGATTGACTAAATAAATGTATAAAAACATACCTGAATAGTTCCTTTTTCTGACCGTGCATAAAGTGTGTTTCTTGTATTGTCAACTGCTAATTGTGCAATGGCATCTGAAACAGACCAATTATAGGTAACTTGTTGTGTGCAAACTGTGTACAAAGTTACCAAAACTTTATTATCCTCACCTTCACCACTGAAAGTAGAACTTAAAAATGATGGAACAAGGAAAGATAAGGTTCCTGAAGAATGATTTATTTTCCGGCAATTTCTCCATGGCAACCAACCAGCAGCAGCCTGTAAGGAGTAAAGAAACAATTTACACCTATGACTCATCCTTTCAAAATAAAATATGGGATTTACAATCTATTCAATAAAGGAAAAGTATCCTAAAACTTGTCTAAAAATTTACTTTAAGAGAGTGATGAGAAAAATCAATCCATTGTAGTGCTTGATACTTTAAAGCTTCACCCTTTTTTTCTCAGAAGAGATCAACACACAGTTTCTCTGTGCAATTCTAATGTTTTCTTGCAATCAGGTAATGAGAACAGACAAGCTTATCTGCTAAAGGTTGCTGTTTGATATCAGACCACATTCTCCTGTCTAAGTTAAGAGGAAATTAATAGCAGTTAGAAGGGAGAATAGCTAATTGAATATTGTGTAACTTGATAACTAACCTGATAAGCTACTTCATAAACACAGCCATCTTTTCCACCCATAAATATTCTTCCTGACTGAGTTCCAGTGATACAAGTCATGTAAATATTATCAGAAGGGATAGAAAACACTGGATTGGGATGAAGATGCATCTCTGAAAACTCATCATGGCTAAAGCTTCCTGAAAAAGGTTGAAAATACAGTGCATTTGAAGTAGTTCGTGCAATCTTAGGGAACAAATACCTGTTCTGCTTCCTGAAAAGGTCACAAAATTATGTGAAACAAAGTCAGGTATAAACTCACAATTAAGGGCTCAACCAGGTGATATCAATTTAACAGATAGACATCATGTTACCTGGCACCTGTTTTGCAATAGATAACAGAAGAGATCACAAAGTGCCAAGAACAAAAGAGAGGTGTACAAAGCATAGTCCACTGTATCACAGATTTTCTGACTGCATTTTGATGTCTTCTGTGATCTATTACTGTACAGACACAGGGTAACATGAAATTTATCTGTTTCATACAATACACAAGCAAAATTGGGTACATGGTGATCTCATTTAAGCATCTGTCCTCCGATAGATCATAAATAAGAACCAATCAAAATGGGTGTATAATTGAGCTTATTTTACAACTCTTGTTATGAAATCGACATACCTAACTTCTTTGATGTAAATGTTACAGCTAGAAGAACAATATCAACAGGAGTTGTAAGGCACAAGATGTATCTCACTTCATCTTTAAAGATCTCTACAAAACATTTGAAAAATAATTATGCAATGGGATGTGTAACATTTCAAGAAGAGAGAAAAAACAGTTGGCTGGCTGGTTGTCAGTGATAGGGAAGCTATGGGAGCCTTAGGGGTCAATGGCTTTTAAATCATTGACCTCTAAGAGTGACTCACAACTAATTTCTCTTTACAATATCACCCCTGGATCAAACACTATGGTTACAAGACTAAAAGAAATGATCACCAATTAAAGGCACTCTTAATTGTTAAATTAATTATTCTTGTCAGCACATTGGAAAATGTAGGGAGAACAATTTGGAGAAAATGCATACCGAGGTTAGGGTGTAGAGGGTTAACATACCCTCTGCAAAATAAATGCATTGTTTTTGTTGCTTCAATGATTAAACAAACCTGGCTTAGCTTTCACTAATCCTGCACACAAAATAGTTTCATCCAATCCATCAAAATAAGCAGAATCACTCCTATAATGAAACAGAAGAACATAATCATATTTACATATGATAAATTTTTTTGTAATGAAGTTTCATTTAATAACAAAAAATGCCTCCTCAGTCATTTGGTAAAATGGTTCATTGCTTAATGCCAAAGTGTGCACCAGAACATCAAAATCACACAAAATTTAAGCTAATTTTTTTGGTTCACTTTGTTTTAGATGTACCAGTGAGTGATCAGCTATATAGCAATGCAAATTTTGAGCAAAGTAAAAAACACACATAAATCATATATCTGTTGTAGTCCAAATTTTTTCCTTTGATTCTCCAATTTTTTTAACTATGGTAGTTTAATTTTGGCTGTGTTTTGTCTACCATTAAGGTAACTGATTTGAAGCATAGGAAAGTTGATACTATCCTAGTAAGAAAAATGTTTAAAATTAAAAAAATTCAACACATTTCAAAATTCACTTACCCATCTTCATAATTCCAAACATAAATATTACTATCAATGGTGAGCCATGCTCTTCTTATCTCAGGAAAGAGACCCATCATACAATTACACTGCATGTCTATGTAGTTTAAGTCAAGGATTTTGCAGTGAAGCATCTTGTATTTTAACAAATTAATAAATACTTTTTAAGAATATCTGTGATAAGCAGTCACTAAGAGGTCAGCATGCTACACTTTTGATGAAAAGGTCTTTGTTCAAGCCTAAGCCAGATCATTGTATTGTGTTCTTGGACAAGACACTGGTCTCCGATAGTGGCCCTCTCCACACAGGAGTATACATGAATACCAGAAAACTGTCAAGTTAGCTGTGGTAGAAAGACATCTAGGCCAGATGGAGTGGGAATACTCATAAATGGTGACTTTTAGCACAACAAAAACATTATTGTCACATTCTTTACAATTTTGGCTAGTTGTACATATAAATTCTTGATTCAATATGTTTACCATTGAATGATCTATAAGCTTGACTTACACAACTAGACAATTTTTTCAACTTGAATGACTAGACTCACTCCATTATTTCTCTTTTAAACATCCAAATAAGACAACAACAGACACCAACAAATAAATAGTGAGAGGATACAATTAAACTGTTCCATCAGCTCTGCTGGGAGGGGAACTCTTTTAAGCAGACTGACCAGCTCCAAACCAGCCAGGCCAACAGATGGTGATGATAATGATGGATAATCAAAGTCATTTATTCCACTGAAGGTTGTCTGAACTACCAAGACAGTAAAAATAATTTTTAAATATTCAGTAATTGTTTTTTGCCTTTCAACTCCTGGAAATGACTAACATGTGTTTTCTTCTTACAATCAATATACATTACCCAGCAAAGAGTGATGAGAATATACAAGAGAAAGTATTAACTGAAGGATAATGTCTCAAGGAACCACCAAATTCTCTCATACTTATCTAGACCAAAATATAAAGAGGTCGCTAAGGAGAATTTCAATTGATACCTTGGGAGTTGAAGAGTATAGCAATTATTTAAAACCTGGTCATAACAGCACAGTAGGTAAATTCCTGAAACAGTACTGAACACAGGTTCTACTTCCCAAGGGGTACTTCCTAGTTACAGGCTTAAAGGCATGTGCAGCTGGATGGGTGGCAAAAATTGCATTGGTTCAAAAGCAACTAAGATTGGGTCCAAAATTAGTCACAGCATAGACTACAATGAGGTAGGGGGTTCTGAAAGGCTAGCAACACCTAACCACCAAATATTGACCCAAGTTTTTCCTCCCCTTCCCTCTCTTGGGTTCTACTGCAGTGGTTGACTACCAGTGTTTCCACAGTCACATTCATAATCCCATGAGCTCAGTAAGTTAGCTTTCTTTCAGTTTCTTTAGTTGAATATGTATATGCATTATAGGGACAGTCATTCTTCTGCAGCAAAGCATTTCATTGGTGATCATAAGCTTAATTAAGTTAGATCAAAATACAAATTAAATGTTCCAATTAATTTTGACACAATCAAAGTTCTGTATGAGCTTTGACCCGACTTCAGTCTGGCTAGGTTTCATATTACAGGAGCAAACTCAGAAAACTGACCGGAAGAACCCACTTAAGGAAAAACTTACTTTGCTGGGAAGCGTTGATCAGCTCCGACAGCTCAGGAAACTGTCGATCTGCAGCTAGTTGCCGATCAACTTCTTTGGCGGCGTTTTCCAGCGCTTCCGGAGTTACCATAGAACCAAGAGAGCTAGTTCCCACAGCTATAGACATGCTCGAGGCAGGATTGTTACTCAGGTTTAAACTTAACTCCAAATATCTGTCATTTCAAGGAATTACACATGGCAGCACATTTTTCGAAGTAAGCGCTCCACGGTACTACGCACACTCAGAAGTACTTCCACGAAAGCCTGGGCACTAATACCGAGTCTCTCACGAATTTCCTCCGCAAAAAACAATAAGGCAAATGAAGATTCAATTTATGGTAACATATTCAACAATCTGATTTCTTCCTTTACTGTAAGTTTATAATGCAAAATTTCGTATCTTAACCATTGCGAACGTGTTCCTGTATGCTATGTTCATGACCTTGTACGTGTTCTTTTAACAGAAGCGGAAAAAGGCCGAGAACACTCGATTGTATTCCGATCACGGAACACTCAAAAATGACGTCACGTTACGACAGCATGACATTTGTTGTTTTGAGAATAATTTTTCACTAGACAAAGTAGCTGGCCGGTAGTGAGTTAAGTAAGTGCCTCAGTTTAGTCAGTCATCTGCCTCAAATTTGTAGAGCTTCAGTTTATCCCATTATGGGAAACTGTCTAAAAAGCTCCGGGCAAGACGATATATCTCTTTTACACGATGAAGAAAGCGCAGACTCCCCAACAACAGGCGAACCACCACCGCCATATCAGGTCGAGAAACGTTTTCACATATTGCCGCGGTTGATTACTTTGGCGAGTATTCCTCGTCACTCATGGCGTTTTTTTTCATTTTAGGAGGAAGCGCCAATCTTTATACAAAGTCAACATGCTCCTCATCTCCTATCTGAAGAACAGCAGATTCGTTTGGCTCAGCGTTTAGGCTTGATTCAACATCTTCCAGTCGGAAAATACGATGGATCGAAAGGAAAAAAGAGAGAGTATGTTAAATCACTTTTGTTTTCAAATAATTCGCACGAAGAAAGGATACATCCTTGGGTTTGTAAATACTAAATAAAAAGGATGTAGATTATTGGAAAAAATATTATTCAAGTAAGTAATTAGCTATGAAATGCGATGAATATTTTATTCAGAACGCTCGCTCTGATTGTTTATCGAGCCACAACATGCTAGGAATATTTTCCTTGAACAAGCGTCGCTACATTGGAATGTTTCTTTGCTAACGCGATGTTGGAGCACTTTAAACACCAGCAACAGAATTCTGCTTTGTTTATACTTCCACTTTATTTCATGAATACATTTGATAGAGGAAGCGGTCTGATGATTTCGTTGAACGGAACATGTTTCTTCAATCTTGTGAAGACAAGCCAATATATTGTTTATTTCATAGCCTACGCGAGAATTTTAATTAATGCCAACTACTACACTTTCAGTTTCGTTTCCATTTCGGACTTTTTTTTTCCAAAAAGGACCACGATAAATACACGCGATCTTCCTGAAAGAACTTTGCGCTATTGTTCACTCTGCTCATATCACTTCCGGTAACGAGAGGGTCTTCATTTCCTTATCTTCTTAAAACTGGCAACTTTTGGTCACTTTCTTACAGAGAGACATATCGCATTCCCTGGAAATGTCTGCACTTGTAAATGTATTTCGTGGATCAAGAATTTTCATTGATTCATCTTTTGTTGACTATTTATTCTCGCTGTGAATTAATGATGTTGTCCTAACTACTTGGAATGCATTGAAACCACAGCCGAATTATATTTGAATGTTGAGTGTTTTCTAAGTGCTGGCCTGTTCTTGTGTTTGTTCACCACACGATTCTGATCATTTGCATAACATGTAGAAAGTTTCGAATTCATGTTAGGTATAAAAATTTCAAGCAATGCGTTTTTTCTCTTACTTATTTCGATGTTCATATGATTGTTTGGGCAGCCACAATACACGATTGAACGTTTAAAGTTCGATGCAATGGAAGTACAAGTGGCACAGATTAATTACTTTTTACCAGAGAACAATGATTTTTTCCTTTACTGGCACTTGCACAATTCCAGATCAAGTCAAGTGTTTCATGTCTTGTGTTTTCCACATGACAGTATGCATTGTATATCACGTTCTTACACGTAAACGGGATTTGTCGATGATCAATATAGTTTATAAAAGATATTTCATTTATCTTTTAACTATTCACATGCAGATGGAAAAGCACATCGAAATGAGCCCTTAGCGACCTCTTTATTCCAAGTTTTTAATTGATTATATATAATTATAAACCATAAATAGGAACATTGCCTTGTATGTCGTTGATTGCTGGTGTTACCAATCTGTGGGAAACTATCTTAGTGGGGTACAAGAAATTGTCATTACACGGTAAAACTGAACCATGGGACACTAATTTTTGCAAGTAATTCTAACCTCATATTTTCCCAATCGTTGGGATGAGAATACAAGCAAAGACAATAATTAAATGCATGAGTTTGAAAGATTAGTAATGCTGCACTTTATTCTTACACTGTACAATTTGAAATCCACAGTGTTGTTTATTTCAAACACTTAAGCATGAAAAGGCAAATTTATGCTATCTGTGATGAAGGCAATTATGCTAAAAGTGTGACTTTATTTTCTTCAAACAGGTGTGTTATTTGCATGACAGACTTTGCCATGGGGGATCCAATACGGTTTCTTCCTTGTATGCACATATATCACAAAGACTGTATAGAGGATTGGCTGGTGAGATCATTCACCTGTCCTTCATGTATGGAACCTGTAGAAGCAGCTTTATTGTCAACATACTATGAAGCATCAACAGAATAACAACAATGTAATTATGTCTTTGAAGAGACAAATGATAGACATTTTTTCTAATGCCTCTTTTTACAAAAACATTGGACTGATGGAACAAATGGAACCATGTTCCTGTAAATCAATCTGGTGTTTTCCAGAGGATTCAAGAAAGTAATTCCTTTTCAGATAGTAGCTTACTAAGGTGCTATTTAGTATTATTTTGAAGGTTTAAAAGGTAACACTATTTCATGTTCAAAGAGACATGGCCCCATACAATATTTCTGCTGTTTCTTTTTGTTTGTATGTTTTTAATTTGGAGTTATTAGAATTTCCTTCCCATACTTGCTGTTATAAAAAATTCATCTTTTTTCTTTACACATGGGAACAATGTCTTCATCTAATAGTAGCTGTACATTTTTCATTTAGGTAATTTTCTTTGTCTTTCGACACTCCAAAAACTGTACAGATGAGATCTTTTCATTCTCTTTCAAATCTTATGCTATTTTTGACCTGAAAGAACTCAGCCAAATTATGCATCAATGTAGAAGAATAAGTTGATCCTTTGTAAGTTTTAACCTTCTGTCATTACCAGATTATGTTTCAGTCAAGATGCAGTTAGGAAGCTGGATTGAGAGTGTAGTCAAAGTGAGGTCTTTTGCCTGTCATCTTTAATTTTGAGTGTGTGAATCCAGCTTATTTTGTTGTTAGCACAATTGGATTAGTGGGTATTAATGATAATAATAATAATATTCATTGAGAGAACCCAGCTTGCCAAGGTGGTTTCCTTCAGGGTCCTCAAACATGTTAACTTGTACTCTGGGAAACTTCTCTTTTACAACTGCATGCTTAGAGCTATGGTGTCACAAGCAGAAGTTACCACAGATCTTTCATAGTACTATCCACGTGTAAGTTTTCTATATTAAGTAAAACTTGAAGCTTCACTATCACCTACTTGGTCAGGAATGCATAGTACAGACAAAATCACGCCTCTCAGTCAGTATTTTACTATGACCACTTTGTTGTGAAGACCTGTCTTTTCTCCCCTAATCAAATGGAAAGCCCTGTAATTTTCATATCAGAAGTCTTAATTTTTTCCAGACACATTCTTCAAAACTGCAGTGGGCATCTAATGCACAGGTGTTGGTATAACTTCTGATGCCCTACTTAATTCCATAACCCTATTTCTAAGAGTAGTCATTGTTAATTTTCCTTTTCTGATTTTTAACAAGAAAAATTGACTGCTTTCCTTTTCCTGTAAAGTTTATAATTGACCAAAGCTTGCATGTGGAAAATTTGCAATGCTTAAACAACAATCTTTTCTTTCAAAGATGCCACTGTTATTTTGTACATAAAAATAAATGTTGTTCATGTTTTTATTATTTTTATTATTGTTACTATTACTATTATTATTTAATGGCAACTGCACTAAACTTGTGGTTACCATAATTTCAAGGTTGAGTCTTTTGAACAGTCTAAATAGCTTAAAATTAATTGTCTAATTTTTATTATAGATATAGATAACAAACCATGTACATGATTCCTCTTTTGAGTAAAGCTGTTTTGTATATAGCCAACTTCTATGAATAAGTTAATATTTTAAAATGTAAAATACTTATTGAAACTTGTAAATAAATTTGACAATTTAGAGGTGGAGGTTGTTCCAAAGTTTTAGGCCCTTGTAAGATTCCCCCCCCCCACCCTTTTCAACGTACATGCTCCCTTTCAAGGACTCTTTAGTGTTAACTGAGGGGGTGCACAGGTTTAAACCTTATGAAGGTACTTTTAAGAAGAAAGATCCACTTCTCCCTGCAGTTTTACAAGGGCACACTTGGCAACTAAGAAGGTGCCACAGTCTATCTGCAGTCTCTTAAACTTTTAACCTCATCTGTGACCAAGACAGAAAATTACCTTGTGATATCAGTACTATATCAAGCAGACAAGTGAGAGAGAGAGAGAGAAAACTGAAATTAGTCAATTAGGGGATTAGTAGTTTATCCAATACCAAATCCCCCAATCTAATATCAAGAATTGTGTTCAAATAAACAAGGAGAGTTACTTATGAGATCTCAGAATGAAAGGGTTGGCCATCATGCACACTTTCACCCAGCTCTTTGTTCCCCCAATTAAATCAAATTACTGAACATATTTCAGTTAAACTTCACCCTTTTCACTTCATTAGTGAGCAAATAAAATATCTTCAGGCAAAGAGTTTACTTTCGGCTCATATGATTTTGAGGGTAGAAAAAAAAATTAAAGATGGAAGGGGCATAACCCCTTTAAGAATTCTGCTAGAAACAGTAGACAAAGTGAACTTTTGAGAGCCAAATTTACATATAGGGCTTAGAAGCATGCAAAGTTTGAATAATTGAAAGGAGATCACAAAACAGACTGAAAACAATAGACTAGATGAACTTGACCATGACATATTTTATTTCTCATCATGTTTCAATAATGCAAGAAAATGAAAAATTCCCCAAAACAGTGCACATTTGGTGGTAACCCAGGAACCGCGAGTATAATTCTTTGCTTATGTAATTTGTGAACATCTTGTTGGTGTCACAGTAAAGTGTTCAGTCATTCTCCCTTACTATGGCTGGCTTTAAGTTTTGTGGTTGGACAACCAAAAAGCTCCATAACTAGGAAGGTTATGCCATAACTAAATGATATTGAATTAGTTTTAATTTGGTTTACAGAGTTAACTGATGGTATCAAATAACAATCCATGATTCAAATCCTGAGAGAAAACCAACAAATAATAGCAAGAAAAGCTGGGGTCAATGAAATATGTGATCAGACAGTAAGGGATGTTTTAAGTGTACATCATTATCATATTATACACGTTTTCAAAGCCCCTGTTGTACTTTTTATAATGAAAGTGAAATAAAATGACCCACATGTTTTCTTCCCAATTTTTATAACACCCTTACAACAGCAGCAGCAGTGGGGGTTTATTTTATTATTCATCAAAGTAAGAGATTAAAAGAGATCTGCACTCATACATGAACCTACAAATTGTACAGAAAAAAAATCACTGAATTTAAATCCTTGGCATAACCATCACAAAATAGAAAGAGTGGCAATTCAATAAATTATGAAAACAACAGAAAATAAAACTAAGATACTCCAGATAAGATATTCAAATAACCTAAAAGTAGTATATTTGCACTATCAGGTGCTCAGTTTTACTCTAGTTTAAACAATTTTTTCCATTCCAAATACATGAAGACCTTCACATACTTTACCAGTTAAAGGTATCGACACTATTTAGCAAGAAAACTGGAGCATAAGTTAATGCATGGAATAAGATGAAGGGATAGAATTATTTCTTTTTCTTTCAACACACATCACATTATCTCTTTTGTGACATTTTAAATTAGGAAGTCTGAAATAACCTGCTAAGATGGAGACATTGTCCAATATTACTGAGCAGTATAATGAGCTGTATCCTTAGACTTTTCAGGTGCTTCTTCTAACGGCACTTCATTATTTAATAAGATTGTCTTTTTTCAAGACCTCTGTTGATAGAGAGGTAACTACTTATAAAGTCTGAGAAACTGTCTTCTCTTTAGTCAAGTACATCAAGCATATTAATTTCCTTGTTCCTTTTTAGTGTGCAGCATTCAAGTCTTTAAGGAACAAGTGGGTATCCACAGAAAGCTTGTTAGCCAAGAGTAGGAAATTCTTCATTATTCAATGCAAAGTTTGTACCACTTTCATTGGAATCTCCACGACTACCAAACCCACCACGTCCTCCACCTCCTCTTCCTCTTCCTCCGCGGCCACCACGACCCCCTCTATCACCTCTTCCTCCACGATTGCCACCCCGGCCTCCTCTTCTTGGTTCATTATTCATTTTAAAATCAAAAGGTATGTCAACTGTTTGCTTGACACGACCAGATGTCTTTTCTTTGACTTCAATGACCTTAAAAAAGAATAAGAAATGTTGCTACAACAATATTTTAAAAGAAAGTGGCAATCTTCCATAATACACTTACACATTTCTAGCTGAACTAGGCATAAAGTGGACAAAATGTCCCAACAAACACAAGTTAAATCCTTCAACCATTCTTTCCCTCGATTTCTCCACACTCTGACCAAGTGATGTTCACTTACTCTTCTGGCTCCATATTCTCCCTCTTCCTCAACAGGTTTTTTAAGAACTTTAGTATCTTTCCACATTCCTTTTTTCTCTCCTTCACCAGCTTTGCGCAGTTCAAAAGTTGCCTTTGCTCTTTCCTTTTCTTGCAACTCCTTCCACTCCTCTAAGCTCATTTCCTTTGGAGCCTCTTCTGCCTTACTTTCTTCATTTTCCTTATCTTCTCCTTGAGCCCTGAACATAGCAAACATAAAATAAGCTGTAGTATAAAAATGTAATCCTTAACAGTTTTTCTTGGGTTGTTCTAGTGTGGAAAACAAACACCTTAACCCTTTGGCCCCTGAGAGTGACCAGCATCTAATTTCTCCTGACAATATCACCCCTGAATCACACTTTAAGGTCATGAGGATGAAGGAAATTATCACCAATAAAAGAAACTCTTGATTGTTAAACAAATTCTCTTTGTCAGCACCTTAGGAATTATATAAAGATCAGTTTGGATAATATACATACTGATGTTAGGGTGTAAAGGGCTAATACTCTTATTAACCCTATCACTCCCTGATCTCATGAGTAATTCTCCTTACTGTTGCCATACAATTCTTATGACATTAGTTTGGAGAATTTGAAAATGGGTTCAGTAACACCCTGTATGTAAGGAATAACAGCAAAACTGGGTCGAAGTCGCTGCAGACGCTATTCAGTTGATATTGTTTAATTATTCTTATAATTTTTCTTCTCGATTTTGTATCAACATTGTAAGGAAAAATTGTCTTGGTTTCTCCTTGGAGTTCAAGAGTTAAAGGAAGCACATGTATCGATCTCAAAATGAGGAAAAATTTATTTCTCTTCGGAACCAGTACAAAGGACTACAAACCTTTACACTATAGTACTATGGCTATGATTTTATAAATAGTTGTAACTCTCTTTGATCAGGAAGTACATTAATTAAGCATTGTAGCATTGTCAACAATGTAGTCACTTGTAGTGCAGACTGTGACATTTCAACTGCATAAAACTATCCAATTTATGGCCCCAGACAAATAATAAGAGTTGAAAACATCATGAAACAAATAAAAAGACATCATCATTATCTAAGCCAAATTAACAAAACATTGTTGAAAAATCACAGGTCAGATCAAGACAGGGAAAGTTAAATTTACAAGTGGCCAAATCAAAGGACTTCACTGTATTTTCATAAATGCAACTCACTCTTCAGTAGTCTCTTTCACAGCATCTGGGTCAGGAGAAGCCTCAGCCCAATCTGCTACTTCAGTCTGAGGAAAAACATCAGTTTCTTCGCTGCAAGGAAAAAATTCATTTAATTGTCGAGAGGAAGTGCTAGGGGTAGAAAATCTAGCAGTCAGCAAACACAAATGGAGCACAACAAGATCCAGATGTCATGACTAAGAGTTAACCATTTACTCAATTGCCCTAACTCAACCAAGCCAAAAAGGCAATCATTTTCACTCTTTCTCTTTCTCCTTTCTTCTTTCAGCTTACATCTTACAGAGCCATGCACAAAGTGATACACCCTTTTCCAGTTCTGCTTGCTCCACTGTATACCACTCTCCTAAGGGAATTTTCACATATAAAAGTGCCTACAGGGTCATACAAGCTATATGAAAAAAACCGTTAATGTCCAAGAACAGCCATGATCTCTATCATCTTCCATGATAGATAATTAGCTGCCATGGGTGTCTGGGACTATGGGACAAACAGAGTGGATGTAGTCCATATAACTATGAAATAAGATACATTTCTTGTCTTAAATTGTGATTCAAGAAAAATCCTTCCTTGCATAACTTACCTTGCACCTTCTGTTGGACTTCCCCAATTGAACTGGCCACCTCCATCACGTTTTTCTTGAGGCTTCACAGAACTATAAACAGTAAAGAGAAATGTCTCATGAATAGAGGACTACAACTAAAAACCAGTGCAGTAACTACAGCTTATCATCAGGGAACAAGTGTAAGGCCAACAAAGGGCTGCCATAACTACAACAGAAACAATACACAAGAGGAAGCTGTTGACAACATGAATTTATCTTTAGAAGGTAGCCTTGGTAATACAGAAATATATCAAGTAACGCAACTATATTGTAATGAATTACGAAGATAATGAACCCTTTCTTTAACTGCATTACCATAAATGTAAATGTTAAGCTGATGTGAGAACAGGGTAGTAACCTCAAATTCTAGATACAATGAGTAAAACAAAATTATAAATATGACGAATACTTCACAAAGGTAAACACTGCCAATACACTAAGAAAAATTATTCAAAATTTAACCGTGTTTCATCATTTCTTATAATGAGGTTTACAAGAAGCAAAATTAGTAAACTACCCATGAAGACAACCCTTAGAATTGTTCACTCAACACTATCACCTACTCAATGGGTTGAAAAAATTGAGTACAATTTCAATGGAATAAACTTAAATCTTCATTGTGCAATGGCAGATGAACATTTATAAAATAACTGAGGTGCTGAGAACTCCTAATTGGATAAAAACATATGGTTTATTGCACTTGTAAGCACACAGAAATTTAAATTTATGTTATTTAAGTGATAGATTGCACTTTGCTTTAGTTTAGCAGCATAACCCACATGGAATGTTGGGATAACACTAAAGAGTTTTTAATATTCACAAGCAAGATGCAAGTGATTAACAAACTTTTCTCATTTTCTCCCAACATCCCATGTGAGGTTATTAAGCAGCTCAACCGATAGAAAGGTTGGTCTCAGAAGCTACACAAATTAGCACTAACACGTGTAACACGTAAACAACCAAACTCGAATTTACTAAGCAATATCTAAATTAGCCAGAATCTCTTCCATTTCTTAATTGTGGGTTTTAATGTGTGTCAGCTTTAACAAACATAAAATACAACATTACTAAATGCCTTTAAAAAGGATAGATTAGATTGTCCGTGATCTAGAAATAATCTTAAGGTTAACATATGGGGCCTGAAGTGGCAAAGGATAATCAAATCAACATATTTTGCCTCTAAAGCCAATTTGTCCACCTACATGTTTACTGCTTTTTGTTATGTTTTGACAACTCTAGGCTCACATATTTAGTTTCCACAACATAAACCAAGAAGAACAGATTTACATTTATTATCTAGGAGCAATTGAAAGTAGAATGTTTGTCCAACCTTCTGTCCCCGCGACTTGATTTGTCCAGTCGGGGGCCCCTAGACCACAAGAAGAGGACATATTTTCTTTTACACATATAATTATTTCTCCAAAGAAACAGAAAGGCACCCCACAAAATAAAAATTAGGATTAGCTGGTTAAGGTTAGGAGTGAAAGGAAATGGTGCAGCCCTATTTTTTTACTTTATTCACAAATATATGTTATTTTTGTGTCACAATTGTGAAATCTATATCAGGTTTCAATAGGGAAGCAACAAATTGACATTTTCCAAATAAACTGTGCAACCCTCTCTGGGTTGATAAACATCACAATTCCCTTGAAATAAAAACTTTTAAACCTGAAGGGTTCTGTATCCTTAATTAAGCTACAGTACAGAAGGAAGCCGCATAATATTAAATGATTAGGTAATTTAAAGTACTACAAAAAGTACAATGCGAGGCAGCAAGAACATATCTCGAGAGTGTAAGTTTTCGTTTTCAAACAAGTTTTTCTTCTGCAAGAAAAGTATGATTAAAAAGGGCAAAAAAAACCACGAACTTACGAGCGGTCGCTTCCACTTCTTCTTTCGAACTCTCGCTTCCTGCCAAAACCGCCGCCACCACGAGGACCGAATCCACCACGACCTCTTCCACCTCCACCCCGCGATCCACGGCCGCCTCTTCCTCTTTCGAAGACTCCTCTTTCCCTTTCAGCTCCCTCTTTATCAGGAGAGTCGGTATCACCCTGAGGACCATCTCTTCTACGGAATCCGCCGCCGAATCCACCGCCTCGCCTCTCTCTTGGAGTGTTGTCATCACGGTCTCTTCTCTCGCTCGGACCGTTTGTCAAACGAGTGTTTTTATCGTTTTCTCTCCTCACATCGCTTTTACCGCGACCACCTCGCCTGCTATCTGTTCTTTCTGCACAAAATTTCAAATATAGGCAACGAATAAACCTTCTCTGATTTGAAATAACACATCTTCGCCGAGTCGAAGCAATCGAATCTCTGCCTCAAAATTATGTATTAACTCATAAATAAAGCCTACACAAGCCTAACATAACAACACGTGCCTAAAAACCATTCATATTCTCAGCTTACAGATACTATTTAGTCTGATAAAACGCAAAATACGGATTCTAGAGGCATTTACATATCACTCAGGGATTTCAAGTCATCTTCGTTTCAGTGCAACAAATTTCGCAACGCACCGCACTAGCCCTAAATGAAATTTTGGCGTACCTTTGGTTGCTTTGGAACAAAACTCATGTGACCATCACTACAAAATAGGGCTGTATGCAGTGAGTAATTTCTTTAAAATGGAAATTAAAGGTAAAATATCCCTGGAAAACAAAAAATGACTAGGAAAACTACAGAGCGATGTCAGCTGAAAACATCTGAGGGTTCCACATGCCATCTGACAAGACGATAGCGTCACGGTACAACTTGTACATTAAACATTTCGACGTGAACATGCTGATACTAACCTTCCTTCTTGGGCTCTTCGTTTACATTGTCCTTTCTCCCTGCGGCAGGCTTCGTTTCTTTGACTGGCTGTTTTGCAGCTTTCTTGTCTTGTTTTTTCGCCTTCTCCTTCTTGGACGGCTCCTCCTTTTTCTCCTGCTTTAGCAAGGTCTCCTCGGGATCTTCATCATCCAGTCCTAACGCTAAGAAGCGATTATTCACTCCTATGCTGTATTCCACCTCCATTGTGGAAGGATGCCAAGGAACAAGCACAGATGATGGTGGATTGTGCTGCAAACAACAATTCAGCTGAGAAATCGCAGAAATCTCGCTCCTCGATGGTTATCTTCACGCGCGATGCATGCTTGGGGCGAACTTCGCGGGTTAAGATCGCAAAGAATCATGGTCGATTACAGCCAGTTAGCTTCGACTGGCAGTTGACGATTTTTTTTTTGATAGTTATTATCACCAAGGTAGATTATTATTATTGTCAGTACAGAAGGAAACATCACCACCTCAGAGAAAATACGTTACAGCACAGTGATTCACAGCTTTCTTCTTCATGAAAGATTGAGACGGAAGTTGACAAAAAAAAATTAATACGATATGTAGCGGCAGCAATTGAACTACGCGTGAGCTCTTCTCCAAGTCCATTGCAAAAGGCAGCGCAGACGACCATAACAACACGCAGGTACAATGCTGTGGTCGCGCGTACTGTCTTTTCAATGGACTTACGGTAGAGAGAGTGCAGCTTACTTGCTGCAGCCACACAGTTGATAGAAATCTTCAGTGTTCTTTTCCTCGGTAAAAAAGGTCTAGATTTTCACTATGCATGAAAAGAGCTAATGGACACAAGACGCTGAATCTCAGGATAGTCATTGCAAGCACTGCACATGAGTTAAAATTTAAAATCCCAAAAAGGTCATCAAGGAAATCTTCTACTAACTGATTTATAGCCCGAGTAGGGGGCTTTTTGAGGGGAGTGGGAACTGAGAGAGAGAAAAAAAGGAAAGCCTTCCTCCTGCAGTCCTCCTGCTCTCGCTCGGCCCCACTCCCCTTTCCTTGGGAAGGCCTGATACTCGAGCCAACTGATGTTTGCTAGAAACTGGATCATTGGATTATGCAATTTAAGAGCTTTCATTGCCTTAGCAATCGCCATTATACCATGCGCGCATGAAGAAGAGGTATAAAATAAAGTCGTGTATATATATATATATATGTATAGCAGGAAATTTAGTGTTAACAACTGAGTTAAAAACGTAAATTGGCCACCGTAAAGGGTAAAAAAAGCTAAAGTTTCGAGCGTGGGAGATAGTATCTCCTAATAATTCCGTTGTTGGCTTCGTTCTGTCACCATTGTTAGATTGCAGTGACATTCAGGTATTAACTAAGCTACTAGCAAAAAGCACGAACATCAACTGAGTTAAATTGAGTAACAAAAACATTATCAGAGTTAAATCCGAGTTGCACGAACACTGCCCAAATTAAAGGGGGTAAGTTTCTAAAGAAACTGTGGTGCTGCATCGGTGGGAGAGTATAGCAGGTGATTAAGTGTTAACAACTGAGTTGAAAACGTAAATTGCCCACCGTAAAGAAATCCGAGTTGCACGAAAATTACCCGAGTTAAATCCGAGTTGCACGAACACAATCCAAATTAAATCCGAGTTGCACAAACATTACCCGAGTTAAATCTGAGTTGCACAAATATTACTCGAGTCATAATAACCTAGCTCCGGCAAATTTTTAGAATGATAAAGAATCGTATCAAACAGCACAAACTTTCCATTGACGAGACACAAGTCGTACTTCTCTCTTTCTGATGAGCTGATCACACATGCACACTTGTGTATCTTGATGGCATCAGACACGTGTTCTAATTCAAGCTATAGATTAAAGTTTAGTTCTTGCTCTGCTTTGTCACCCAGGCAATGAAATGGTTCTGATCTATGACGATGCAAAATAACACAGTCAACTCCCATTATTACAGAAACCCGCGGGGGGGCGGAAGATTTAGTGTCCGTAATAGCGGGGGTACGAGAGAAAAATTAATTGATTTGTCTCTAAACATATGAAATAATATGAAACTAAAAAAAGATAAAGTTTCTAAGGTAGCCTCACTAACCATAAAAAGATCCGGCCGCACCCAATTCAAGAATGGTTCCTTTACTTTCTTTTATCGTAATGTCGATTTTTGTTATGTGAGTCAGGATCGTGGACGAAGTATTTGAGTTTCCACTATAGCGAGAAAAAAAAATCAAATGTCGCACTGCGGGAGGGGCATGAAATTGTCCACATTAACCATCAAACAAAACAGAACGAAACCAGTGCACGAGTCCCTACCGTGACAAACAATCAAACCGAACACGTACAACACAGTGCGCGAGACACTAACGTGACAAACAATCCAACAGAACACAGAGAAAACGGTGCACGAGACACAAACGTAACAAAGAATCACACAGAACAGATACAAAACAGTGCGCGAGAAACTAACATAACAAACAGTCAACTAAACACATACAAAACACTGCGCCAGACACCAGCGTAACATACTGTCAAACAGAACACAGACAAAACAGTGCGAGAGGCACTAACGTAACAGAGTCAACAGAACACATACAAAACAGTGCGCGAGACTCTAACGTAACAAACAATCCAACAGAACAAATAAAAAACAGTGCCCAAGACACTAACGTCACAAACAGACAAACAGAACACAAACAAAACAGTGCACGAGACTCTAACGTAACAAACAATCATACGGAACAGATAAAAACAGTGCACAAGACACGAACATAAGAAACACTCAATACAACACATACAAAACAGTGTGCAAGACACTAACGTAACAAACAGTCAACAAAACTCATACAAAACGGTGCGCGAGACACCAACGTAACAAACACTGAACAGAACACGTACAAAACAGTTCACGAGGCACTAACGTAACAAACAATCAAACAAAACACATACAAAATAGTACCCGAGACACTAACGTGAAAAACAGTCAACAGGACACATACAAAACTGTGCGTAAGACACTAACGTAACAAACAGTCAACAGAACTCATACAAGACAGTGGGCGAGACACTGACGCAACAAATAGTCTGACAAAACACATTCAAAACAGTGTGCGAGACACCAATGTAACAAACAATCAAACAGAGCACATACAAAACACTGCGCGAGACACTAACGTAACAAACGCTCAACAGAACACATACAAAACAAGGTGCGAGCCACTAACGTAACAAACAGTCAAACACAACACGTACAAAACAGTGCACGAGACACTAACGTAACAAACAACGAAACAAAACACATACAAAATAGTGCGCGAGACACTAACATTAGAAAAAGTCAACAAAACAAATACGAAACAGTGCACGAGACACTAACGTGACAAACAACCAAACAAAACACATACAAACAGCGCACGAGACACTAATACAAGAAAAAGTATAAAAAACATACAAAACAATGCGCGAGACACCAACGTAACAAATAGTCAAACAGAACACATACAAAACAGTGCGCGAGACACTAATGTAACCAACACTTACAAAACAGTACGCGAGACACTAACGTAACGAATCGTCTACACAACCCATACAAAACAGCGCCCGAAACAGTAACGTGAAAAACAATGAAACAGAACACATTCATAACAGTGCGCAAAACCCTAAAGTAATCAAGAATCAAGCAGAACACATACAAAACAGTCTGCAAGACACAAAGGTAACAAACAGTCAACTACACATATACAAAATAGTGCGCGAGACACCAACGTAACAAACAGTCAAACACAACACGTACAAAACAGTGCACGAGGCACTAACGAAACCAACTGTCAAACAGAACACATACAAAACAGTCCACAAGGCACTAATGTGACAAACAACCAAACAGAACACATACAAAACTGTGCACGAGACACTAACGTAACAAACAGTCAACTAAACACATAAAAACAGAGTGCAGGACGCCAACGTAACAAACAGTTAAACAGAACGCAAACAAAACAATGTGCGAGACACTAACGTAACAAAGAGTCAACAGGACATTACAAAACAGTGCACGAGACACTAACGTAACAAAAAATCATGCCAAACACATTAAAAACAGTGCACGAGACAATAACATAAAAAACAGTCAACAGAACACATAAAAAATAGTGCACGAGGCACCAACGTGACCGTTAGTCAGCAGAACACATACAACACAGTGCGCGAGACACTAACATAACAAACTGTCAAGAAAACTCATACAAAAAAATGCGCGAGACACTAACGTGACAAAAAGTCAACAGAACACATAAAAAAACAGTGCGCGACACCCGAACGTAAAAAACACTCAACAGAACACATACAGAACTTTGTGCGAGGATCTAACGTGACAAACAATCCAATAGAACACATTCAAAACACTGCGCAAAACATGAACGTCACAAAACATCAAACAGAATACATACAAAACCGTGCACAACGCACTAACGTGACAAACAGTCGACAAAACACATACAAAACAGTGCGCAAGACAATAGCGTAACAGACTGTCAAGAAAACTCATACCAAACAGTGCGCGAGACACTAACGTGAAAAAAAATCAACAGATTGCATAAAAAACAGTGCGCGACATCAGAACATAAAAAACAGTCAACAGGAGACATACAAATCATTGTGCAAGGAACTAACGTGAGCAACAATCCAACACCTTCAAAACATTGCCCAAAACACCAACGTAACAAAAAATTTGACAAAACACATTCAAAACAGTGCGCGAGGCACTAACGTACCAAACAATCAAACATAACACATACAAACAATGCGTAAGGCACTAACGTGACAAACAATCAACAAAACACATACAAAACAGTGTGCAAGGCACTAACGTGACAAAAAGTCAACAACAAAAAATACAAAACAGTGCGGGAGGCACTAACATAACAAAGCACAAAACATAACACATACAAAACACAAACGTGACAAACAATTACAGATAACACATACCAAAAAGTGACCGAGACACTAACGTAACAAAAACTCAACAGATCACATAGAAAACAGTGCGCGACACCGGAACGTGAAAAAAAGCCAACAGAACACATACAAAACATTGTGCCAGGCACTAACGTGACAAATAACCCAATAGAACACCTTCAAAACAATGCCCAAGCACTAACTTAAAAAAAATTACAGAACACATAAAAAACATCAAAGAGAACTCATACAAAAGATTGCGCAAGGCACTGACGTCACATGCAATCAAACAGAACACATACAAAACAGCGTGCAAGGCACTAAAGTGACAAACAATCCAACAGAATACAATATAAACAGTTCAC